TAAAACGTGGTTCTGTGCGCTCCCATTTATGTTGCCACAACGTTGACATTTTCACGTCGTCACGTTTTGGGAATGTTGTGTTTTACATTATGCTAACGTTGTAGTTTACGTTGTATTTTACGTTGTGCTAACGTTGTATTTTACGTTGTGCTAACGTATTTTACGTTATGCTAACGTTGTATTTTACGATATGCTAACGTTGTATTTTACGTTATGCTAACGTTGTATTTTACTTTGTATTTTACGTTATGCTAACATTTTATTTTACGTTGTGCTAACGTATTTTACGTTATGCTAACGTTGTATTTTACGTTATGCTAACATTGTATTTTACGTTGTGCTAACGTATTTTACGTTTTGCTAACGTTGTATTTTTCGTTATGCTAACGTTGTATTTTACTTTGTGCTAACGTATTTTACGTTGTACTAAAGCTGTACTTTACGTTATGCTAACGTTGTATTATACGTTGTGCAGACGTTGTATATTAATTTGTGATAACGTTCTTACGTTGTGCTAACGTTGTATTTTACTTGGTATTTTACGTTGTGCTTTCATCGAAGTGGACCTGAAGTACTTCGGGCTTTCCGCCCAAAGTAAGCTGACACGTCATTAAATACAGATGCACTTAATCTTTCAAGTATTTTTTTCATTGAATGACGTCAATAACCCACTATCTTATCACTTGATGAAAACCTCACGAAAATGTGGCGATGATTTCATTTTGCTTGTCAGGACATCAAAGAAGTTGCACCTTGGGCAGATCACGTGAGAGTGGTAACAGAAGTAGATTAGAGTTGCAATTTGATCCGAAGCTTTAGTCCCTGTTTGCGTCAGCGCGCCCTTCACCTTCGACGTCTGTTCTCTATTTACATTCCGACCTTGACCTGTCACGAATGGCACTAAGTTAGGGTCCTATAGTTTGGTGCATCGACCTTCAAAGGCGCAAAGGAAATCTACATCAAAATGTTTCGATCTAAGCAAAAGAAAGTATACACCTATGTTTGATGCAACAAACAAGAAATAGTTATTCGACGGTGATGTAAGTAGATAACTTTTAATAACTATCCAGCCATCGAGCCATCCATGACGTCACAATGACGTCACAAAGGAACCTCCTACCCTCCCATTGTCTTTGATTCCTTTGATCTCTTTGATCGCTTTGTCAGTCAAACAATCACATATGCATGCATATCTTTCAATCAAATAAATATGAATAGAATCAAATTTAATTATCAACACACAACGAGGAATAATTATGATGTTATAGATAAGAAAGGTTATAACACCTAAAGTAATATATTTAGTAGATGTTATAGATGAGAAAGGTTATAAAGCCTATAGTAATGTCTTTCTGTATAAGGAAGTACCACTATGTCTTCGTTCTATTGTCTCAACATCACGTTTCGGCCACCTGTCTTTGGTCACTGTACGCGACGAGACTCAAATTGTTTTCACAACTGTCACGTTCTGACCTCGGTCCGTACTTGTAAATGGAAGGTGGGACTTGAAAAGGAAATCATAAATAAGATTTCATTGAAAAATAAGTTGAGGTTCATATTGTTTTCGTTGAAAAAAATGATTGTGTCAAACATTTTGATTCACAGAACTATGTGGCGGATCTCTATAGTGATCATTTCAAGAGAAAGAATAATGATAAATAACGTTCTTTCAATACTTTTTTACTAAAGTATTGTACATTGAAATAGTTTCGTTGAAAATTTGATATCTTATATTATTTTCAACGCAACTAGTTATGATCATTACTTTATACATAAAATAATGTCTCTGTTAGACATTTGTACCTCCGTCTATAAAAAATGTTTGAAGTCTATCAAATATTATATTTGAACCACGTAGTCACTCAATTAAAACAAACCAAAAAGATTAATTGTAGTCATTGTAAAATGAAAAACAAAGAAATCAAAGCAGTGAGACAATAGTCTGAGCTTGGCGTGGGCTTGAGGGTGCTTGGGTGGGTGTTAAGTATGTTAACTACATACTATCATTCTAAGTACATACTAAATAAAGCAGATATAAGCTCAATACATGAGTATTCTAAACTAAGTTTAAATGTGCTAGTATAATAAATAATTTACAGTGATTAGAATATATTTTTTAAAAAAGGAATTGTACATAACCCTAACACATTTATAAAATGTCCATGTCGGGCTTTGCCTGCAGTACTTAACATTCCATGTTTGACATTCCTAGGCTCGGTGACACCAGCATCGGGTCAGCTAACTAGTGTGATGTACTCTATCTAAAAAACACCAACTGACAGATTTTTCGTCAAGGTATGATTTTCCATACATATGTATTGACTAGACCTTTTACAGTACAGCGTCTCAACTGTTTATCTTGTAAAGACAACGAAAGGTGTAATCTGGTCGGGGATGAAGAAACGTGCTGATTCTGAAGTCACTTCCAGGTGTGATAAAGGTCGTACGTGAGAGTCGCGACAGGCGGTGTCAGAAGTTTGTATGTATATATATATATAAAAAATAATTTTGATACATGCATGCTTACACATGTCTCATAACTAAAAGTAATCTACAGATATCGTTATGATATAATACATATGTGATTAATGAAATTAAACTGTTCTGCAACACAGAAATATTGTTTTGTTATGGATTACATACCTAACAAAAGATAATCTAAACTGACATTAAATGATAACATTGTTGATAAGTTCACAATCTCTCTAGAGTGATTAATGACTGCGGTGTGGAATGTTACGGAGTACACGAATGCGATCATGTATTGTATCAATGAGCGTTAAAGGAGCCATTGTTCCAAACCACAACGCGACGGCTGGCATAACAATGCATGGTAAAGGAGCCATTTGTTCCGAACCACAATACGACAGAGCAAGAAGCACGTCATGAAATAATCTTCATTTTGTTTTATTTTCCCACCTTCCATTCATAAGTACGGACCGAGGTCGGAACTAGACAGTTGTGAAAATCATTTGAGTCTCGCCGCGTACAGTGACCACCGACAGGTGGCCGAAACGTGATGTTGAGACAATAGAACGAAGACATAGTGGTACTTCCTTATACAGAAAGACATTACTATAGGCTTTATAACCTTTCTCATCTATAACATCTTATAACTCCAATTGAAAGGTAACTAATAGTTTATTTGATTCTATTTAATATGATTAAATGGTTGATGTGCATTATATGCATGATTAAATGATTTCATATGCATTATCTATGCACTTTATGCATGTTTGAATGATTGATTGCTACACTTCCTTATTCAGAAGTCATTGGATCAATAGACCGTATTGACAGCATTGTTTATGGATACAATAGAACTATAGACAGCATTGTTCATAGATAATAGTCAGCATTGTTCATGGACAATAGACAGCATTGTTAAACAATAGAGATCAGTGGCCAGTGAGAAAATCGCTTGCGATCAACCTAGGCTAAGATCGCTTTGTGGAACGGGTCCCATAGAACTGACTTGTAGGTCAGGCGCGAGATTCAAACCGAGGTCACGTGACGCCCTTGAGCGTTCATGGCAACGTCCGCCATCTTGTTTTTAGACACGTGTTGTTCTACGTTTAACCAATGGTCAAGTAATTAATTGTATGATTGCAACCGGTCAGCTGACCCTTTATTAACCTAACTGACCTGTGACGTCATGCATACATTTGCATATTAATGAGTTATTCTGCATATTAATGAGGCACTGGGATACTTCCATAATATATACTACTGATGTATTTGGTACGGCTATCCTAGGCGATATTAAATGCATTATATCAAAGAGTATCTCACAACAGGTGACGTGCACGTGACGTCTCAAGGAACATGGGGACGAAAATTCGGCGACTTTTTTCAAATGTATACTTTCTTTTGCCCGGCAGTATATTTGTAACGAGGTTCCAGTATCAAAAAGTTGTTGCAACTAACAGTGATGGCTATGGTTTTACGCCGCCTTTAGCAACATTCCATCAATATCACGGCGGGGGACACCAGAAAGGGGGGAATCGAACCCGGGACTTCGGCATGATGAGCGAACGCTTTAACCACAGGCTAACCCGCCGCCGTCTGTTGCAACTATGAGGATCAGTTGATTGCATGTCAAAATGCCCCCAAATGTGAATAGTGTCAACTCAGAGGTTACCTGCCCACGCACAATTATTAAAGGAGTCTGCCGATATATAGCTAAAATATTGCTGATTTCGGCGTAAAACAACTTTCATGCTGTTGTATTGAAGTATGTGAGAAATATTCAGGCGATATCAGGGCGACCTGTGAATAATTGAGTCTAGACAAGTGATTGATACTGTGTCACTGTCTCTGCGTAATTTGCATAATCATTGACGGTTAAATTGATGACAAACATTTTAGTGATTAAATTAAATTATTTGCCCATTGGTTGGGGTCTGGCTGTGCTGTTTAGAACAGTCAGAACCCATTTTGTAGACTGAAAAGATTGTAAGAAATGTTCTATGTAGGGTCACACATGCACACTACACACACAACACACACAACACACACTACACACACCACGAACAACAAAGTGTTATTAGTGGTGTGTGTAAGTGCTTTATATGGCTTTGAGCAGTATTTCAGTTTATCACCCAGTGTCAGCTTGATGTAGGAGAAGTGTGTGAGTGAGTATGGTTTCATGCCGACTTTGGCAATATTCCGGCAATATGGTACGGGACACAGAAATGGGATTCACACATTGTACCCATGTGGGGATTCGAACCAGGGTCTTCGGTTTGATGAGCGAACGCTTTAACCACTAAGCTACCCCACTACCCTGATGTAGGAGGAAGCCCAGAGTGATGCAGGTCTGAGACAAAACCTAGGAGCATGGGTATATGGTGCTGACAAACCAAGAAATATACTCAGGGGAAATCTGGGATTTGAACCCATGATCACAGGTGTGTAACAGGCCAAAGGGACACAGCTGTGCCACCCTAGACGTCTACACCACCCACACATTGTAGATGAATGAGAAAATCAAAAATATATCTGATACATGTATAAAACAGTTTATTGATCTTCATTGTAATTTCAGTTTAAATATGAACAAACCAAGCAGTATAATAACAGCATTAAATAACATTGGTATGGAATGGCAATAGACATCACAGTTTTGGTCATAGAACATTGCATATGTAAACATCACAACCTGGTGCAAAAGCACAGTAATGCTATATCCAATGTGGACGGACGGAAGGTCAGTGTGACACACCAGACATCTATCTATGTGTCCTGCATCTCAGGTAGAACAAACAGACACACATGCAAACAAGGGCATGCAGTACTAACATAGCAAGACGTAATACTGTAAGTGAACAGTCATATATAACAATCATGGGTACAAATAAGACTTTTTTTCTAGTTTGTGTGGATATGTTCAATTTGCTTCAATGTTAACTTTAGAACTGATTGGTAATAGGAATGATCCATAGATTCAACTTGCTTCAATGTTAACTTTAGAACTGATTGATGATATGTAGTTCACTTTTCCTCGTTTTAAAGAATGCATTTGAATCATTAGATTGAATTATGATAATAAACTCAATTTCTTGACTTTCAGGTCTTATTACAATTGGTAATAAAAATGGCCTATCAAAGGAGGGGCCTCCCAACTGGAGAAATGCTAGACTGAATGACAAGTTGTAGCATCAGTCTGTTGCTAAACACCTGTAACCTTTCAAGAACCTGTCCAAATATTTCACCACCTGAGCACTTGTCAACCCAGAAACAATTCTTTTATCTGTTGTGTTCCAAGCAGTCACTTTAGTTTGGTCATCAAAATGTCTGTCTGTCTGTCTGTCCTGTACATTTGTTCATGAATCAGTGTTCCACTTGCACAAGAGCAGGGAACGTCCTCATCCTCAGCCTCTCCACCTCGGCCCGCAACACTGCGACCTCCTGGGCCTGTGCCTTGGCAAGGTCAACAAGCTTCCGCCTCTGTACGATCTCCTGGTATCGTCGTTCTGCCCCTGTGTCCATCCGCCGGTCAGCTGAAACATGCAAGTACCCGAGTTAGTGATGGTGTTTAGGCAGTTGGATTGTTTGTTTGTTGTCTTGACATGATATATATGTGTCATCCACACATTGACATCCACACATGTAACTCACCATTGACTTGATAATGTGAACTTTCTCATTGACACACAACTGACACACACACACACACACTCACCAATGACTTGATAATGTGAACTCTCATTGAAACACAACTGATACACACATCTCACCATTGACTTGATAATATAAAGTGTCTCATTGACACACAACTGACACACACACACAACTCACCATTGACTTGATAATATAAACTGTCTCATTGACACACAACTGTTACACACACACACAACTCACCATTGACTTGATAATATAAACTGTCTCATTGACACACAACTGTTACACACACACACAACTCACCATTGTCTTGATAATATAAACTGTCTCATTGACACACAACTGACACACACACAAAACACACCATTGACTTGATAATATGAACTGTCTCATTGACACACAACACACACACACACACACACACACACACACACACACACACACACACACACACACACACACACACACACACACACACACACACACACACATGCAAGTACTTGATAATATGAACTGTCTCATTGACACACAACTGATACACACAACTCACCATTGACTTGATCGATGTGATTCCTCTCATTGACGCACACGTTGATCTCGTTGAGGTCGAGGTCAAGTCCCGAGTTCTCCCTGTCCTTAGACTGTATTGTGTGCTGTAAATCGTTAAACGTTCGCTTCTTCTCTCTCATGTTCTTGTCATGGTGCTGAATAAGAAGAATATATTCCGATAACCATCACCTCCTGATCCTGATCACTGACATGTATCCAGGGAGCCTGACTCAGGGCACCATACACATCATCTTAAACTATGTCATTATTTAAAAAAAACCAGTATTCTTTGAAAAATTGCAACATTATAAATGGCCCTAACTTTTCATAAATCTACAGTTATATCATCCACATTTTCATTTCTCTGGAAGACAGATTGAAGTTCATGTTTGTTTCTTCAGTTGTACACAGTGTGTAGTATTGAAATAGTGACAGGAAAACCTACTTTCTTCTGTAACAATATGGTCTGCTCAAGTATGGCTATTTCTTGCTGCTTTTTGGCATCATAATCAGCTTCATTCAGGAACTGGAACACAAACAAGAGAGTGATGTCAAACATGGTACATGTACTGTCAGAACTATCCTAGCATTTGTAGCAAATCTTTTTGACATCAACCTGCATCTGAGTTGAATAGAGTGTGACCTGACTTGTATAAAGTGTGATCTGACTTGTATAGAGTGTGACCTGACTTGTATAGAGTGTGATCTGACTTGAATAGAGTGTGATCTGTCTTGTATAAAGTGTGATTCGACTTGTATAAAGTGTGATCTGACTTGTATAGAGTGTGACCCGACTTGTATAGAGTGTGACCTGACTTGTATAAAGTGTGATTCGACTTGTATAGAGTGTGACCTGACTTGTATAGAGTATGATCTGACTTGTATAGAGTGTGATCTGACTTGTATAGAGTGTGATCTGACTTGAATAGAGTGTGACCTGTCTTGTATAAAGTGTGATTCGACTTGTATAGAGTGTGATCTGACTTGTATAGAGTGTGATCCGACTTGTATAAAGTGTGATTCGACTTGTATAGAGTGTGATCTGACTTGTATAGAGTGTGATCTGACTTGTATAGAGTGTGATCTGACTTGTATAGAGTGTGATCTGACTTGTATAGAGTGTGACCTGACTTGTATAGAGTGTGATCTGACTTGAATAGAGTGTGATCTGTCTTGTATAAAGTGTGATTCGACTTGTATAAAGTGTGATCTGACTTGTATAGAGTTTGACCCGACTTGTATAGTGTGTGACCTGACTTGTATAAAGTGTGATTCGACTTGTATAGAGTGTGACCTGACTTGTATAGAGTGTGATCTGACTTGTATAGAGTGTGACCTGACTTGTATAAAGTGTGATCTGACTTGTATAGAGCGTGACCTGACTTGTATAGAGTGTGATCTGACTTGAATAGAGCGTGACCTGTCTTGTATAAAGTGTGATTCGACTTGTATAAAGTGTGATCTGACTTGTATAGAGTGTGACCCGACTTGTATAGAGCGTGACCTGACTTGTATAAATTGTGATTCGACTTGTATAGAGTGTGACCTGACTTGTATAGAGTATGATCTGACTTGTATAGAGTGTGATCTGACTTGTATAGAGTGTGATCTGACTTGTATAGAGTGTGACCCGACTTGTATAGAGTGTTACCTGACTTGTATAAAGTGTGATTCGACTTGTATAGAGTGTGACCTGACTTGTATAGAGTGTGATCTGACTTGTATAGAGTGTGACCTGACTTGTATAAAGTGTGATCTGACTTGTATAGAGCGTGACCTGACTTGTATAGAGTGTGATCTGACTTGAATAGAGCGTGACCTGTCTTGTATAAAGTGTGATTCGACTTGTATAAAGTGTGATCTGACTTGTATAGAGTGTGACCCGACTTGTATAGAGCGTGACCTGACTTGTATAAATTGTGATTCGTCTTGTATAGAGTGTGACCTGACTTGTATAGAGTATGATCTGACTTGTATAGAGTGTGATCTGACTTGTATAGAGTGTGATCTGACTTGAATAGAGTGTGACATGTCTTGTATAAAGTGTGATTCGACTTGTATAGAGTGTGATCTGACTTGTATAGAGTGTGATCCGACTTGTATAAAGTGTGATTCGACTTGTATAGAGTGTGATCTGACTTGTATAGAGTGTGATCTGACTTGTATAGAGTGTGATCTGACTTGTATAGAGTGTGATCTGACTTGTATAAAGTGTGATTCGACTTGTATAGAGTTTGATCTGACTTGTATAGAGTGTGATCCGACTTGTATAGAGTGTGATCTGACTTGTATATAGTGTGATTCGACTTGTATAGAGTGTGATTCGACTTGTATAGAGTGTGATCTGACTTGTATAGAGTGTGATCTGACTTGTATAGAGCGTGATTCAACTTGTATAGAGTGTGATTTGACTTGTATAGAGTGTGACCTGACTTGTATAAAGTGTGATTCAACTTGTATAGAGTGTGATCTGACTTGTATACAGTATGATCTGACTTGTATGGAGTGTGATCTGACTTGTATAGAATGCGACTTGACTTGTATAGAGTGTGATTTGACTTGTATAGAGTGTGATTTGACTTGTATAGAGTGTGATCTGACTTGTATAGAGTGTGATCTGACTTGTATAGAGTGTGATCTGACTTGTATAGAGTGTGATTTGACTTGTATAGAATGTGATTTGACTTGTATCTAACATAGTGTGATTTGTATATTGTATAGAGTGTGATCTGACGTGTATAGAGTCTGATTTAACTCGTATCTCATATAGTGTGATTTGTATAATGTATAGAGTGTGATCTAACTTCTGTCTAATATAGTTTGATTTGTATGTTGTATAGACTGTGATTTGTTTAGAGTGTAATCTGTATGTTGTATAGCCTGAGATCTGTAGAGAGTGTAATCTGTATGTTGTATAGCCTGAGATCTGTAGAGAGTGTAATCTGTATGTTGTATAGCCTGAGATCTGTAGAGAGTGTAATCTGTATGTTGTATAGCCTGAAATCTGTATGTTGTATAGCCTGAGATCTGTAGAGAGTGTAACCTGTATGTTGTATAGCCTGAAATCTGTATGTTGTATAGACTGTGGTCTATAGAGGGAGCGATCTGGAACACTGGAGACAGATGCCACCTCTATCTATGATACTCACAGCCTGTATTTCCCTGGTGACCTTGATGAACTGAATGTCCTTCATCTTGTTTTGAAGGTCAGTCATCTGCATCAGCATCCTCTTGTGTTCCCTGTACATGACAACATTCTTGATGAGGCGAGATATTATCTAACATGTCCAAGACTTCACTCACAACCTGCCGTCACCTCCTCCACAGGACTAGACAACAATGAACTAGGACCATTAGAAAAGTCCTAACCTTCTAATCAAGTGGAAAGATTTTTTAAAAAACCACAAAACATTTAGTTCTGAGGAAACGGCTTTTGAATATTTTGTGCAGCTGAGTTGCATGTTTTTCAAGTGTTAAAAAGTGTTACTCTTTTCTCCCAATTTTGAAATGAATCCTGAATATGGAAACAAACTACGTCATATTGAAGAGTGGATACAGTGTTTCTGAAAATGTGCCGAGTTCTGAAAGGCAAGTAGGGTGCACTTAGAACCCACTCACCACTCCAGCTGGATGATGCCCTTCCGGAAGTCCTTACTCTCCACCATGCTGGTGATCTTGCTCTCACCCAGTTGCTGGAACAGTGAGAGAGTGACTGTGAGTGGACAGTATTTCATTTACATCGTTTGTTGTTTAACACTGCACTCAGCGATATTCCAGCTGTATGATGGCGGCCTGTACATAGTCTGGACCAGACAATCTTCAGTTATATCAAGTATGGCTGCTTGTGCTAGTCCGGACTGATGCCGATTTTAGTGCTAGCACACTGAGATACCATGGTGTAGTTCAACATGAATACCCCACACAGAAACAGTATACTGACTCCCTGCCGACCAGTCCTTGTTTTAATCACTTAATGCTGACACCCAACAGGGTAACAACAAGTACCATCTCATTGAACCCCGGACCTGCCGCTCTCTGGGCGGATGCTCTACCACTAGACCATGGAGGCTGTCCAGAGCTGTTGAGTTTACCTTGATGGTGCTGTTGAGCTCCTCTACCACAGTTCTGTGAGTCAGGACGCTGTTGGTGTAGTTGTGGACGAAGGACCCAGCATCCACCTCTACCTGTCCCTGCTTCAGCAACAGCTGTACCTCCAGGTTGAGAGTGAAGCGCTGACGGTCCTCCTTCAAACTGAACACAACAGAGATGGTGGTGATAACTTCAAACAGGAACATGTTCACCTGGATTTAAATGTTGGTTCCTACTGTCTAGGTGAATGAAGACAGAAAACAAAGAGTTCTATTTTTGTCAGGAAGGAGTGAGTAGGGGATTAATGTTGCATTGCACAGTATATCGGTAATGTCATGGTGTGCCAGCTAAACTCAAACTTAACTTAATTGGATAGATGGATATCTCTTTGGAGAAACCAACACATACAATGACAGTCTACAACTTTAGCAACTAGTCCAAAGCCTGAGTCAAGTAAAATTCTGTTCAATCAAGTAAGCTCACCTCATATTAGTCAATATGATAACAGTAAATTCTACCGAAAATGGCGCTGGGACAATGTTCGAGCTACAAGTCTAAAAAGTGCAGTGCAGTGATGCTAATAAACCAAGGTTCATAATTGTATTTAATCAAGGATTTGCATCAACAATCAGCAGAAGCTGGCATGGATGAAGGGACACAACTCTGCACAGCAAGTTGTGATGCCATAGAGGGTGAGGGCATATTGCTTGAGTGAGTGAGTGAGTTGTGTTTAACACCGCTTTTAACAGTATTCCAGTTATATCACGGAGTGTCAGCTTAACGTGTGAGGAAAGTCTGAAGTGATGCAGGTCTTAGAGGTTTACCACTTCGGTGAAACCGACGAGCACGGGTATGGTGCTGACAAACCTAGAAACATAATCGGGGCGAACCGGGATTCGAACCGGGATTCGAACCCACAATCATAGGTTTCTGGCATGCCAAAGGGACGCAACTCTGCAAGCATATTGCTTGAAGCCACAACAGCATTAATATTTGTTTTTATCAAAGCAAGTTCTATGCAATTTGATTTGAAATGGGATGAAACCATTCCAGAGAATAAAACATATAATAAGTGAGAAAGATCAAAAGCATGGCTGATATGCCCCTCAGAACTAAGAAACACCCACCTCTTTATCTGTTTCTCTATGTCACGAATCTCTTCCTCCAGTGCCACATCCTCATTCTTCCTCCTCTGCTCAAAATCTGTCATCTCGGCATACACCAGGGACTTCACTTTCACCTGAAACCAGGAACAACTGTCTTATAATCTGTGATAAACCATGGGACAGAAAATACAGCACGACCTCACCAGATAGTCAGGTATCAATCCAACATTCATAGAATCTGAAATTATAACTACCATACCAAAGAATCTTAGCATGATTCATGATGATAAACTTACAACAGTCTTAGATTTACATAACATCTCAGTCCTTAGTATCCGGAGCAATCAAATACATTTTCAACATAGCCGTAATTATGTATGTACAATAAGGAATGGAAGGGAGGTAACTCTACTGCTGTACCCCCAGGGCTGCGGTGGGTGCTATAACCTACCAACTGTTCACTGTCCATCTTGTCCTTCCTGTAGGTGCACATCCTCTTCCAAACATGAAGCTCCAGCCCCTCCGGCATGTTCCCCTCCCGGTCCATCTCCTCCACCGCCGCATCGATGGAGGCCTGGGCCGCTGCGTTCTGTCTTGCGGTCGACGGCCTCTCTGCGAATGGGTTGGAGGAGTTCACATCAAGTACAGGGGTGTCAGCTCCTTTGAACTTTTGTCCTCTGTAAAGAAGGAAAATTTTGGGCAATGGTTAACATCAAATCATCATCAGTAAATTCCTTAAGGCTTGACACAAGTTTGTCAAAACATGTTTAATTCATCTCCATATGTACACAGTTTAAGACAAAATACACAAGGAGAAGACAAAGTTGTAAACATGCTAATTTAACATTGGGGAGTCATTAAATGGATAGAATTGTATTTGTTTGTTTGTTGTTTAACTTCACACTCAGAAAACTCCAGCAATATGATGGTGACCTGTATATACATCGAGTCTGGAGCAGACAATCCGGTGATCAATATTGTGAGGTACGACGACACGCAATTAACCAAATCTGTGAGCCTGACCACCGGATCCATTTGGTCGTCTCTTATGACCAGCACAGGTTGCCGGGGACCTATTCTAACCCGGAATCCCCATGGGATGACAGAGTTGTGACCTTTACCTTGGTCTCTTCCTGAAGAGACGATACAGCTGATCCTGCATGATTGCCGACACGTCAGCAAACTCTCGCTTGAAGGATCGGTCCATGACCTTGTCCTCTGCTAGCAGTATGTCGTACTCATCCTTAAACCTGGCCAGGTTCTTTGATGATTCGGAGGCTGCCTCACTTGACAGTTGCTGCAAGCATTATATCAAGTATCGTATCAGTTCAAAGTTCAACTGAATTATTCATGTTAAAATATTAATCTGTCAACTTTGGAATTATTTTTCAGTACATTTCAATACTGTCTCATTGTCGTGGTAATCAAAAACAATTTCTTTCTGTCAACATTTTGTTACTGTTTTCAGTATTTATTAAAAAGAAGTATATCGGACAAATGTAAATTTAGGTCTGATGTACCTTAAAACAGCAATGCCCAAAGAATTCCACCAGAAACGGTCATGCAGAAATTCTGCTCAGCTAAATGTCCTATTCCAAACCACAAAGTTACCTACCTATCTCTACCACCTTGACAATAATGACAGACATTTGCAATCCACCTACTCATGCACGTTAGAGAGAGAGAGTTAAAAGATGGTCATCAGCTATGATGAAGCTTGAAAAGATTGGTTTCCAGAGCAGAGTTAAAAGGGTGTTTGATGGACGAAGGGAGCCAACTCTACAGTACATGTGCTGTAGGAGTGAATGATCTGAAACCAGAAGATGTGAGTTTCTGTTGTGGCTGGTAGTTGTTGATTCTCCAAGCTTCTTGCTGGAGTGTTCACTGATGATCTGTCAGACAGTCAGGTGCTGCTCCATGTTCGGACAGGTAGGTTAGTGTGATGATGCCTCATCCATTCTGATTAGCATCATACTCCAATACGATACCTCTCTGCGTGCAGATCTAATAAGATCTCCATAGAAGGTCGCTCATGTCAGGTGAACTCTTAGTGACCTTTGATCTAGTTTACATTAGGGTATCCTGGTTCTTGAGCCAATCAAATGTCAACTTTCTAAGAAAATTCTTCATTTCCTTACTGTTTCTATTTGGAAATTTCCATTTTAACAAAGAAATACAACACAGAACTCAAACATTCATTTGATGATACTCCCATGTGGGTGCAGAAACAACAAGGTATATATGATATCCACAAAGACATATAGGCCTATCATTGGATCATATGTTTCAGACATTATATGATTTCAGACGGCCATGTTTATCGCGATTACTCTCACATTAACGAGGGGTGTAGCGTCTCACTGACATCATAAATACACAGAGGATGGCTTGAGTTTCGGATGAATTGTCTTTTATAAGTGAGAGTTTTGTTTTTCAGTTGTTCATGTGACTAGAGAGAAAACTACAAATGTTTCTTAAGCATCCGAAAACCCATAACACTGGGATAATAGATTGGCCATAACTATTTACATTTGGAACTGACCGTTGAAGTTCAAATTTGAGAAATCAGATATTCGTACTGTAGCCTTGATACTGACTGACTGACTAGACAGTCTACCTGATGCCCCAACTATGGGGATGTGGCCAGATCATCATGCAGAGAGGTATCGTATGGGGATGTGGCCAGATCATCATGCAGAGAGGTATCGTATCGGAGTGAAAAGTCTGAGTGTAACGAGCTAGCTGCCTCCTCACCTTCAGCGTCTTCTTGTGCTGCTGCAGCCGGACCAGCTCCCTCTCCCTCACCTCCAGCTCCTCCTCCTTCAGCAGCACGAACCGCAGACGCTGGATCTTCAGCTCCTCCTGCACAACACAACATCACCGCAGGGCTTTGTTAGGAACTTAGCCAAACCTCAAAACAAACAACTTTTCAGGGTTAGGACTAAACTGAAAAGCTTTACTAGCCCGGTAAAAATAAAATACCCATGTAATGTTAAAACAATGGGGAAATTTGAAAATTTGTCCTAGCTCCAGGCTAGCGGGCTAGTGTTAATTTCGATCACTACCTTTTCAAGGCTCAGGGTCCTTATTGACCCACTGGAAATGTCACATTTTAAAGTTGCGACTTTTAAAGACTGGAATGACAATTATCAGTGTTCCAATGGCTGACAACTAGCTACTTGTTTTTCTTACATTTGCAAAGTTTTGGACTTCTGAGATGGTTTAGTACATAAATTGTTTATCAGATTGCCAATATGAGTTAAAGAAGGCAGATTTGGGGAACTTCAATGAAGATCTAAGTATGAGCAAGTCTGTGATCCAAAATGAATTTTTACCACGTTTATAATGTTTTTGTGAACATCTATAAAAATCACATCAGGTCAAAGACTTGCTCATGTTGAAATACTACAAAAGCACTTCATGGAATGTACTACATGAAAATCTAAAAAAACATCCTTTTTGACAAATTTTATCCTTACTTATGCATTGAATGTTTTCATATTTCACAAACATACAATTGTTGAAATGAAAAAAGTTAGCTCTCATTCATATGAACATATCTGTGTATTCTTTGTACACAACATTTCAACAAATGTCACTGTAAACATTGAGGTAACTTGGGTTGTATACTCCCCATGGAGCTGAGAATGAAATTTGAGTGCACACTGATCCATTGATAATAAATATCAATGTGGTACCATGAGTATTTCATTTGGAGGAATGGAATGGCACTTTAAGAATAGACATAGTTTTGTAGGTGAAAAAAATTGTACGTCTTAAAGCCTTGACTGAAAATATATTCTGTTCCAAACAAGAAAAACAGCCCTCCCCAACATATATTTAGTTGTTGGTCCCTTATAAGTGTGAACATGTAACCCCAAGCAACTCCCCTGTCTCCACATGTATTGTCAATGTACTTCCTTCAGGGCTGGGATGGGTAAGTCGGGTAAGTCGGGTAAGTCAGGTACTCGGGTACTCGGGTCAGGGGGATACTGAGTACCCACAGGACTACCAGCACCCATGGCTAGTCATGTGACATATTGTTTAATTACAACAACAACAACAAAACTCTATGGTTTCACTTCAGGTCGCTAATGTTCGCACTTCTTTCGGACAATGCGCGCATTCCTTCAAATTTTTATGTTTGAGTTAAGATGAAGCTTCAATCGAATTCAGTGTATGCATGATCAGATCGTTTTTTACGTGTATCTAAATAGTTTTTGCCAGGTCTCCGGTATAAACATTTCCCAATTGGACATTTTGTTCCCAACTCCTGAGACAAACATCAGGTACATGGGTAGGGCTGGGAAATAGAGGGACAGGTACTAGAGTAGGAAATGTGGACTCATCCCAGACTCAACATCTTCGGGTGGTCAGTCCCTAAAGACATGTCCAGTATGTCGTCCAGTATGTCGTCCACTGACCTGATAGATGACCATCATGACCTTGATCTTCTTGAGGAACAGAGCGTTGAGTGTCTCGTCGAAGCCTGCCATCCCGTCCTGGATGATGCCCTGCAGCTTCCGCAGCTCCGTCTCTAGTTGCTGGAACACATGGAGATGTGCATGTACACCATCCAGCTGTCACTCACTCTCCTACCCAGAGTTCCATGCAACCAGCATAGTACCTCTGCCACAGGCCAGCGCCATGTGACGATTCGTCACATCATACACAGTCCATTCAAGATATTGCATATGTTTTTCATCCGTTTCATTTTTGACAAGTCTACAGATCTATATATACGTATCACAGAATGGTTAACTTTCATTGAGAAAATATTCTAAATCGTGAAAAACTATTTCTATTTGCGTAGTTATCCTATGTTTACATTGTTTGTACGGCTCCACGTGCTGTCATTGAAGCCCTACGGTCACTTTGATGTGTAAATATGTATTGTCATGCAACCCACTGTCGCAGTTGTAGTAGCATATTTATATAATTATGCAAAACAATATGTAATATGCCCCCAAATACTTGCATTAGTCCATTCTATATTTCTGAAAAAGCGTGTTTGTTTACAAACAAGAGAAAAGTCTGGTCACGTGATATGCAAATTAGCCTGTGGCAGTAGTGTTATGCTGAGTCACCACTGCGCGGGAGTGTGGCTGTAACTCTATCACTAGCAGCACTACATGGGGTTAACATGGGCGATAGGGGGATCTCATCGGAGTTGATACCACGAACAACCAATCAACAACAACTGTCACCTGTCCAGTTTCAGCAAGAAAGGGTTATAATATGATGTTTCCTTGCTATTTATTAAACAATAAAACATAGAACTTATATAACCAATTCTATGTTTTGTTGTAAAACTAAAAGATAAAGTACTGTTTAATAAAAGAGTATAACAATTTATGGAATTTGGTTGGTCAGTGATAACAATGATGATGGCGATGATGATGATGATGATGATGATGATGATGATATGGAAGACATTTATTAATTAATGCTATCAGAGGTTTGAAAAATCACCGTTAGTTAACTCTGTCAGTTACAAAAGATATATGTGTATGTTTGTTGTTTAACGCTGAACTCAGCAATATTCCAGCTACATGATGGCGGGCTGTAAATAATTAAGTCTGTACTAGCTGTTTGCCCACCTTCCTGTACTTTTCCCTCTCCTCGGTGAGATCCTTGACTTTCTTCTCATAATCACCAACCAATTTCTTCTCATCCTCGGACCACTCTTCCTCTGCCTTGCTAATCATGAAGTGTGGCTTGGGAACATCCTGTATGGAAGCAACACAGACCAAGTTAGAAACTATCACTATAGTTCGTTTGTTCGTTTGTTCGTTCGTTCGTTCGTTCGTTCGTTCGTTCGTTTATTTAATGCTACACTACGCAATATTTAAGATGCAGGGATCAAATAGACCCGATATTGATGTAGTGATCCCAAAGCTTAGCTATTGATGAAGTGACTGGTAGAGTATCTTACATCAAGAGGACAACACATCAACAGCTAGCTGTGAACAGCAATGTGACTGACAAAGAAAGATCCACCAACAAGATGATTAGTCATTATTTTGTCATCGGTCTGGACCAACCTTCTTGAGTTCATCTTCTTTCTTGATCTCGAGGACACCTCCCATCATCATGTCCAGGGCTCGGTCCCGAGCATTGTCCCCCTTCTCAAGGAGCCTCTGCGCTTCCTCAGCCTTCTCCTGCTGTTCCAGCTTCTTGCGCTGTGCGGCTGTCAGGAACTTCTCCACCTTCACCTGCAGGCAGAGTAAGTGAGTGAGTGAGTGAGTGAGTGGGTGGGTCGGTGGGTGGGTGGGTGGGTGAGTGTGAGTGTGAGTGTGTGGGTGGGTGGGTGGGTGGGTGGGTGGGTGAGTGAGTGAGTGAGTGAGTGAGTGAGTGAGTGAGTGTGAGCATGGTTTTACGCAACTTTTAAGCAATATTCCAACAATATCACGGCGGGGAACACCAGAAATGGGCTTCACACATTGTACCCATGTCGGTTATCAAACCAGGGTCTGTGGCGTGACGACCGAAGGTTTTAACCACTTCCCTACAAAGCCGATAGAAACAGTATTTCATTTACATCAGTATGAATGGTTCAAGGCAAAATGTATGATCCCCAGGAAGTTGAGAATGACATTTATGTGCACACTGATCCATTGGATAACATTTGCATCCTTATTTATAAATATGTAGGCATTTCTCGTATCTAATCCATAGGTACTTTTATGTTTGTTTGTTTGTTGTTTAACGCCGCATATGATGACATGCATCAACCAAGTCAGCGAGCCTGACCACCGATCCCGTTGGTCGCCTCTTACGACAAGCATAGTTGCCTTTTACGACAAGCATGGGTTGCTGAAGATCTATTCTACCCCGGATCTTCACGGTCGAGGTACTGTTATGCCTTCATTGTATTGTTTATAGGAAATGTGGCAAGTAGTAGCTACTTCAAGGTGATGCCTTACCTCACTGTCATCCACTGTTAGAAGCATTTCTGGCTTCTCGAGGGCACCGAGCTCATAGTCCACGACCTCTTCCTTTATGTCCAAGTCTTCCATGATCTTTACGATACGCTTGTTCTTTTCCTTGATCTTACTGATTTCTTGTTCTTTCTTGCCAAAAACTTCATCAAATTCCTTGTTGAACGTATTCTTGATACGGTGGATGGCATCCTGAAAGGAATAGAAAAATGGAATTATAGATTAACATTCACACTTTTACCAACTGCTATAAGAAATACACCTTTTGTTCTAGGACAATGACAGCATACAGAGATGGATCCAGGATTTTGAGGTGAGGTGAGGTGAAATTGGATTTAACGTCACGTCCAAGATTATTGCACTTATATAGCGACGTGCATGCATGTGTGTGTGTGTGTGTGTGGCTGCTTGTACTAGTCAGGACTGATGCCGATTTATAGTTCTAGCTCACTGAGATACCATGCCGCAGTTTAACATGAATACCCAACTCAGACACTGTATACTGACTCTGAGCCGACCAGTCCTTGTTTTAGCCCCTTAATGCCGAGCGCCAGACAGGGTAACAACAAGTACCATCTTTTAACGTCTTTTGGTATGACGCGGCCGTTCCCTTTACAACACCAGTGATACCCAGCTTCACACTGCCCAATTACTTGCCTCCAGTAGAATAATCTGAGTTGTCTTCTGTTCCCGAGTGTGGAGTTCAAACTGGCTGTAGAACAGATCACTTCCTCCACCGAACTGTGCACCTTCACAGAAAGAACACATTGTTGATTGTTTGTGTGATGTTTAAATCCACACTCAACAATATATCAGCTACTAGTATAAGACGTAAATAATTGAGTCTGGACAGACACTCCCGGCTTGATACTATAAGCAATGACTCACGCCAGCAGATAACAATAGGAAGCCCTCAACCAAGTCACTGAGCGTGACCACAGATCCTTTCAAAAGCCTCCTACAACCAGCATAAGTTGCTGGGGATTTGTTCTAACCTGGATTCCTCTTGGAGTACTCTTATCAAAGCAGGAACACAGTCACACACCTAAAGATAGGCATCTTCACAATTTTCACACAAAAGGGAAGGTTACATTTGATATCCCTGAAAAAGGACACACCAAAATTTCAACAGAAAATATAACTAATAAATATGGCTGTTGTCAGTGAAATATTGAACTGTTTGATTGGCATTCTAGAAGTTGGTGAGCACAATAAGAGAAACATACAACTTTGTGGATAACAACTTCTGGATTATTGTTACGATGTAGATTCTTACATCGTTATCAAACTGTAGAGTCTACATCAAAACATCGCCATATGCAATAATCAGAAGTTTTATCCATAAGTTTTATGTTTTTCCTTTTTTCTTAATTTTATAATTGACAAGCAGTTATCACCACACGGGTGGCCCAGTTGTCTAGGGCGCCGTGATTCGCTGTGCAGAGTTGCATCCCTTGGGCATGCCAGAAACCTATGATTGTCGGTAAAAATCCCGGTTCGCCCCGATTAGGTTTCTATGTTTGTCAGCACCATACCCGTGCTCGTGGGTTTTACCAAAGTGGTAAATGTCTGAGACCTGCATCACTTCGGGCTTTCCTCCCACATTAAGCTGACACGCCGTGATATAATTGGAGTACTGTTAAAAGTGGCGTTAAACCCAACTCACTCACTCACTCACTCACTCAGACAGTCTTAAACAGTGTCTGCAGTACTAACCTAGACTGCCCGTTGTGGAAGGAAGCTCCTTAGAGTCCTCTTCTCCTTCTTCTCCCTCTCCCAGATCGTCATCCTGTGATATACAATTCACAATCAGCTTCTCAACCTTTAACACCATGCACTTGATCGGATCTTAACAAGGCAGTGTTTCTAATGTTCCAACTACAGGATGATGAATAACTTCTTCATCATCAACTTCAGTGTGAATCACAGAAGATGTATTATATCAAAGGTCCATCATGTGTTCCAAAGTGGACCAATTTGTGATCGGAAAGGAAAATGTATACTCATAGCTTTGCCACACTGAAAATCCACAAAATAAGTGTTCGTGAAAATCTGGACAAGTACCATTAACCCTCAACAAGAAGGATCTGACAGTTTACTATCTGGAGGACAATATGTTTCACATTTCCACTTTAAACTGAACAATGCTTCTTGAAAACTAGGTTCCCGTTCACCGTACCAATTAGCGATGCTAAACACAACTTCCTTAACCGACGTTATGTTGGGAATTTCATGTTAAAGGTGTAACTACTCAGGTTGAAGATCTGTTTGAACATTGCAAGGTAATCAGAGGATGACATTATCATAATAACAATAAAGTGATTATTTGTTTGTCAGACTCTTAGGTCAAAAGTGTGGAACTGAGAACAACATAAAGTGACAAATTCCTCGCAAACATAGAAGCAAGTCAATTCTGTCTACCTTGTATCTCATACTTATTGCTCCTTGAACAGATATTCAAAAAGTAGGGTTCAAAGAGTCTGCACTTTTTTCGCTTTCACCACATTGTAGGAAATTTCTTTCCCATGCAGGATAATCGTGTTTATATCTGTATTACCGTATTCGATGTAATAAGCGCCCAGGGCGCTCTCAAATTAGAAATAGGGGGCTCTAATTAGAATATTATTTTGGTGGAAAAAACAGAGATGAAAGATAAATTTCGTGGTTTATGCTGACAGCCTGAAATGTTTATGTAGAACAGATATATTTTCCAGAATTTCATTGCCCATAATTAAGGGTGCATATAACACAGGAGTGCGTATTATACGCGAATAAATAAGTCTTGTGTACATTGATCAATCGGAAGGGGTGCTAATTGGGATTGTTCACTAGTCAATATGTAAACAATTAGCGCCGTGGGCGCTTATTAGAGAGGGGCGCTTATTGCGTCGAATACGGTATATTCATTATCATTGTTATACATTATCATGGTCAGTATAGTCACAGAACCTCTCCATTAAAGCATCACATGAAAAAACAGGCAGCCATTTTGACAAACAAATAATCGCATTGTTCTGGCTGTGACAATATAGTGAATGCTAAAATATAATCATTTTCAATATCTGGATTATTACAAACATTTTGAAATAGTAAACTACTGATCAAAAGATAACATAACTATGAAATAAAACATGCAAACACAATGTAAACATAACAACAGAGCCATGCTGATCTCCTAGGTGTTGAGTTATACATGGTTCAGGCATTTATCTAGGGTTCCAAACTAAGCCCCCCCCCACCCCTTCCTTGGCAGACAAAAGGCCAAACATAACTTATTTTGTTCAAAATCGGGAAAAAGTTCTTATTTTCTTAAATCCAGAGGTATTCAAAAATTTTGTTCAAGCAATAATGTAAAGCATCAATACAATTTCTCTGCATGAAGATCAGAGGACACCCATAGAAGGTCTAGTCAGGTGTACCCAGATGAACACCCTTAATAGTACACTCTAGATAGTATACCCTCAATAGTACATCCTCAATAATACACCCTTGATAGTACATCCTCAATAGTACATCTTCGATAGTATACCCTCAATAGTTCCCCCTGGATAGTACATTCTCAATAGTACAACCTCAATAGTACACCCTTGATAGTACATCCTCAATAGTACATCCTCAATAGTACACCTTCGATAGTATACCCTCAATAGTTCCCCCTCGATAGTACATTCTCAATAGTACACCCTTGATAGTACATTCTCAATAGTACAACCTTAATAGCACACCCTTGATAGTACATCCTCAATAGCACACCCTTGATAGTACATCCTCAATAGTACAACCTCAATAGTACATCCTCAATAATACACCCTTGATAGTACAACCTTAATAGCACACCCTTGATAGTACATCCTCAATAGTACAACCTCAATAGCACACCCTTGATAGTACATTCTCAATAGTACATCCTCAATAGTACATCCTCAATAATACACCCTTGATAGTAAATCCTCAATAGTACAACCTCAATAGTACACCCTTGATAGTAAATCCTCAATAGTACAACCTCAATAGCACACCCTTGATAGTACATTCTCAATAGTACATCCTCAATAGTACAACCTCAATAATACACCCTTGATAGTAAATCCTCAATAGTACAACCTCAATAGTACACCCTTGATAGTAAATCCTCAATAGTACAACCTCAATAGCACACCATTGATAGTACATCCTCAATAGTACAACCTCAATAGTACACCCTTGATAGTACATCCTCAATAGTACACTCTTGATAGTACATCCTCAATAGTACACCCTTGATAGTACATCCTCAATAGTACACCCTAAAAGGTACACCCTTGATAGTACATCCTCAATAGTACACCCTTGATAGTACATCCTCAATAGTACACCCTAAAAGGTACACCCTTGATAGTACATCCTCAATAGTACACCCTTGATAGTACATCCTCAATAGTACACCCTAAAAGGTACACCCTTGATAGTACATCCTCAATAGTACACCCTCGAGAGTACACCCTTGATAGTACACCCTTTTGGGTGTAGATGCCAGGGTCCTTAGAATCGACAGGATGTATAAAATATCCACAACAACAAAATAATTCAGCTTTATATTTTTGCATCCGGAACTCCCCAATTATATTCGTTTTCAAGACACAGAATTCAGACATGATTGTCTGACTGCTTTGCTCACTCCTACCAAAATGTTGGAAGCTTCAAGGCTGATTAGCTGATTAGACAGTTCATGTAACATTACCTCCTGTGCTCATATATTTCATTTTCCCAAATCTTACAATAACAAAATATAATATGCAATATGAAGAAAGAAATAATTGTTTAATAAACCTGTAAAAACCACCATTGCTATACAGAAAAATAAAGATCTGGAAAATACTGTGTAGAATTAGTAGGAATGAAATTGAAGTCAGTGAAATGATACATGCTTGTGAAAAAAATCTAAAAAGATGTAAATAAAATAACATAAATCTCACAACCAAAGTTGTCTGAACATTGACTCACAAACTCTGATGCTCCGGAATAAGGCCTTTGACTGTATTTCGGCTTCATGATAAAAATTGACAGATGATTGACAAGTGATGAGAGATGAAAAAAACGTAATACGTTTCTAGTATCTTCAACTGATTCTGGTTCTAGCTTAATCAAAAATTAGATTATAAAATCATTTTGTTTCATTTATAAAGAAATATTAATGATTATGGATTAGTCATGTTCATATTGAAGATGTGAACATGACGAATTAAAAATATAAATAATCTGTCAACTGCATATTGATGTCATCAAACATCTGAAAAAGTATTTTTCACCAGATTGAAAAGTCAGTTGGGTTAGAAAAGTGCATTTAATTGGTGACAGCTTGAAATAGGTTGTAATACACAAGAAAGGACAAGAGTGGTACTTGTGCTTTCCTCATTCAACACATAGTTCTTCATCCGCTATGTGACAGATTCCACATAATCTCATGGGTGAGTGAGTATGGTTTTACGCCATATTTTTAGCAATATTCCAGCATTCTAATGGCAGGGGACACCAGAAATGTGCTCCGCACTTTGTAGCCATGTGGGTGTCTAACCCGGGTCTCAGGTGTGATGAACAAACGCTTCACCCACTAGGCTACCCAACCACACCTCATGGAATTGCTCAATTAATGATACACTGGGAAATATAAATGAATTCAGCACATAAAACTCTACTTACGTGAGATGAAGGTTTTTGGCCTTGTTCTATTTCTTGTTTCCGTGCCTGAAATTTTGAAACAAAAATAAAGTTGGTTATAAAAGTCAAGAGTAACAGTAATTTATATTGTACGATATCTCAATGACACACAGTATGAGAGTTAAGTGAATAATATTGTATACATATATTGCGGAAACAGGAATCTGTATTGTGATATATTAGTGGCTTCACTTTTTCATCCCACTGATAAGAGAGCTTATTGCACACAAAAAGACAAGGACCCACTATAAACAATTTTGCATCAATGGTTACAAAACAAACATAAACAAGCTCTAAGTGTTTGCAAGAATTATTAACTAGCAATCTGATAGAAACATTACTCCGATTCTCCGCTCCCTGACATCTACTGTTAAAATGAAGAAGTATCGTAAACATTATTATATGGGAAGGGAGGCTACTATAATTCCCTTTGCCAATCCGCAGTGGTTACCACTCATCAGACATGTTTTTCCATGTCGAAGTAATATGTTTTGCGAAAAGAATGTTTATTTTAAACAATAAGAAGTGCTTGTTTTTTGCCTACCATCAGGTATTTTCCTTAAAAAAATCCATAAAGCAAGCTAAATAAAAAAGAATTTAATTTTACACAATAAGAATTGCTTGTTTTTCACCTACCATCAGGTATTTTCCTTAAAAAAATCCATAAAGCAAGCTAAATAAAAATATTTCCTGAGCTAAAACAACAAACTGATAAAGTGCCTGACACCTCTGAGCATCTCTCCAACATCTCATCTGTATTATACTTACAGCTAGCTCAGCAATCTCAATCTGCCTTCTCTTAGTAACAGTCTCTAGAGCTTGGACTACAGGCTCTGACCTTTCCTTCATGGGGAAGTTGGACACCTCGAGGTTTGAGTTGAAAGCCTGCAATAGATTCCATGTGTACAGTTTCACTTCGAAAACATTCAACAAATTCATTTTACAGATTATCATGTTTGCCATTGTCAAAAACATTGCTATCATCTTCCCGAGGCAAGGGAGTTAACTGACTATAAAAGTCCTGTTTCCACCCTTGTCGAACTAGGCTGGAATTTCCAGACTCGAGCCACCAACGGCTATTACAAGTTTTGTCCCTTTAAAGTCCCATCTATTGACCAATCAGATTCCACTTCTCTTATCACTTGCAATTGCTTCAAATAAAATGATGGCGCCAGTCTAGACAATCTGATCGACAAACAAAATCTACACTGTTCTAAAATGGGTCTTACTTCGCGAAGTGCATCAAATCATGTGAGCACCTTGATTAATAACATCACAAGATTTGGAAAATATCTGTTGATGCCGAGTTGGTGGTACACATGCTATGCAAATCCTGCAATCGACCAAAATCTGGATGGCAGTTTACAAACTGGATATCGATTTCGTTACGCAAATTTGATTAGCTATGCATAGACTCGTTAGTCCAGCCAAACTCCATAATACCAGCCTAGTTTGGCAAGGGTGGAAACTGGACTTTCCTAGTCAGTTAACTCCCTTGCTTCTGGACAATGCATTGTTATGGGACCCATTTAAACTTTCCTGTTGGCGAGAGTTTCTTACTTGGAGTGCTCTCCCCTTGACCTTCATTTCGTCCCAGCACTCCTTCTTGATCATGTCTCGTAGGTACATCTTGGCCAGATTGTCGAACTCGATCTCTTCTCTCACCTGGAAAACAAGAAAGATTCAATGAGTAAAGTCACTCATTGTTACTCAAATGAATTTTTAAAACAAGGTTTACAAATACAATATTACATTCACATCACTGATGTGCCAGGCTGGTAACAACATCGTTAGTCTAGCAACAACCCTGCTGATGTAGTAACATCCTTGCTGATGTAGTAACACCCTGCTGATCTAGTAACATCCCTGAGTAACATCCCTGCTGATGTAGTAACATCCCTGCTGATCTAGTAACATCCTGCTGATCTAGTAACATCCCTGCTGATGTAGTAACATCCCTGCTGATCTAGTAACATCCTGCTGATCTAGTAACATCCCTGCTGATCTAGTAACATCCCTGCTGATGTAGTAACATCCCTGCTGATCTAGTAACATCCCTGCTGATCTAGTAACATCCTGCTGATCTAGTAACATCCCTGCTGATGTAGTAACATCTCTCCTGATCTGGTAACATCCCTGCTGATCTAGTAACATCCCTGCTGATGTGGTAACATCTCTGCTGATCTGGTAACATCCCTGCTGATCTAGTAACATCCCTGCTGATCTAGTAACATCCATGCTGATGTAGTAACATCACTGCTGATGTAGCAACATCCTGCTGATCTAGTAACATCCTGATGATCTAGTAACATTGCTGCTGTTCTAGTAACAACCCAGTCGATCTAGTAACATCCCTACTGATGTAGTAATATCCCTGCTCATCTAGTAACATCCCTGCTGATGTAGGAACATCCTGCTGATGTAGGAACATCCCTGCTGATGTAGTTACACCCTGCTGATGTAGGAACATCCCTGCTGATGTAGTAACAACCCTGCTGATGTAGTAACATCCCTGCTGATGTAGGAACATCCCTGCTGATGTAGTAACAACCCTGCTGATGTAGTAACACCCTGCTGATGTAGGAACATCCCTGCTGATGTAGTAACATCCCTGCTGATGTAGTTACACCCTGCTGATGTAGGAACATCCCTGCTGATGTAGTAACAACCCTGCTGATGTAGTAACATCCCTGCTGATGTAGTAACAACCCTGCTGATGTAGTTACACCCTGCTGATGTAGGAACATCCCTGCTGATGTAGTAACAACCCTGCTGATGTAGTAACATCCCTGCTGATGTAGTAACAACCCTGCTGATGTAGTAACATCTCTGCTGATCTAGTAACATCCTGCTGATCTAGTAATATCCCGCCAATCTAGTAACATCCCTGCTGATCTAGTAACATCCTGCTGTTCTAGTAACAACCCTGCCGATCTAGTCACATCCCTGCTGATCTAGCAACATCCTGCTGATCCATTAACATCCTGCTGATCTAGTAACATCGCTGCTGTTCTAGTAACAACCCTGTCGATCTAGTAACATCCCTGCTGATCTAGTAACATCCTGCTCATCTAGTAACATCCCTGCTCATCTAGTAACATCCCTGTTGATCTAGTAACATCCCTGCTGATCTAGTAACATCCTGCTCATCTAGTAACATCCCTGCTCATCTAGTAACACCCTGCTGATGTAGTAACACCCTGCTGATGTAGTAACACCCTGCTGATGTAGTAACACCCTGCTGATGTAGTTACACCCTGCTGATGTAGTAACACCCTGCTGATGTAGTTACACCCTGCTGATGTAGTTACACCCTTCTGATGTAGTTACACCCTGCTGATGTAGTTACACCCTGCTGATGTAGTTACACCCTGCTGATGTAGTAACACCCTGCTGATGTAGTTACACCCTGCTGATGTAGTTACACCCTGCTGATGTAGTAACACCCTGCTGATGTAGTTACACCCTGCTGATGTAGTTACACCCTGCTGATGTAGTAACACCCTGCTGATGTAGTTACACCCTGCTGATGTAGTAACACCCTGCTGATGTAGTAACACCCTGCTGATGTAGTAACACCCTGCTGATGTAGTTACACCCTGCTGATGTAGTAACACCCTGCTGATGTAGTAACACCCTGCTGATGTAGTAACACACTGCTGATGTAGTTACACCCTGCTGATGTAGTAACACCCTGCTGATGTAGTAACACCCTGCTGATGTAGTAACACCCTGCTGATGTAGTTACACCCTGCTGATGTAGTAACACCCTGCTGATGTAGTAACACCCTGCTGATGTAGTTACACCCTGCTGATGTAGTAACACCCTGCTGATGTAGTAACACCCTGCTGATGTAGTAACACCCTGCTGATGTAGTAACACCCTGCTGATGTAGTTACACCCTGCTGATGCCTACCCTGGATATCTCGGTGTCTCCAAGACTCTGTAGTTTGGTTTGCTCGTCTACATCCAGATCAAACTCATGTCGGCCGAGCTTCTCAATGTCAGGCAGAATCTCATTATCCTTCATCATGTCCTGAATCTGTTGCAACACACACAAATCTATGTCAACACAGTGATCCTAGACAAGGACACCACAACAACATAAGATCAAACATAGGTCTACATATTCACAGTTAAAGAGTAAATGTTTGTGCTTTAACAACAGACAAGGAAAAGTTTAAAGGGAATACAAAAAAAGTCATTCATAAACTTATACCACCAATCACATTACTTTTCATAATGATAAGTCTTTTGCATTGATAACAAATACTGTTCCTAAATTTTTCTAAAACCTTTGGAATTCTAGGTTGTAATTTTTCCCTGTCAGTGTATACTTATTGTAGCATAGATGGATTTAGTTTTTAGGCTGATTGCATATCATCAACCCAACAAATATTAATTTAAAGAAAACTATTGACTTAAGTTAAAATTTTTAGAGGTTGCTGAGTGTGTACTATGGTTCCTGAAACTCACAGTTCTCCGGATGTCTCTGATCTGGGTCCGAAGCCCTGTCTTGGTATCCGCATAATGCTGATCTTCATCTATTAGAGCCTGCAAAGGGGGAGGAATACAAGGATTATGCTACATGCAATCCTTGTAGGTCCTTGTAGGATCCAGCATTTTTAAAATGGAGGGGTGAAAATATCAAAATCCTTTCTCAGATATATTTACTGCCTACAACATACTCCCAAAGGGGAGGTATGGACCATATGTAGATCCAGAGGGAGGGGGCTACAGACCCCTGCCCCACCTCTGGATCCGCCAATGTTAAGTTTTCAGTGAAAGCTGAAAATGGGATAAACAAATTATTAAACATTTAATATTAAAAAGAATGAAAATATCTGTCAAAATGATTTTGATATTAACAATCATGATTAACACAATATGGAAACAATATAAAGTATAATATATTCAACAGTGATATAAACAGAGCGTGATATGATTTAGGCGCTTTAGCTTGTCAGAAGTTATTCGCAGTGAAGTGACAATTACAATGCACTTGGAATCAGGTAGCGCAGTCATGTCTAAATATAATCAAATATTTAGTACTGAAAAGAAATTTTTCATTAACAGACGGAATAAGTGCAGACATTACAATGCAGATTATAAATCATGAGAATTACAATTTGACAACGAAATTGACAGGATACATTCAATATGCAGAAATGTATTCCCAGTCAAGCGAAGGCAAGATTAAGCAGCATAGCGTTGTCAGTGACAACTAGTTTTCAAACCTCGAGTTCGCGCTCCTCTAACCAAGTCGCATCCGCCTTAGGCGTAGGAGTAGGCGTTTTGTAGATAATATCTTGGTCAATTGCCTCCTGCTTTTTTCTCTCTGTCCTCTCCTGTGTGCAAAATTGTGATCAAACTCATGCATTAACAGTGACCTTCCTACAATGATTTGATAAAATTCATTTCCTCTATAAATAATAATGACATGTGCATGTTCATGCAACTACGATTATGCAAATTAAGTTCTGAAATAGATTAAAAAGTATATTTTCAAATTATATAAATTAAATGACTATGAATATAAGTAAAACTTATAAGATTATTTAAAACACATGCCTTCTATAAAAAATATGAATTTGTTCAAAGGAGCATTTTTGAGCCTAAAATGTTAAATGAAGAATCGGTCACCATCATAATTCTATCCCATTCAGTAAAAGAGATTTTGACTCACTCACTGTTATCAATATTCAGTTCACTGCTTCGTAAATGCTCCTTTGACAACATATAACATCTACATAATGTTTTTTCTAAGTGCATATTATTTACTCTTTAAAGTCATATATGTTCAAATTAAGAACAAATCATAAACACTGAATCTGAAAATAGAGATTTAATGAATCACATGCCCCCAGTTTCAATACCGGCAGAACATAATAGTTCCATGTCCAAACTACTGCACTGCATTTTTAAAACAGTTTTAACCAAGGGTAGACAACTCATGATGGGATGAGGCCATGCATGCTATGACTGCAGACTTATCAAACATGGAGATCTTTGTATCTTAACTTCTCAGCAAGTTCTTCCCCAGGGTGTCATACCAGTACCCTTGTGGCATTTGGCTCTGGTGACTCTCAGATATATCATAAGGGCTAAACACTGGATCTGGTCACCACGGCAACCACAGAACTACCAGCAACTGCTGGTACAAGGTCTGTGTTTATTTCACATGTCTGTTTTTTTAGTTTGTTTTTGCACGCCACACTCTGTAATATGTCGGCTGTATGACGGTGGGCTGTAGAAAATGGAGTCTGGACCAGATGATTGACATCATGAGCATTGGTCCACACCATTGGGATATGATGACACGCATCAACCAAGTCAACGAGTCTGATAACCTGATCCCATTAGTTGCCTCTTACAACAAGCAGACCGCCTCCGTGGTCTAGTGGTAGAGCGTCTGCCCAGAGAGCGGAAGGTCTGGGGTTCGATCCCCGGCCGCGTCATACCAAACGACGTTAAAAGGTGGTACTTGTTGTTTCCCTGTCTGGCGCTCGGCATTAAGGGGCTAAAACAAGGACTTGTCGGCTCGGAGTCAGCATACTGTGTCCGAGTGGGGTATTCATGTTAAACTGCAGCATGGTATCTCAGTGGGCTAGCACTATAAATCGGCATCAGTCCGGACTAGTACAAGCAGCCACACACACACATGCATGCACGTCGCTATATAAGTGCAATAATCTTGGACGCGACGTTAAACCTAATTTCACCTCACCTCTTACAACAAGCATGGGTTGCTGAAGACCAATTTAAACACAGACTCTTTTGGAAGTGTCCTATCCAGATTTAGTAAACGATAGCCATCCAATTGCTTGGCATTATAAGCTACGAGATACGAAGACCATTTCTAACCCGGGTCTTCATAGGGGTATTTTACAGTTCATCAGGTGACGCTAAGCAATGCCATCAGCAAGGAGTAGGATGGGTTTGGCAGGATGGATGCTTGACAGTTTCTTGGGAAACACTGAATTCTACCTAACACTGAATCAAGGATCAAGAAACATGTGGAGTCTCGAAACAAGCCCCTCTTTGACCAGCAGTAAATGGGTACCAGGTAGGATGAGCTGGTCATGTGGATGAGCCATGAGCATGCTTTAAGGATGGATACAACACAACATGAATATGATCACAAAATTAAAGACTCTTGTCTGATCAGTTTCCATCCATGCTTTCAGCTACTAGGAATGTCTGAGTCTGTCTATGTCCGAGTCTGTCTATGTCTGAGTTTGTCTATGTCCGAGTCTGTCTGTGTCTGAGTCTGTCACTGACTGTTCTGAATGGTCATATGTGCCTTGGTTTTACTTACCCTCTCTTCCTGTTGCAGATCAGATGTAGAACGAGACACAGGCTCTGGTACGTTCCATTCAGTTAGACTCTGAACAAAGTCATCTTCTTGTTGCTGTAAGGTAATCAGCCGTGCCTTCCTTGACCGAGCTATGTCTATAGCCGATTTGGCTTTACTTATTCCAATCGATGTGAAGCTGTAAAGAGAAGAAGATGGTGAGTTTCTTTGCCCGAGCTATGTCTATAGCCGACTTGGCTTTACTTATTCCCGTCGATGTGAAGCTGTAAAGAGAAGAAGATGGTGAGTTTCTTTGCCCGAGCTATGTCTATAGCCGACTTGGCTTTACTTATTCCAATCGATGTGAAGCTGTAAAGAGAAGAAGATGGTGAGTTTCTTTGCCCGAGCTATGTCTATAGCCGATTTGGCTTTACTTATTCCCGTCGATGTGAAGCTGTAAAGAGAAGAAGATGGTGAGTTTCTTTGCCCGAGCTATGTCTATAGCCGACTTGGCTTTACTTATTCCCGTCGATGTGAAGCTGTAAAGAGAAGAAGATGGTGAGTTTCTTTGCCCGAGCTATGTCTATAGCCGACTTGGCTTTACTTATTCCCGTCGATGTGAAGCTGTAAAGAGAAGAAGATGGTGAGTTTCTTTGCCCGAGCTATGTCTATAGCTGATTTGGATTTACTTATTCTGGTCGATGTGAAGCTGTAAAGAGAAGAAGATGCTCAGTTTCTGTTTTTTATAACATGTACAATAATAAGTCCATTTATAATTTTGGTCCTTCAAATCCTATGGGACAGAACAAAAAGTGCCCTAATCATACTTACAGGTGTAATGCCAAAAACGACTAGTACTCACTTCCACGCGAAGCAGATGAGGACTCCATCGTAGCCCGAGGACAGGAGGTAGTGACAGTCCTCGGAGAATGTGGCGGTGTGGACCCCGTCTAGATTATACTCATGGGGCATGATGGAGACATGGCGGTCCTGAAGAGACACATGGTCCTGGGGTGACTAATTATCATACATGCCATGACATATTAACTATAGTCATATGAAAGAACTGGGTGTTCGCTAACTACTTTTGAGTAGCTTATATAATCTTGGGTCTCAGGATTGCATACACGTGTACAAGCAAAGAACCATTTCATTTCTGCTTGACAAAGAGTATTATAACTCCCATCTCCCAACATGCAACTATAACTATGCTGACTGTCACCACTCATTATTCAAATATAACTGTCATTCTAAAAATGTGTTCTTGGTTCACAGGCTTTCCGTTACAAGTAAAACTAGCCATGAACTTGACCTCTACAATGTATGTGAAACTGGCCATGAACTTGACCTATAGAGTGTATCCGAAAATGACCATGAACTTGACCACTACAGTATATGTGAAACTGGACATGCACTTGACCATTACAGTGTATGTGGAACTGACCATGCACTTGACCTTTACAGTGTATGTGAAACTTACAATGCACTTGACCTCTACAGTGTATGTGAAACTGACTATGACCTTGACCTTTACAGCATATGTGAAACTGACCATGAACTTGACCTCTACAGTGTATGAGAAACTGACCATAACCTTGACCTTTACAGCGTATGTGAAACTTGCCATGAACTTGACCTCTACAGTGTATGTGAAACTGACCATGAACTTGACTTCTACAGTGTATGTGAAACTGACCATGACCTTAACCTTTACAGCGTATGTGAAATTGACCATGAACTTGACCTCTACAGTACATGCGAAACTGACCATGCACTTGACCCCTATATAGTGTATGCACAACTGACCATGCTGCCTTTGGCTCTGAGCATGATGCAGCCATCAGTGCCGTAGGACGCCAGCCACCTGTTGTGAGGGGACAGCATGATCTTTGCTCCAGCCAGCTGATGACCTGTGAACTCCGTCTCAGCTGACAAGTACGCCTCAGGGCTGGTCATCTGAAATATAGGTTACACCATGAAAACATCATGTATGGTACATAATGAACTGATGAAGGAGTAAGTTTTTCTAATGTTAACAGCTTCCCAAGGACTTGTAAAATTTCAGGCTTTTGGGGGCATCCTTTCTACATTACCACTATTCTGTTTCAGGTTAAATTCCCTCTCTGGGGAAAGTGTTGTGGTATTGCCCACATCAGTATACATCCCTTTTGCAGATATGCTTTTTGACCAATAACTAGACGTCTGAAACCATGGCAACACCCTCCATCATGTCATTGTTTGAAATCCATTAGTAATCTGATTTTTACTCTATGATATCCAGGTGTTTGACAAATCACAATGAAACAGTCTACAGTTGAATCTCGTTAAGTACAAACAGGGCAACTAGAAAGAATGGATACGCAGATACTTTTGTTGCATCCTTCTCTATATTTATTCATCATCATTTACAGCAAGATAACCTGAGTCCTTTAAGTACAAAGAACATGCAAGTAGAATTCTACCTTAGTCCCGAGTAATTGTATTTTGGCATTGGTTGTTTAACTAGAAAGGAATATGTTTTGCAAACTGAAACCGGTAGAAACTAAGTAGAAGATGTAAATAATTGAGTCTGGACCAGACAATCCAGTGAGTGATATTGTGAGCAATGATCAGGCTTGGTTACTTGGTTGACTGCGTGTCCATGTTCACCCGCACAGTGGATAGTTTTTCACGATATCAATCACTGGATTGTCTGTCCCAGACACAATTATTTACAGGCCGCCGTCATATAGCTGGAATATTGCTGAGTGCGGCATTAAGACAAAAAAAAACAAAAAAACATTCCGGTGTCTAGTCCATTCAACTTGTAAAATTCCAGCTATTCACATATGATACAACTCCTAATACGCCAATCAAAGTCGTTTCCAACAATTACATTCTAAGGAACTGCAAGACACACAAATAAGGCTTAAAAAGATAAAATGCGGGCGGGCAGTATTTTTTGTTTCGTTTTTTGTTGCTTGTCAAACCAGTATGTAACCAAATAAACAGTTGTGTACCTTCAACCTGGGAAAGGGCCTCCCTACATAAACAAGCATACAAACTAATGGTGTGGGCAGTGCCTGAGAACCAAGACCATCATTTGTTTTAACCTATGCAAGAGCTACCGACCTTCCTGGGTTTAGTTTCAGGCACAGCAACACTGTAGATCTTCTTGGTGTGTTTGTTGATGGCGTACAGAGTGTTGTTCTCACCGAACGCTGCCCCCTCAGTCGGCACAGTCAGGTGGAACTGCATCTTGTTGATTGCCTCATCTCGGAAGTCACACTTCAGGCTGTTGTAGCTGATCTTCAGATCTAATCAATGATGATCATAATCACAGTGAGAGTGTTAGGTTTATTGCCGATGGGTCAGTATGTAAGTTATATCACAGCATGTACGTCAGTTAATGTGGGAGAAAAAATGAAATGATGCAGGTGTTAGATGTTTACCACTTTCATGAAATGATATCCATGGACATGGGGCTAAGAAACCCAAAAACATAATCAGGGCAAATTTGGTTTTCCAACCCCCCAGCCCCCTCAAACCTACAGCCCGATAATAGGTTTTTTGCAGGCCTAAGGGGCGTAACTCTGCAAAGTGAATTAACAATAGTTGCTTAATGTAAAGCCGTTGGGCAATTCCATCAAAATTCTGAGTCCTTCTCTGAGATTCAAATTTAAAATTTCAGGTTAAGGCCAGACCATGAAATTCAAGCATTTCCAGCCTGTTCAGGCCTCAAAGTTGCGACTAAAATGATCGCCAATGCGACCTAAATTTCAATTTGTCTACTGTCTAAAATTCAGAAAAAAATACTTGTATCCATATGGCTACTTGGTAAAAATTTAAACTCTGAGGAATGCTGTTTGAACCTTGACCTTATGATGCAGCAAAGGCAAGTGACAAAATAGTGACCCTTTAAATGTCCTCAAACTTAGTGAATTGAAACAAGTTTCAGAAGGGATATGTTCCTTTAACATCTAACGCTCAGGTAAGTTTAAGTAGATAGAAGTCTCCCCATTGTCTGCGTTTCTGTCAGCAAATCCACAATCATATGAGAAGTAGGGTAGATTACTTAACTCTATCCATGTAGTGGACACCACAGCATATATAGTAACTTCAGTGGGAGGAGTGACAGATCAAATGTAGTAATTTGAATGATTTGTGGTTCTTAATGTCTTTTGAGTATATATATATAGTCATCATAGGATATATATATATATATATACACATCCTATGATGACTTGTTTGTTTGTTGTTTAACCACAATCAGCAATATTCCAGATACATGACAGTGGTCTGTAAATAATCAAGTCTGGCAAGACAATCCAGTGATTGATATCAGGAGGATCGATCCACTCAATAGGGATACAATGACATGCATCAACCAAATCAGCGAGCCTGACCACCCAATCCTGCAAGTTGCCTCTTATGACATGCATAGGTTGCTGATGACCAGTTCTCAGACAGATCTTCACAGGTCTGTTACATGGTGAAGAGATTATTACCCTGATGTGTTTTCATATTGTCAGTATCATATGGAAGTAATAAATATGCATTATGCCATGGTTCGCATATTACAATTTTGATGAAATTTACATACAGAGGACCCGTGAAGATCCGGGGTAGAATAGGTCTTCAGCAACCCATGCTTGCCATGAAAGCCGACTATGCTTGTCGTAAAAGGCGACTAACGGGATCGGGTGGTCAGGCTCGCTGACTTGGTTGATGCATGTCATTGGTCCCAATTGAGTTGATCGATGCTCATGATATTAAACACTGGATTGTCTGGTCCAGACTCGATTATTTACAGACCGCCGTCATATAGCTGGAATATTGCTGAGTGCGGCGTAAAACAACCAACCAACCAACCAACCAACCAACCAACCAACCAACCAACCAACCAACCAACCAACCAACCAACCAACCAACCAACACATACAGAAACACAGGAAGGTAACAGTTTCTGTTTACCTTTGATCAGCGTGTCTGTGAGACTGAAGACAGTGAGCTTGTTTGCCCCTTGATCCTTGTCATGTTTGTCATTGGTTGTGACCACAACCTGCACGTTCTGGCCGCTGGTGAAGTTGGTGATGGTGTTGATGCTGCCGTCCACAACTGAAGAGGAAACAACAGACATTGATAAACACAACCCTACCAAACAAACCCATCAGAGAGCTACCAAACTAGGGACTATGTACACACTTTAAATAGAAATAGCCACACAAATTACAGTGAGTGAGTGAGTGAGTGAGTATTGTTTTACGCCGCTTTTAGCAATATTCCAGCAATATCACGGCGGGGGACACCAGAAATGGGCTTCACACAATGTACCCATGTCGGGAATCGAACCCGGGTCTTCGGCGTGACGAGCGAACGCTTTAACCACTAGGCTACCCGACCGCCCCACACAAATTACAGAGACACAATCCCCATAAAATCTGCATCATAATGATTAAAACCCGCCATATTTTCAATGGAACCCAACCAAAATCACGCCGAACGCAACAAACGGAGTGCGGATGTGCAGATCTGGTACAGTGCTCACTGGCTGTCAACAAGCATCTAGAGGGAACCAATGTGATGAGTGTTTGTTCTTTTTAGTCATTAATCACATAATTTTAAAAGGTATGTAGATTTTGAAAAAACGCAAAATGCCATATTTATTTAACACAGTACTCAATTTTTTTTAGCTATTTGTCGGCCTGTAAATAGTCGAATCTGGACCAGATAATCCAGAGATTGATATCATGAGCAAGGTATGATGACATTCAACCACAGAGAGCGATTATTCATTTTGTTCTAGTTATTTGATTTCCACTTAACAAGAAGAGACAGTTTCAGAAATTCATCAAATTAATATGCACAACGATATTAATTATCACTGCAGTGTCATCGTTTTTGCAATAACAGGAGTTGATACTACACTTCTGAGTTTACATTCAACTGATTTAGTGAATGTTGTTTAATCCCACAGTCAGCTATTTTCCAGTCATCTCCAATACAGCTATAATCAAATCTGGACCAGGCAATCCAGTGACTGAAATCATGAGCAACAATCCACACACAGTCAAAGAGCCTGACCACCAAATCCTTGTTAGGTGACTCCGGTTGCTGGGGACAAATTCTACCTGAGAAACCCCACAGAGATAACAATCAATAAGAGCATGTGCAAGTATTGTGATATGTATCGGATTGTGAGCAAAGGATCGTGATATGTATCGTACGTATCGGTGTATCGTCCCAGCCCTGCTGAACATCCCGCACTATTTGAACCCATGATCCTAGATTTCTGGCATATCTACGGGAAGCAACAGGGAATTCTGTGACCCGTGCCCCCTTATGTGACCAACGTCCATGCACTACCTGTATACCCGTGCTCCCTGTTGTGACAAACGTCCATGCATTACCTGTATACCCGTGCCCCCTGTTGTGACAAACGTCCATGCATTACCTGTATACCCGTGCCCCCTGATGTGACAAACGTCCATGCACTACCTGTATACCCGTGCCCCCTCATGTGACCAACGTCCATGCACTACCTGTATACCCGTGCCCCCTTATGTGACTAACGTCCATGCACTACCTGTATACCCGTGCCCCCTTATGTGACCAACGTCCATGCACTACCTGTATACCCGTGCCCCCTTATGTGACCAACGTCCATGCACTACCTGTATACCCGTGCCCCCTGATGTGACCAACGTCCATGCACTACCTGTATACCCGTGCTCCCTGTTGTGACAAACGTCCATGTACTACTTGTATACCCGTGCCCCCTTATGTGACCAACGTCCATGCATTACCTGTATACCCGTGCTCCCTGATGTGACAAACGTTCATGCATTACCTGTATACCCGTGCCCCCTGATGTGACAAACGTCCATGCATTACCTGTATACCTGTGCCCCCTGATGTGACAAACGTCCATGCATTACCTGCATAGCCCAGCACTGAGAACTTCTGGGATGGTCTTCCATCTGCTACAAACACCTCGTCTCCCTCGGGGGCACTCAGGATATATCTCCCATTTTCATCAAACCTGAAGACCACAACATGCATCATCAGGATCAATATTTCTGCACCTTGTTATTATCACTTCAAAATGCCAAACAACAATCTGTCAGGCATAATTCAGACTAGATAAGAACACAATATGCAGATGTCAAAAGCAAAGTACCACAGTCCCGACAGTGATGACTTAGCATTACGCCACTGCCACATGTTAATTTGCATATCACGTGACCAGACTCAACAGTCCGGTCCAATGGAAGCGTTTCAGTGTGCTTTATAGATTGTCTTGCATAATAATGAAAATACACCAGCTGTGATGGTGTTTGCTTTGTTTGTTTGTTGTTCAATGCCACACTCAGCAATAATCCAGCCATATGACAGCGGTCTGTAAATAACCGAGTCTGGACCAGACAATCAAGTGACTGACATCATGAGCAACGATCCATGCAATTGGGATACGATGACTTGCATCAACCTGATCCCGTTAGTCGCCTCTTATGACAACATAGCTTTACACATCAAAGTGAATGTATTGCTAGTTTTTCAAGTTTAACAATAATATTTCAATGAATGTGAACCATTATATGACATACATTTATCTAAATTTATAGATTTTAATAAAGAAAAAAATGATGAAAAACGTATGTTACTTGTTGAATAAACTGGGTAAGATTTGACAAATCATCACATCGTGCTGGCCTGTGGCAGAGAGACTAGGTTGAAGTCAAGGAACTCAGAGTAGGAGAGAGGCAAAATACATGATGACGTATTCACAACAGAAACAAACAACCAGGGTGCCGTTGTACAAAACAACCTTAGCACTACCACTGTTGTACGTCCATGTCAAGGTATGGGAGATATGATCACCTTAGCGCTACCACTGTTGTACGTCCATGTCAAGGTATGGGAGATACGATCACCTTAGAGATACCACTGTTGTACGTCCATGTTAAGGTATGGGAGATACGATCACCTTAGCGCTACCACTGTTGTACGTCCATGTTAAGGTATGGGAGATATGATCACCTTAGCGCTACCACTGTTGTACGTCCATGTTAAGGTATGGGAGATACGATCACCTTAGAGATACCACTGTTGTACGTCCATGTTAAGGTATGGGAGATACGATCACCTTAGCGGTACCACTGTTGTACGTCCATGTTAAGGTATGGGAGATACGATCACCTTAGAGATACCACTGTTGTACGTCCATGTTAAGGTATGGGAGATATGATCACCTTAGCGATACCAATGTTGTACGTCCATGTTAAGGTAATGGAGATACGATCACCTTAGCGCTACCACTGTTGTACGTCCATGTTAAGGTATGGGAGATACAATCACCTTAGCGATACCACTGTTGTACGTCCATGTCAAGGTATGGGAGATACGATCACCTTAGCGATACCACTGGTGTACGTCCATGTTAAGGTATGGGAGATACGATCACCTTAGCGCTACCACTGTTGTACGTCCATGTTAAGGTATGGGAGATACGATCACCTTAGCGATACCACTGTTGTACGTCCATGTCAAGGTATGGGAGATACAATCACCTTAGCGATACCACTGTTGTACGTCTATGTTAAGGTATGGGAGATACGATCACCTTAGCGCTACCACTGGTGTACGTCCATGTCAAGGTATGGGAGATACGATCACCTTAGCGATACCACTGTTGTACGTCCATGTCAAGGTATGGGAGATACGATCACCTTAGCGATACCACTGTTGTACGTCCATGTCAAGGTATGGAAGATACGATCACCTTAGCGCAACCACTGTTGTACGTCCATGTTAAGGTATGGAAGATACGATCACCTTAGCGCTACCACTGTTGTACGTCCATGTTAAGGTATGGGAGATACGATCACCTTAGCGGTACCACTGTTGTACGTCCATGTTAAGGTATGGGAGATACGATCACCTTAGCGATACCACTGTTGTACGTCCATGTTAAGGTATGGGAGATACGATCACCTTAGCGATACCACTGTTGTACGTCCATGTTAAGGTATGGGAGATACGATCACCTTAGCGCTACCACTGTTGTACGTCCATGTTAAGGTATGGGAGATACGATCACCTTAGCGCTACCACTGTTGTACGTCCATGTTAAGGTATGGGAGATACAATCACCTTAGCGATACCAATGTTGTACGTCCATGTTAAGGTATGGGAGATACGATCACCTTAGCGCTACCACTGTTGTACGTCCATGTTAAGGTATGGGAGATACGATCACCTTAGCGCTACCACTGTTGTACGTCCATGTTAAGGTATGGGAGATACGATCACCTTAGCGATACCACTGGTGTACGTCCATGTCAAGGTATGGGAGATACGATCACCTTAGCGCTACCACTGTTGTACGTCCATGTTAAGGTATGGGAGATACGATCACCTTAGCGATACCACTGGTGTACGTCCATGTCAAGGTATGGGAGATACGATCACCTTAGCGCTAAGATCCCTTTATGCAACGGCGATCTGTGCATCAACTAAGGGCCACAACTCTGCACCAGGAGGTGCAGTTTCTTCTACTTCTATTGTTTCCAGGAGAATGTAAGCAGATGAACTCACTGTAGATGAGAGACTGGGCCGCCATACATCCGGAACCTGTGCACCACTCTCAGTTTCTCAATGTCCGCCAGGTCCACACAGAAGATGTGCCCCGTCATGGTGCCCACCAGGGCAATGTGAGCTAGGGGACTGCAGGCCAGGGCTGTCGCCTGAACCAACAGATATTTTACACACACAATATGAAGCACTGTAAAAAATACTCATATCCCCCACCAACATGAAGGAAAGGAGCACTACTGCCATTTTCAGTCTAAGTCAAAGTCTTTGCCATGGAAACTCGAAAATGAACTTTTTAAAAATCCCAAACTATCAAAAGGCACCACTTCACCACTAGATCTATACTCAAATGTATAAAAACAGCACGTGTAAATACCCAATGAAGCTTTTCAGCATGCATACAACAGAGCTAATTCATGAAACACAATTATGAGCTAATTTACTTTACGAGTCAAGTGTATATTTAGAACCGTTATATACTCTACTGCAGAGTATGCTACGCGATAGTGCTTCCTCTTATTTTCAAATACGTCGCTGTCACGAGCTTGAAATGAATTCCAGACATGTGGGACTTCCTGTTAACAACCACACATGATTACAGTGATGGTTCTGTTACCTGAGCTCCTAAGTTGACAGAAGACAGGAGCTTGCCATTGTCAACTTTCCATACTTGAACTTCCCCATCTTCTCGGACGCTCTTAAACACAGATAATGCCAGTCATCAGATGTTGTATCAAACTTCCTCAACTTAATACAAACAGTTTCAGAATAAGAAACAGAAATTGTTACCAAATACAATGCATATTATTGCGAAAAGACGAAATGTTCCAACAAAAGAGTAGACCATTTTTTCATGATCATGTTTGTTTGTTGGTTGATGCCACACTCCACAATATCCTAGCAATATGACGGCAGCCTGTAAATAATCAACAATCCAATGATCAATGATGTGAATAACGATTTACGCGATCAGTATACGATGGCATGCTATAAACCAAATCAACAAATCTGACCACCCGATTCATTTGATCGTCTCTTACAACAAGTAGAGGTTGTTCAGAAACTATTCTAACCCTGAATCCTCATAGAGTCCATGATTATGATTTCTTGTAGAGACTAATAACTTTATATACAATCGGTATAGATGACTCTTCAAATAATATACGAATCTCTGTATATGCGCTTTGAGCAGCCGACATTGCCACTGACAGAACTTTGAGCGGCCTTTGAGGGACCTCTAATCAAGCTGACAGAGCTAAGAGCTGCCACTAATGCCGCTGATGGAGCTTAGAGCTGCCGCTAATGCCGCTGATGGAGCTTAGAGCTGCCGCTAATGCCGCTGATGGAGCTTAGAGCTGCCACTAATGCCGCTGATGGAGCTTAGAGCTGCCGCTAATGCCGCTGATGGAGCTTAGAGCTGCCGCTAATGCCGCTGATGGAGCTTAGAGCTGCCGCTAATGCCGCTGATGGAGCTTAGAGCTGCCGCTAATGCCGCTGATGGAGCTTAGAGCTGCCACTAATGCCGCTGATGGAGCTTAGAGCTGCCGCTTTTGCCGCTGATGGAGCTTAGAGCTGCCACTAATGCCGCTGATGGAGCTTAGAGCTGCCACTAATGCCGCTGATGGAGCTTAGAGCTGCCGCTAATGCCGCTGATGGAGCTTAGAGCTGCCACTAATGCCGCTGATGGAGCTTAGAGCTGCCGCTTTTGCCGCTGATGGAGCTTAGAGCTGCCGCTAATGACGCTGACGGAGCTTAGAGCTGCCGCTAATGACGCTGATGGAGCATACAGCTGCGGCTTTTGCCAGTGACGGAAATTCGAGCGGATGCTAATGACGCTGACGGAGCTTCAGAAATTATAAGATTCAAAACAACAGAGCAATGCTTACAACAAATGTTTCCGATCCTGTTGCCATGGCAGAAACAGCAATAAACTGCCCATGGTGGAAATCTCGAAGTAGAAACAAGCTCTGCGGCAGGCCGGAATCATACAGATGAATGCTTCCCTGGAAGGTAATAAAGACTTAGACATGTCCTTGTGGATCAAACCTGGACACACTAGTAGAAATAACATATAATTAATATTAAATATATATGATAAATAAACATTCATAATAATATACTACTCAAAGAAGGTAAAGAACACCAACTTCTTTCATATTACCCTTGTTGATCCTTCACAATGACAGATTAACTCCAGTAATACATATGTATGAAAGAATCGGGAATTCTTAAACTTCTTTGAGTAGTTTATATTAATTTCGTAATGTTTATCACTTGCTGCAACTTATGATTAAACATAATGATTTTTTCTTTGTTCTCTTAATTTTACAGTCTGACATCAGATATTGCCTGCTTGGGATAATGGTCCTAAACATTGTCTCCACAGACGATCTGGGCATAGCAACTTCTGTAGGTGACCTTACCAATGGAGAGCACAGGGCCATTCTGCTGAAGTTGTGAGAGAAGGCCAGAGATGAGATGGGTGCGCCCACACTGCACTGCTCTGCCACCTTGAACTCATCACCGCCTGTCTCAATTCTCCTCAAAACACCATCCTGTACACAACCAGAAGATGTTAGACATCAAGCCATTCATTTAACAGATATTATTAACACACATACAAGAGTGATGAAACCTGCAGTCTGAAAACTTGAAGTGTATAGCCAGAACTTAATTGACTCTTGTGCATTATTTTCATTATATCTTAGTGATATAATTTGGACCTTACAGAATTTTTCTAGACTCAGGCTTTAGACTACTGGATTTAGTTGCAGACTGCCTCCATTGTGACCTAACTAAATGAGTGGCATAATCCAAATATTGGCAGGGGTTAGGGTGGCACTGCCTCTTGTAAAAGTATCATATATTGCACACATCCTTGCTTGCAAACTACCTACTAAAAATATTTGGATAGTCCCGGGAATGATTGGCCACCATTTTCACACTTTCATCTAAGTGCATCTTCCAAACATCTGTGTGAATCAGTGGTATCAGACCATTTGTCACAGTTAGTTGAATATCAATGCAAGAGACAAGGGTCTTTTTATCTAAAGATAATGCAACTGTTTACATTGTTAAAATATTCTTTAATCGAGTTAAACAGACAAGATAAAATCTTATTTTCAGGCAGGACCTGCTAACAGTAGGGTTGGGACGGGTAACCCGGGTACCGGTACATGGGTCGGGTGGTTACTGAGCAGGACCTGGGTACCCACAGGATTACCGGTGCCGGCGGTTAGTCATGTGATATATTGTTTAATGACAAAAATGATCTAGAACTATATGGTTACACTAGAAGTCACTAATGTTCACATTTCTTCCTGTCACATTACGGTATTCCTCATCGGACATTTTGTACCCAACTCTTGGGCCTACAGTGGGTATCTGGGTAGGGTAGTGTAATAGGGGGGTGGGTACCTGGGTAGTAAATTTGGACTCGTCCCAGCCATAGCTTACAGGTATATTTGTTCATCTTATTTTATGATTTTAATAAAAAGAATTCTGACAGTTGAGCAATGGTGACTAAGATACTTTGGTCAATCCACTTTAAGAAATAAAACAAAATAATGTTTGAACTACATATTTTTAAACGGTCACAAACTAATGCTTACCGTTCCTACTGCATAGAGTCCCTTCCTGTGTAACGCAATACAGTTGAGTGATCCTTCCAGGACCATGGCACTGAGCTCATCAGCTGGAACAAGGAAACCATAACAGTCATGGGTGAGCCAGTCATCTCAGGCGCTGCAAATCACTGTGCAGAGTTGTGTCCCTTGGACATGTCAGGCACCTATGAACTTTGGTTGGAATCCCAGATTCCCAGTCAAGGACATTCTTGATTATTTAGTGTATTATGTCTCCATTTTTATTTGATAAATTCTGGTGGTGGGACAATACACCGATGTATTGATGGATTGCGATTTTTTACTTCTCGATACAAGTATTGATCACAGTCGCACACTAAGTACAAAATATTGATTCATACTTTAAATGTTTTCAGTTATAACTGTTACACCTACAACTAATAGTAGTAGTGAAAATTAGAAGTGAAAACATAAATATTCTCTTCCAATGTGCCATACTTGACACTGCCAACTGTAAATCGTCAGTGTGCCAGGTATTTGGCCATCCTGTTTATGAAAAAGATGGCTTACGCATCACAGATAGGAGCACCTGCATCTATCATGATACGTATCGGATCGTGAACAAGGTATCATGATACGTATCTGAAGTCTCAACCACAGTCTTTCCTATTTCTAAGTCAGCGTGGAATTTCAGTGACACGTGGAGTAATTGGATTGGATGGCTATTTTTAGCATCGTCCTCAAAATGAAGCTAGGGTGGTGAATGTGTCAAGGGTATTTGCTATAACAAAATGGATAATCGAGCATGAGTCAAGGGGTACTTGCAATAACACTGATGTTAAAAACTAAATATCTAGGGGAACACACAAATCCTGCCTTAGCTGTAAGGTGAAGTGGGGTTTACCGGTATGAACTCCAGTCGCCTACATAGCGACATGGCTGTTTGTACTAGTCTGGACTAATGCTGGTTTTATAGTGCTAGCCCACTAAGATACTATGCCGCAGCATAACATGAACACCGACTCATATACATTAAACTGACTCCAAGCCAGTCCTTGTTGTATCCCCTTAATGTTGTCGCCAGTCAGGGTAACAACAAGTACCATCTGTTAGCCTCTTTTGGTATGATGAAGGCGGTGATCAAACTACAGGGCTCGATTTAAGGAACTTGATTTAACTTGCACCAGCTACCTGCTGACATGAAAACCAAGTTGCACCAAACAAAACCAGGTTGCACCCTGGTCCCAGTAATTTATCAAAGTTGAAACATAGACCGTTCTGCTGCCAGTGTCATATAAATTAATGACACACTGCTGTAAAATGTAATAGGACAATGTGCTTATCATAAGAAAGCATGAGAAATTACACATAACACAGGGATTAGTGATATAGTAAGGTAAATAAACTTTAGATGTATTGAGTGTGTTCAAAGATCGATTTATGCAGACTCCAACAGGAATTTCTTTTACATGCATTGCATGTAGATATAAAAATTAGGTTGCATTTTTTCTAATAGGCTGCAATGGTGCATCTTATATGGCTAAATCAAGCCCTGCACCCCCCTCCGGCCTCTGGACCGATGCTCTATTCACTAGACCATGGATACAGTCCCTAGCTTTTAACACTGACTACAGAGGATGTACATTGCCCCCTCACCTATTGGCTGACTGTCCCCAATGCTGGTCTTGGTGTGTCCTGCACTGGTAGCGCGGGACCGGGGGGTCTCTGCCGCAGGGGGGGGATAGTACAGCACCCTTGCCTTCATCAGCTCACCGTCAATCTGGACACCAAGAAATGTCACATTATCTCGTTAATTGTCACAAATACTCTGAGGAAGAGGAGCAGAGTGCTGAACGTGTGATACAACCATCAGACAATGTGTGATCCGTGATTTACATGTCTACCATCATGTCACCAGAACACATTGAGTACCCACAATTAATCATCTTCCCGAGGCAAGCAAGTTAACTGACTATAAAAGTTCAGTTTCCATCCTTGCTAACTTGGCTGAAATCACGGAGTTACATTTTGGCTGGACTGACGAGTCTATGCATAGTCCAATAAAAATCGTGTGACGAACTAGACATCCGGTTCGCAAACAACATGGATTTCAATGTGCATATTTTGGTCGACTGTAGGATTTGCAATGCATGTGTACCGCCATCTTTTCATGTTTTTAATCAAGGTGCTCAAGTGATATAATACAAAATGCGAGGTAGGACCCGTTTTATTACAATATACATCTTGATTATCGATCAGATCGTCTTGACGGGGCGCCACCATTTCTGTTTGAAGCAAATGCAAGTGTTACAAGAGGTGGAATCTGATTGGTTAGTTGGAAGGACATAGAAGGGACATAACTTGTAATAGCCCCTGGTGGCGCTATGATTGAGCATGTAAATTTCAGCCTAGTTCGGCAAGGTTGGAAACTGGACTTTTATAGTCACTTAACGCCCTTGCCTCGGGGAGATGACAATTTATACTTTCTTAGATGAAATTGAATGTGAACATGTTAATCAGCAGCATTTGTTGTTCACTGTCACTGCAATGTCTATTTCTGAGGAACGATATCTTATATAATTGACAGAATTCATACCAAGGTTATACTTGGCTATTTCACTGTCAAATACATATGTTTAACAAAACACTTTATAAGGTGTTTTAACAAAATATAAATTCTTGGTTCTTGAGCTCCTCTGTATTATATCCCTTCATGTTATTTCAGCTTTGAACAAAATAAGACACAAAACACTTCCACCCACAATAGGAAACTACACATTGATAAACTAAACAAACAATCATCCACCTGTACATAATATTCAAAGCGTCATATCATGTGAACCAATTGTATTTAGTTCTTTGTCCTGACAAAATAATGGCAACGGTTCCTCAATACAAAAGCAAAACATTGCTGAACACAATTATACACATTTAATTAAGAGTTTACTTTCATATTCTTTTGCATTTCTGAAAGTATAAATGTATGAACTGGTGGGAACACTGCATTTTACGTTTATAACTCACTGTTTGCAAAAACATATTCAAGTCAATTTTTATAAGTAAATATGTTGATAATAATAACTTAACAGACTGCTTATTTCATCATAAACAAAAAGAACTGTTGACAACAGTACGAAATCAGTGACATCATTCAGCACAGTAATGCAACACAAGCCCGCCCATTCTATTATCGGCCAATCAGGAAGCAGTAGACTGTTAGTGGGCATGGCGTAATTTTTTGTCGGTTTAAAAATATTGTATGGCATCAAATTGCACGGAATCACTAGCAACTTATTTCTATTTGTATAACCTACCTTTAAGAGCTGTCCACCCTTACACCCCACATAGATGTCCCCTGTGGGGGTCCAAGTCTGGGACACTGGCGCCACCCTGACGGTCTTATCCTGAACCTCCGACAACCTGTCGGCCATCTCCCCTACCAGGCCAGCAATGGCCGCCTTGGGCACGTCCACTGTGTACTGGGTCATTCTGGTCGACGCCCTGGTCAACACATCTCTCTCCTTCTCATCTTCCGCCATGTTGGGGTCCTCGGGGGGTAGTTTGACATGCCTGAAAGAAAACATTTCATTCATGTCAACTTTTGCTGTCTGAAACGTGGTAAAGACTAAGTATTCGGCAATTCTTTTTTGAAAACAGGTTGGTTACTTTTGGACCCAGAAATGTTCGCACAATTGTAAAGTGATTGATCGATTGAGTTAGGTTTTACGCTACTTTTAGAAATACCCCAGCAATAATACGGCGGGGAACACCAGAATTGGACTTCACACATTGTACCCATGTGGGGAATTGAATTCCAGCCTTTGGCGTGACCACTAGGCAACCTGACTGCCCCCACAATTGTATAGAATTAACACAGACAAAATACATTATATGACGAAGCACAACAAAATTCTTGACAAGAAATATAAAGGTCCTGTAATTAAAGTAAGTCTCAAATTCTACAGTACACTACACTTCCCCATTCCATTACTTTACAGGTCCCCCATATTTCCTGTAACGACCCTTGTTATAAATTACTGGGGATCCAGCGGCTATACAGTCATGTCATATATCTGTACTCTGGTCACAAAAATTAATGAACAAATGGAACATTACAATAACTTGAACATTGTTAAATATGCAGTAGGTTTTTAATATGAGATAGTGTTGTCATAATGATGAAATGATTAGAAATAGTTGGTTTGATTTTGATCAGTATTGTACATTCTGGAATAGGCTTGCCCTATTCAAATCAGTGTGTCAGATCGGTGGATTTTCTAAGGCATTGACTACCGCATTCGACGTAATAAGCGCCCCACTCTAATAAGCGCCCACGGCGATATTTGCTAATGTATTGGCAAGTGAACGAACAATCCCAATTAGCACCCCTTCCGATTGATCAATGTACACAAGACTTATTTATTCGTGTATAATACACACTCGTGTGTTATATACACCCTTAATTATGGGCAATTAAATTCTGGAAAAATATATCTGTTGTATATAAACAGTCAGGCCGTCAGCATAAACCACAAAATTTATCTTTCAACTCTGTTTTTTCACCAAAATAATATTCTAATAAGAGCCCCCTATTTCTAATTTTGAGAGCGCCCTTGGCGCTTATTACGTCAAATACGGTAATTGTCATCCAAAATGTCCTAAAGACTGTTTTTCAATTTTAATGACATATAAGAACAACATTTTGAAAAGGTGATAAGATCATGTTTCCTTGTGCCATTTTTCTGTAGCAACATCACTAGTCAAGTTGACAAAAATCAATAATGGACTTCATGGTATTACACGACACAGAAATATGCGTCCCGTAAGCACTAAAATAAAGTAGACCCCCCCAAAATATCCTGCATTCCAAAGAATGCACAATAATATTCATTGTACCAAATTCTCAACAAGAAATATACAGGTTCTGTAATTAATTTATCAAATCTTAAAGTACAGTACACTATTTCATTACTTTACAGAACCCTCAAAATTAATTACTGGGCATTTGCTGGACTCCTTGGAGTTAGAGTGCTAACATCTTTCAAGAAGTGGCTGTTGATAAAAAAACATGCAAAAGGATACCCGCATGGGTAGACACCATTAGTCATATCCAACAAGTCCACAGCTCAGTGGTTAATGTGAAATAACTAGATTTGGAGAAACAAAATCCCTCATGACGTTCACAAGTCTCAAACTAATGGCAAAGTCTATCCCTGTACATGTATCGATGAAAGAGGTACAGTGGAGTGGCTACGAGGGGCGTTCAATAAGTTTTGCAACTTCAATATAAGACCAAGTCGCAGAATATCTTTTGCACTTTTATGTTTCAATATAATCTCCATTCACCTCAATACACTTATTCCATTTGTCCTTCAAGCTTTTAATACCCCTTTTATAGAAATCCGCAGATAGGCCCTCTAACCACGCCTCTGTGGCAGCCTTTATGTCCTCGTCATCCTGGAAGCGTCTTCCACGTAGGGCAGATTTTATTTGCCAGAACAGGAAATAGTCACTGGGGGCTAAGTCTGGGCTGTAGGGTGGGTTATTTAACTGTTCAAATCCACATTCACGAATGGCGGCCTGTGCAATTCTCGACTTGTGAACCGGAGCATGTACGGTACTTGATTACAGCGCGTTGTTCATGTTTGAGAGAATCCATGATTGTGACCACCTTTAGGTGAATGAAGCCATCACATCTAACTTATTGTTGTGTCTGGAACTTGTTATGACACGTGTCAACCTGATGTTATGACTTGTGTCACACCTGCCACAAGTTGATATTGTGTGTGTAAACACAAGTGCCCAAGTTGCAAAACGTATTGAACGCCCCTCGTATCAAGAAAAAGAATCACAAAGACGTTATAACTCTAATAAAGGAAATAGCATTGTTTCTGATAAAATTTCAAAAACAACTATACTTACTGCGGCAACAAGATGTATTTGTCATCTGCCTGCTCCGTCTGCCAGACAGTGATCTCCTTGTCATTGGTCACACAGACCTGTCTCCAGTTGCCAGGGTTGAAGCAAATACTTGTTGGGGGTGTGGCCCCGATCTTAACTGAAGCCAACTTGATACCCTTCTCATATTTCCTGAGAGAAACAGGAATAATATATATATAATACACTTTATGGCTCTGAAAAGAATTCCTCAAACTACAACAGCAATTCTTTAGAATAACTGAATTTGTTGCAATCTAGAGTGATCAGTGAAAAAAGGGATACTATCTTTTGGCAGAGTTCTGGCGTACACTCCCCACCAAAGAACATCCCACAGATGCTCTATTGGCAACTTTTCTGGGACTTTGCAGCCAGTCTAATGTACATATGCTTTCTCGTCGGGGATAATCTGTGCTGACCTGGGCATCATGTTGCCTGGCATTGTCATCTTGCAGTTCAAAATTTCTGTCATTAATTCTAGCGAATGGAAAAATGACAGGACACAAAATTTCGTCATCATATCACTGGCCAGTCGTATGTCCATTCACAATAACCAAATCAGTTCGCCTATCATGTGTGATACCGCCCCACACGTACCATGACACTATCGCCCCCATACCGACCCTTGTCAGGCATTGTTGCCCTGGCATACCGCTTGCCGCTATGTCGCCAACAATGTTTTCTGCTATCTTTGAATCGGAGGCAAAACCTTGATTCATCTGTAAATATTGTGTAACGCCATTGGCCCACAACTTGTCCTTGTGTTGCCTAGCCAAACCCAATCTTTGCTGCCTATGAAAAGCTGTAAGGGTCACACTCTTTGGTAGATGTTGAAATTCACCTTCCTGTTATTTTACGAAATTCTCTATTGATAAAAGGAGCAGATTTGAATCTATTTCATAGTGCACTTAATGTAATGAGACGACTTTGTCTGGCACGCCCCAGTCTCATTGCAACCGTTTGACGGTATTTGTCCCACAGTTGAGAAATTACTCTTTTGATTTGCCAATCATTCAGGCAACTTGCGATAGTGATGACGAACCCACAATTCGCCATTTTGTCTGTTCATTAAGATACTGTCACTGGGGCAGTTTTAAGCATGTGCTCGACTCAATTGCAGTAGTGATTGTGAGTTCCCCTAAAGGAACACACTTTATCTACTGAATGCACGTGCATCTCATGCTCACACATGACGTGACATCTGCTTGTGATTAGATGTTGCATTCAGATGCAACGCCATGGTATTGTAAATGTACACCTCAACGACAGCCACATTCAAATCATTAGTTCCCTTATTTATTGTCGGGAGCATATAAAGAGAAAGATATGTGTCCATTGTTAGCATTAACCATTTTTCATTCTTCGGAATTCTCACACAGGAAATATAAGTTTAATTCAAACCATTCCAAATTCACTCAGAAAGATTGTTGATGGTGTTGGACTGTCCATTTTTTCATCATCAAATGATTCAGATTATTGTGTGTTGATAATGTTGAGACTTCACCACGTCATGGTGAGGTGAGGTGAAATGGGGTTCAACGTTGCGTCCAAGATTATTGCACTTATATAGCGACGTGCATGTACGTGTGTGTTTTTGTGTGGCTGCTTGTATTAGTCCGGACTGATGCCGATTTATAGTGCTAGCTCACTGAGATACCATGCCGCAGTTTTAACATGAATATCCCACTCACACACAGTATACTGACTCCGAGCCGACCAGTCCTTGTTTTAACCCCTTAATGCCGAGCGCCAGATAGGGTAACAACAAGTACCATCTTTTAATGTCTTTTGGTATGACGCGACCGGGGATTGAACCCCGGACCTTCCGCTCTCCGGGCGGACGCTCGACCACTAGACCACAGAGGCGGTCCCACTCTCCGGGCGGACGCTCGACCACTAGACCATGGAGGCGGTCCCACTCTCCGGGCGGACGCTCGACCACTAGACCACGGAGGCTGTCACCACGTCATGGATTTTTCAACTTGACAAAAATTATGTGTAACCCTAAAAAGACTGTGCAATTAAGACACAAAGGGGGTATTGAGTGGGTTTAAAGTAGCAGTTGCAGAGACAAACTCATATATGGATCATATTATTCCAAATTGCGCTGATTGTTTACACTGAAACACGACACAGTAGATGATTGTGATGCATACTTTTTTGTGATCGCATTTTATTCCTGGCGTTAAAGGCCAATCTACTAATTTTCACAACAAATCCTTGTTTGGAATGTCGGCAGCAACCCTCTCCTCATGGGAAAAGAAAGAAATAGGACACAATGTCCACATTGCAAAAAGTGTAAAACGAAAAAATTGTCTGTGCCTTTGTAAGAAAAGATATAATGGATCGTAATGAGGAACGACTACATAAGAAAACGTACCAGAGAGTCATTTCATAATCCGGCAACCCTGAGAGGCTGAGAAGGAATTCACTGGCTGAGAACACAAGCTGCTGAAATTCCAATTGTGCTCCACCTAAAATAAAAAGACTATGATGCACATATCTGAATTACAATCGTGTAATATTATAGCTCTTGGAAATTCTCACGTTGACCTTGTTAATTAGCAGAACAGACATAATGGATACGGATGATGAGTTAATAAATAATGCTATGGAAAAAAAAGAGGAAATATGAAAACATCAATGTTTCATAGAAGCCGGGTTAGGAATTAAGTTTTATTTGCACTAGTCCACAAAAAGGATCTGCTACAGAGTTGCCATCTGACTAATAGTAAAAGTAGTATCTCACAATGAAATGTCACTAGTCCTTCCAGACTAGCGGATTTATGCTAATTTCAAACCCTGAGAAGGCAAAGCAGTTATTATACAACACATATGATATATCTTTAATCTTTGAAGCAATCGTTGATTTTTGCACTGATGTAAACTTCACTCACCTTCCAGGACACTAAGTTCTCTGAATGTTGGAAACACAAACACATATATCTTGGGATTGAGACACTGTTCTGCCATTGCAAAATACTTGTTGATTTTGTGAGCTGTAAAGGGACCCTGACCATTGCCCTTGAAGGCAAACACAGTTTCAATGCCACTTTCAGACACAAATTTGATGCTTTTGCCACACTGGAAGCAGATGACATCCTTGTCGATATAATGAGCCTCAGACCCTCCATATCCTTGACTCCAGCTGGAAGGAAGAACACATTCATTATTAGGGGTGACTTTTGCACTAGTATTGTGATAGTACTTACTGAAAACCTTTAACATGTTTAAGGCTTGATATGTAATAGAAATATATAAAGTGTTGTTGACAATGTTAAAGTTGGCCATCTTCCTCCCTGGTGTTACTCAAACCAAAGGGAAGTAACTGTAATCCAAAGTTGGGCCTACCTTTAGAATACAGTACCACAAACTTTTCAAACATGTGACAATACCCTATGACGTAATTTGTGGTATTTTGTTGCCAGTGACACCAGCGAAACAATGCCCTGTGATGTCAGGGGTCATCGAGTGTGCATAAGCTCCTCCCAGTGATTTATCATCTCTACACGCAATGTTAATGAAGACGTCCAGCGGTGTTGAGAGTTTTGAATATTTGTTTATTAAATATAGCCTGCGGTGGCGCATTTTATAGCAAGCACTAGTTTACGAAGGCACTTTTATTTTTTATTTCGTTTTTCTCGTAATTCAAGTGGCTAAAATGGTTATAAATGGGAACAAATATATACATATATTATTTTTTCGGTTCATTAATTTTCATTATTATGCACAAGAATGCAGTTTATTGGGGATATTATACTGGGGCTGAACACATCGAAATGTCGCCAGTGTTAGGGTAGGCTACACCAAACTCTATCCTTAGCCCTTGGATCCCCTTTACGATCAACCATCCCTTTACAATCATTAGGGTTAGGTACAGGTTTAGTGGCCAATGGATTACCCAAACTCTATCCTTAGCCCTTGGATCCCCTTTACGATCAATCATCCCTTTACGATCATAAGGGTTAGGTACCCGTTTGGTGGCTATTATAGATTCTATAGCGGCTCCTAATATTCTTCACACAAAAACGTTGAGTAAAAAGAATGAAATGGTTTTGTGTTGAATACTTTGGCTACTGGAAACTGTCCTGCATCATTCATACAAGCCACTTTCACCGGCTACATTTTTTCAGCACTGATTCAAAAGCGAATTCACCGTTGTGTCGTCACTAGCCATGCACATGCCTCCCGCGTTCCTTACTATTATCCACATCATCGTTACAGTGTTCCCTACCAAACTTTTCTGTTACAAAATCCACCCGACAAATTATTAAAAAACACGTCATTCATGCGTACTCGCGAGGTCGACGTCTTACGCCTGGAGCCGTTTTCAGTTCCCACCATATCGGCTCATTCCTCACCACTCGGTATCTTGTAGATTATGGAATGGGACGAGTGTGCCAAATGGACTTGGGATCATTCGTAAATGTCCTTAGACTAAAGTCACGAGACACAATGCCTACCCGTAACCTTCGTAAGTGTCCGTCACCTATTCAACCCTTCTCGTTCTGTTCCGTAACTTCGTTGGCATGACTAGGTAAATTTGCACTAAGTTTCACAGTGTGGACATAGCTCAGTCGGTTAGCTGTCGAGCTAACAATCTGAAGGTCGCGAGTTCGCGTCCGACGGATTCTCACAAAAACTGGTTGCTTGTCTTTGAGACATGTGACCTACGGCAGAGATCGTCCTCACGAGAAGTTGTGGTACTGTATTCTAAAGGTGCTCCCAAAGTTGTCATGTTACTTGCCAACCAACACACAGACTGGTTTCAAATTCGCATAATTCTTTAAAATCCAAACTTCTCCACATATTCCACTCAATTTTCTGACTGTGTGAATAGTGGCGTTGAACAACAGGCCTTTTTAAACAAAAGCAGCGTTGTCATTTGAATAGTCAGGGTGTTGGAGAGTTAGCAGGATAAGTACTACAACCACCTGTCACATTTCCATTATGTTTGTCTTGCCATAGCTTGAAGGAAATATTTTCTTCTGTTACATTCCTTTGCATTGACTGAAGATTCAAAACAATTTAAAAAGGCTGAAAACAAGGTTTGGATGGAAAGCAAAGCGGTTATGTTTACGGATACACATCATACAGGGGTAGAAACTAACAGTTGTAGTCCTTATAATGATAACATATAGAAAAACCCTTAACATTGGCCAATTTCTACTTGTCCTTATGATAACTTAATTATTGGACACATTGACAAGGACTATAGGAATAGTGCCAATTTCTAACGTTGTCATAGAAAGTGATGCTTGCTCACAGGTGCTTGTCGCCAATTCATTTTATGAACTTAACTATTGCATGGTTCACAAAGTCATTAATACTTTTTGACTTTGGAATTATACAATAAACATATCCATACTATCAGACCGAAGTACGACTTAGAACCAATAAATGAACCGTATTATTTTGTGACAGGCCCAGTGTGGAGAACTAGCGTCACAAATCCAATGTTTACATTTTGTATTTTTCCGTTGAATAACGAATTTCTGGCATTTTTCAAACAAGATGTCTTGTTTGTGTGATTGCCTATTCGTTTCGGATAATTACTTACGCGAGTTCTAAAGTTCCAAACTGATCCATTATGCAAGATGTCAGACTCCGTTTAAGATTTTAGATGCATACGACATCAAATGATGCTCAAGCCTCCATGTTGTGAGTGTGTGGTTGCCAAGGCTGTGACCTCTCGCGAGATCTCGGCTGCGAGAAAGGAAGTCGCAAAGGTCATGTGAGAAACCGCTAGTCGATAAAACGTAATAAGATTATCTTTCTTATATGAACATGAACAGTGGCAACTAAACTGCAAATAATTTGCTCTGTTATTACATTATTGTACATTTAATACGGCCTTCATGAAAGAAATGTATATTGTTTGTTATGATATATCAATATAGCGATAACATTTTATCGATGTTCGCATTATGGAAACTGAACCTCGTCCATGCGACTGCAACAGTTTGGAGGACATGATGTCAAATGGTGTTTGAGTGATCACAGCGATTTAATGTCATAATGGCAAGGGAATTAACACTGCAGAACCTGCGGGTTATCATGAGACACATTTTGCGCACAAGTAACACCAAAAGAAAGGAAATCTGTATTCAGAAAACTGCCGGCCGTTTAGGATGTGAATGTGCAAGGGCGTTATTCGGACAAAACTGGTCGACGGTTCTTAAAGAACTGTCGGCTAATTGTAATCACAAATTCACAGTGATCGCAGAATGTTTTGAGAAACAATGTAGTTTCTTAGTTGCTCAAAGACTGAAAAGAGCAACTCAAATTATGGCTTTTTACAATAGACTCTATGGAGAAAAGCTGATCGATCAAGTCGGCAGCTCACTTTTGCGTCGTTTTCACAAGAAATCCTTGTTTTGCGTTCTGGCAGCAACACTCTTCTCGTGGGAAGAGAACAAAATAGGAGACGATGTCATCAACAGGTTTGTAGTCTTGACTGCAGTATCCCGGATACTTGTCCGTAACAACACGGGAATACATTTGCTTGTTTCACATCATACTTTATATTTACATGTATGATGTTTAAATAATTCTAGCCACTGGTTAAATTGATTTTTAAAAATATCTAGGCAGGGGTTACTACGGCCGCAACCCATAGTCAAAACAGACACACAGAAAGTAAAGGAGACAAACTCTCAAGTATTGTGTCACATTAATTGTATTGTATACATTGTATAACAGTTCATGACACCATATGTTTTGTTTGTTTGTTGTTTAACGGCCCTCTCAGCAATATTCCAGCTATATGATGGTGGTCTGTCAATAATCGAGTCTGGACCAGACAATCCAGTGATTGATATCATGAGCATCGATCCACGCTATTGTGATCGATGCTTCAACCAAGTCAGCGAGCCTGTCCACCCGATCCCGTTAGTCACCTCTTGTGACAAGCGCAGTCGCCTTTTACGGCAAGCATGGTTTGCTGAAGAGCTATTCTACTCCTTATCTTCATGGTCGGATGCCTTAATGTCGCTATCACTGATTGCAGGATCTCAAATGGTGACTCATCAAACAGTTCCATATGCAGATATGCCATCATCATGATTATGATCATATACAAAATATGTAAAAACTAACTGGAAATATACTCTAGTGCTACATGTGTGATGATTTTTATTTTAATACAGTAAAAGCAGCATCTAAAATAAGAAGATTTTAGAATATATTCTTCCTGGTACAAAACAGCTTCAGATTTCATTTCTTTTAAACTGCATGAAACTTCTTTTGAGTTATTTATGTGTACTTTTGTAACTTAATCACAGGTAGATCATGGATACGTGAACAACTGTTTCAGAATGTTGAGTCTGGTGTATTTTATGGGACAATGACACATGATCATGGTGATAAACTTAATCACATGTAAACATGATATGTATAGCATAACCATGATAACAGGTAGTACCTGTTAAAATTGTTAATAATCATCTCTAGTAATTTTGTATTTCCAAATTCATATTTCATTCAGTGTTTCTCTTGTATGAGATTGTTTTCCAATATTAACATTGTGAAGACATCCCATCATACTGTACTCAGCCTGGCTAATATCAACTTGATCAACAATATTCAACCCTTAAACAACCCTGAACAAACGGGTCTCCCGTATCAAGGGCACTTAAGTCATCAGTGAGTTTCATTTCATTCAATGGAGAGGCTCGACTTAACAAGAAATTTTATCAGGGAAAGTGGTTATATCTTTTTCACTTCTCCTTGAGCAAGTGGATTCTAGAATTGAACTCCTTTCTTACATGTTCTTAGTGGCTGCATGTATAAAAACAGATGTCGTAGTGTCACACACTATCTTGAACTTTTTTGTAATATAGGCCAGTGAGCTACATAATATTTCCATTTGTATACCAAGCTATGCTGAATGAACTCATCGATGTGCATAGGCATGTTAACATGGTAATAAAGGCAAGAACACTGCCAGATGTTGGACACTTCCATTGTATTTTAAAAACAATGTATATTAAATGAAACAGCATGATGGATAGTTATAATTAAGGTCATGATATATCAATTATTAGATTTTCACCACCACCAGACACCTGCCTCCGTAGCTACTCATGGCTTAAGTCATTGTGTGGGGGTTTCCTTCTTTCTTCACCTTGTTTTCACTTGATGAATGGGCATGGGTGGCCCAGTTTTCTAAGGCGCCGTTATTCGCTGTGCAGAGTTGCGTCCCTTGGGCACACCAGAAACTTATGATTGTGGGTTTGAATCCGGGTTCGCCCCAATTATGTTTCTAGGTTTGTCAGCACCATACCCGTGCTCGTGGGTTTCACTGAAGTGGTAAACATCTGAGACCTGCATCACTTTAGGCTTTCATCCCACATTAAGCATGTTAAGCTGACACGCTGCGATATAACTGGAATACTGTTAAAAGCGGCGTTAAACCCAACTCACTCACTTGATAAACAGTGATTAGATCCACCATATCCAAAACAACCAGGATTCATGAGAAGAATACTCTGACCGACTACTTATTGATGTAAATGCATCCACCCATCATTTCAAAATATTTGGATGAAAAACCAATAATTAATTTATTGTGGCCTAATAGACATACTTGAGGGCAGTTGGGTGACCTAGTGGTTAAAGTGTTTGCTCATTATAACAAAGACCTAGGTTCGATTCCCCACAGAGGAACAATGTGTGAAGCTCAATTCTGGTGTCCCCCATCGTGATATTGCTGGAATGAAGCTAAAAGCGGCGTAAAACCATACTCACTCACACACTTACTGTTACAGTGTTATAACCATGATAACTGCACAATATTTTATCATTTTTTATATAATTCATGTATTAACTTCCTCCTGTTTTTGTTAAACATTGTTAAATGTGAATTCCACTTCAAAGAGTAGATATGTCAAGATACGTGCAGGAAAGTCAATGTTTGTTAAGCGATGTTTTGTCAGAAGTTACAGTATTTTACCATGGTTACACCTGTAGCCATGGTAATCATGTTAACAAGGAAGAAAATCATAATGGGACCTTTTTTAACATGTTAAGTCAGGTTTTACATCTATTGTTGACTCCCACCTATAAACATGTCAAAGGACATTATATATAATGTCATGATTGTCGAGCATCAAAGCATTTTATTTCATAGGCTTACCATGCTTAGGGACCAGTTCAAAAGTTTGATTGAGACATACCCCACCCTCCAAAACAATTAATTCTAAACATGCTAAAAGTGTTGGATTCCTGAGTTTTATGGCCTTTTGTGTCACACATTTTTGTGTTTCTGCTTTTTTAGAATTTTTTTGACTGAAGTTTATTTACCATTGTTTTTTCTAGGTGTTGAAAATAATTTGTAATGTTTTTATAGATCAGATCTGCTATCTGTATTATCCACTGCATTGATGGACTTTTACACGTTTAATGACATCTTCCTGAGGCAAGGGAGTTAACCGACTTTAAACGTCCGGTTTCCACCCTTGCCGAACTAGGCTGGTATTATGGAGTTATATTTTGGCTGGACTGACAAGTCTATGCACAGTCCAATGAAAACGACATCTGGTTCGTAAACTGTCATGCCGATTTCGGGCGATTGCAGGTTTTACAAAGCATTTGTACTGCCAACCTGGCTTCAACGGAAATTTTCCAAATCTTTCAATGTTTTTAATCAAGGTGCTCGAGTAATTTGATGCTCTTTGCAATGTAAGACCTGTTTTATCACAATATAGATCTTGATTATCGATCAGATGGCCTTGACTGGGTGCCGCCATTTTGTTTTAAGCAAATGCAAGTGATATGAGAGATGGAATCTGATTGGTCAAAAGGAGTGACATGGAAGGGACATAACTCATAATAGCCACCGGTGCAGCTAAGGTACAGCCCAGAAATTTGAAGAACAACATATATGTTGATTTTTGCAATGTGTACTGGTTACCATGGTTACAGATGTAATGAAACTTTCAGGATCACAAGTGAAATCATCAGTCTGTTCTGCAATAGTTAAGTTACCAGGGTGACACCTACAGAAAAGACAAGCATGTTTTTCCCTGATAAGTTTGGGCATGTTTGAGGTGTGTTAGCATGGTAAGTACTGTTACCATGGTTGCACATGTTACCATGGTTGCAGGAAACTAAAGTGTTTTTCCTAATCAGTTTGTACATATTTCAGGTGTGTGTATGACATGGTCCACATCCAGGAACTGGTCCAAAAAACTCGGAGTCAGGTTGTCGACCAGTCATGTGAGTGGGAAAAAATCATTGACAGACCCCACCTCATCGTGTGGAGGAGGCCTCTAGAGTTCAACACCAGCTTGTTCCAGTATAAAGGTAATGCACGGCATTGTTATTCCTCTATTGGGGATCTTGCAATTCCATTGGTTATTCCATACCATGTGACGAAACAATAACTTTCAACGCAGACCCCCAAATCATGTGACTGACTCTGACCTCGAATATTAACTCGTCACATGATAAGTATTGACCAGTCCCATGATGAATATTGCCTTGTTGGCTAGAAAATGTGATGCCGTCGGGTACTAACATTTCACTGTTCTCAGCTAGGTTACTGTAATGAAAGGGGACGGTTTAAACGCTTCGTAAATTTTAAAGTGAATTTCGGTATTGCAAAACAACTAATTACTCATGCAAGATCAATATGCAAAAACAATGACCCATGGACCTGACCCCTTCAGCGGTCAGACCAGACCTCCTCATCATGGCATGGGCCAGGTCCTCCGGTCCCTGTTTTTGAATATTGACCTCATCAATACCCACAACACCAAAAGCTTATCTGGAGCTCTCATCAAGAGTAATTATTTGTATAGTTTTTTTTGTACTCTGGTAGATACAATATCATTATAATCAGATCTTTTACTCTGATACGGTACCTCTCAGTATGAAGATTTGACAACCTCTCCATTGATCATGTCCATAGGTCACGTTAGGTGATATTTCTATCCGCCAATATCCCCCCCATCCCTAATCTCCCCCTAAATCTAAAACCGGCCATGAGTCTAGTAAAGCAACCACACACGTTGCAATTATCTTGAATGCAACATTAACCTCCATTTGACCCAACCTCTGAAATCATTGTTTCTCTCAAAAACAAGCAGGATGTGGTGTTTATTTTTGATAGTAATACTGAAACTAAGGAAAATGTGCATTTTATGTTTCAGTTTACGGGAAATTTGATGACGTTCCTGCAAGAGCCTTCTTCAACACTCAGGTTAGCTATTTCCCAGACTGGGATTGAATGGAACTTCGCTTGTACATGTTGTAGGACACTGTATGATAAACCCTAAGACTATGCTTGTCATGAGAGGCGACTATGCTTGTCGTAAGAGACAACTAACAGGATCCGGTGGTCAGGCTCGCTGACTTGGTTGATGCATGTCATTGTATCCCAATTACGTAGATCAATGCTCATGATGTCAGTCACTGGATTGTCTGGTCCAGTCTCAATTATTTACAGACTGCCGTAATACCTGGAATATTGCTGAGTGCGGCGTTAAACATCAAACAAACAATACTTTATGATAATGGTACTCCTAAGGGGTTCTGGGTCAAAATTTGTCCCCAGCAGCTTATGCTATTAGGACTATGAGGTGACTTAAATGATCGAATGTTCAAGCTCTGTGACTTGGTTGATTGCATGTCAACGTATCCAGATGGCACATTATGTGTCCAGGCTATTACGATAACTACCCTGGACCCATTCACTACAGACCCGTGAAGATCCGGGGTAGAATAGGTCTTCAGCAACCCATGCTTGTCGTAAAAGGTGACTATGGTTGTCGTAAGAGGCGACTAACGGGATCGGGTGGTCAGGCTCGCTGACTTGGTTTATGCATGTCATCAATCCCAATTGCGTGGATTGATGCTCATGATATCAATCTCTGGGTTGTCTGGTCCAGACTCGATTATTTACAGCTGGAATATTACTGAGTGCGGCGTTGAACAACGCACAAACCAACCAACCCATTCATAAAAAAAAGGTTTGTTTTGAGCTTTCCCAGATACTGTAAATAGCCGTCCAGACAAGTGGCACTCACAAGCAGAAGAAGTTCTGTGCTAATTTAGGAATATGAGAGATTGAGACGAGTGGCTTCCCTTCTGTAAAAAAGCATGGTGGTGAAATTGTCCAGGATATGTATCAGAATAGAATAGAGATATTATGCACTGAATAATCAAGGATTGCTGATCTGTATGTGTCTTCTTTAGAATGAGACCCGTGAAGATCTGGGTTACAATAGGTCTTCAGCAACCCTTGCTTGTCATAAGAGGCGACTAACTGGATCAGGTGGCCAGGCTTGCTGACTTGGTTGATGCATGTCATCATATCTGAATCGCATTGTATCTAGATTGATGCTCATGATATCAATCACTGGATGGTCTGGTCATGACTCGACTATTTACAGACCACAAACGTTTAACAACAAACAAACAAAACAAAGACAAAAAGAATGATAATATTATGACAGTTTGTGAAGCACGACAGGATGATACATGTGTTGCAGGTGGATGTGGAATTCTGGAAGCAGTGGGACAAGTTGTCTCTCGACATCAGGATCATCGACAAACACGAGAATAGTGGATCCGAGGTAGTCCACTGGACACTGAAATTTCCGGTAATTACAACGATTACCATGAACTGATGAATACAGTTCTTTCACTTTTCTTGCTGATTGACACATGATTGATGAAGGCTTCCTTTTACCTGTCTAAGCTGTTGAGTTAAAATGGTCACAGAATTATATGAACCTGTTCGGTTATGGCTTGTTATCATACTTTGTAGATGTGGATTGTTGCTCATGATATCAATCACTGGATTATCTTGTCTAGACTCTGGTATATTCAGGCCACCTTCATCATTCATGTATGAGTATGGCAACATTTTGTGTAAATATTTTAAACATTTTCATGGTGTGATTGTCAATAATTCCAGACTTTTGTCATGTTAACTGTATACATGATTGGATCATTTCCATGACAAATTCCTTGGAATTTTTTTTTTTCTGTTTTATTGTATTGGAGCATGGGTCACCCAGTCTAACATGTTTGAGGTGTCGTAATGTACTGTGCAGAGTTGCATCCCTTAGGCATGCCAGAATCCAATGATCGTAGATTTGAATTCCCAATATGCCCCAAGTATCATGATTTTTTTTCAAATATTTACAGCACCATACCCATGCTTGTATTTTCACCAAAATGATAAACGTCTTTGTCATGCATCACTTTGGCTTTCCCCCCACATTTATCTGACACGCTGTGGTACATCTGGAATGCTGTTCAAAGTGGCTTCAAACACTACTCACACAAACGTGTGAGGATAATTTTGCCCTTTTAGCTTTATGCACGTGAGCTCCAGATAAGAGCAGAGCTCCAGATAAGCTGCGTATCTGCGTGAAATACGCATAAAAAATGCAGAAATACGCAGTAAAATAAAATCCAAGCGTATCAAATACGCAACAAACATTACAGATACGCTACAAAAATAAAACTTGTGCGTATCATCAAAATAGTGTTAAGTAACCCTGCGTATTCGATAAGCAAATCAGCAACTTATTTTGAAATTATAAACGGGCATTCCGTCAACCTTGCCAAACTCCACGATGACAGTTACATCATGATCATTTGCCATCACACTTTCTTGTGGAAGTATCGTGGTATTTTTGAGTCCTATAAAGCTCTCGAACCCACACGACACCAGTTTGCAGGGACTAGATGAATAGTGTTTTTAAATATTTAACTTAAATACCCACATGTGTAAAAACTAGTGGGTAACAGAAATTTGAATACCCAGATAGAATTACTGATACCAATGATTTTAAAATGCATGGGTAAAATACCCACAACAACAAAAGCTTATCTGGAGCTCTGGACCTGTTCATGTCCCGATGGTCCATATCACATGGTTACATATCAAAGCCTGTTCACTGTAACATGACTGATGAACATATGAGTACAGCAATAGTTATCCCCCGCCGCGCGAAAGCGCGAAGCGGGGGATATAGTATTCACGACCGTCCGTCCGTACGTCCGTCCGTACGTCCCACCTGTTTGTTGCCGCGATATCTCAAGAACTAAACACTGGATTGTCTTCATATTTGGAACTATGGTGTATATACAGACTCCGCAGACACCAGTCGGTTTTGGTGACCTTGATCCCATTTTCAAGGTCACAGCAGACAAATCTGCTTTTAGAGTTGGAAAACGGTGTTGCCACAATATCTCAAGAACTAATCGCTGGATTGTCTTCATATTTGGTACTATGGTGTACAGGCCGGGGATATTTCGTCACTCTGTGACAAATACTTGTTTTCTATGATTTGTTGTTTTATCGCTTTTGTTTTCAGTATCCGATGTACAGCCGCGACTACCTGTATGTGAGAAGATATACGGTATGTGTGTACAAACTGTTGGACAAATGTTGTATGTCCCACACCTAACTTGCCTGTATTTTACTTGTATGCACTTGATCATGTTGCTCGAATACTCAGTACATTCAATTATTTTCTGAGTTAGATTAAGATATTGTTACGTGTGGATCCACTAAACCGTTTCCATACATAACAAGGAGAGATCACACAACAATTTAAAAATAATTTAATACTGGCAGTCTAATCAAGATTCATATTATTTACAAACAGCAAAAGCAAGTATCAATCACAATAAAAACAGTCTTACTTTATGATGAAAAATCACATCATTTCCAAACAAGATCCAGTGAATGTTTCGTTTAATCCATGATACACCATAGTTCACAAATTGCCGACATGGCATACACAATTAAAGTTTAAAATCTTGCCGACATGGCATGTCAGTTAACACCTAAACCCGACCTGGGAACTGACCACTTTGTCTACCCGTTGAGCAATAGCCAAGCCGCAATTGCATAACATCAGCCTTAACTTGGCTGTGAGCTTACCAGGGCTTACATATAGACAATGTGAAGTGAAGTGTGTAATTGGTCAGTGTTGATCACTGGTAATCTGTACACAAGCAACATAATATATGAAAAGGTAGGAATATACATTTCATGATAACAAAGTACATTTAATATATTCTACATATACGTATAGTAAATATACATGTATAATGGATTCTCATAACAATATCTTAAAATTTTCTTTTTGATGGTAACAGCTTGAAATAGTTTACAGATGTTGTTATGACAAAGATAACTGAATGACCTTGTGAGTCGTTGATATACGTAGTAGCATATCTATAGTCATGATATAATACACAACAATTTGCAATACGCAACGAAGACTTGCATTGGGCCAGTCAGTACTGATTTCAGAATAATCGTGTTTGTTTACAAACGAGAGAAAAGTCTGGTCACGTGACATGCAAATTAGCCTGTTGCCGTGGTGTTATGGTACGTCAACGCTGTGCAGGCATGTGGTTATACATCTGATGCTGTCTGGCAACCAACTCATTCATTGTCTCAGGGACTGGTGATTAGGGCAGTTTTAACAAGAACATGGAATTAGATTTACTATTTTGGTTCATATGGCTAGGTAGCCTGTGTAGTTACCAGGCAAGGGTCATTGCAAAATTTTGTAATTATTACTTTTTGCAAATCAATACAGAATGAAACTTTCAGTCGATACATTTGTAGCTGTATCTTAATGGCCATAAATTTGTGATACATCGGTGAAACATTAGCTGTGTTCTTACCAACTGAATATATAGTGGGGATTCCGGGTTAGAATATGTCCCCAGGTCAAGTAGCCTAGTGGTTAAAGCGTTCGCTCGTCTCGCTGAAGACCCGGGTTCAATTCCCGACATGGGTACAATGTGTGAAGCCCATTTCTGGTGTTCTCCGTCGTGATATTGCTGGAATATTGCTAAAAGCGGCATAAAACCATACTCATTCAGTCATCGTCATAAGGACTAATTAATGGTGGTGAGACTCTGTGTCTTGGTTGATGGCGTGTCATCGTCCCCTGATGGCATGGATTGTTGTTCACAATATCAATCACTAGGTCTGATCCAGACTTGATTATTTACAGTCTGCCATCATATAGCTGGAATACTGATGAGGGAAACTTTAAGCAACAATAATGTATATATTGGGGCTGTAATGATTCACCGATACCTACGGTATCATTGATACTTAGGTACACACAATACTTGAATCATCAGTTTGAGAGATAGTGATTCGCTATAAATAGAACAGGAAATAATAGAGTTATCTCCCATAATGGCAGAAGTAGCATAGCGCCACCTATAAGCATGGCAGAACACAAGGACGTGGTAGCTGAGGACACGCTGACTAACTGTTTCATTTAATAACCATCCCTTCATCTACACCTGTTTTGTTCTTGTGGTTTTCTTTGTTAAAGTTTTTGAGATATCGATACATAAATGTACGAAAAAAGGTTTCAGAAAATTAGAGCTGTATTTCAGTGATTTAATTATTTTTTTACTATTTGATGTGTTTTGTGATATTAGTAGTATCGTCAGTTCGTGTTCTTATACGAATCGCATCGCAAGATGCCAGGTGATACTCAGTCCTAGTGTGTGTGTGTGTGTGTGTGTGTGTGTGTGTGTGTGTGTGTGTGTGTGTGTGTGTCCCATTTTAATGGCTCATTGTGTCTGCACCTCCAGGTTGACCCCACCAACAAGATCATGGCACTATACAGTCGAACGGTCAGCCATCCAATATGCCCAGTCCAGGACAACATTGTCCGAGTGACAGATTACCAGTCAGCTCTAGTCATCAAACCATACACCGACTTTGATGAGGTGAGACAACTTACCATTTGAGGTATCGGAGAGTTGAATTTCTTGTATTTTCACTTGTTTCTTGTACATCATGGAGAACCAGGACAAAATGGGTCCACTGTGTCATTCTTGTGTAGGAGGGCATTGAGTGGACAAGATGGCTGTTCAAAACTGAATTTTCATCCCTGACAAACAAAATGACAGAATCCCACATTAAAGATACTTATTACTGCTGCATTTCACTCTTTCAGTAATATAGGCTTCACAGTATCAAGTAACACTGCACATCTTGAATAATAATTTCAGCGCAAAGTTAACAGGTCATGGCAGGTCCATGTTTTCAGAACCTGGATGTTGATCTTGTAAAAATCTGATTGGACTAATCATATGTGACCTCTGGTGTGTCTGGTCCGGGCTGTGTTATTCACTGACCAGCATAATAGAGTGTGGATAGTGGTGACTGCATTCACTGCTACTTCGTTCTTTAAACGTGCACGATCTGTACAATTACAGCATGTACATTTAGGTTTTGTCTGGTTACAGAATGGATTAGAGTATGTCCTGACTTACTATGATGATCCTCAGACAACCTTCCCTACGGTGTGCTACAATTGGATGGCTACAACAGGTAGGTGACATACCTCTCAGTTTACAGCTGGATGGCTACAACAGGTAGGTGACATACTTCTCAGTTTACAGCTGGATGACTACAAGAGGTAGGTGACATACCTCTCAGTTTACAGCTGGATGACTACAACAGGTAGGTGACATATCTCTCAGTTTACAGCTGGATGGCTACAAGAGGTAGGTGACATACCTCTCAGTTCACAGCTGGATGGCTACAAGAGGTAGGTGACATACCTCTCAGTTTACAGCTGGATGGCTACAACAGGTAGGTGACATACCTCTCAGTTTACAGCTGGATGGCTACAACAGGTAGGTGACATACCTCTCAGTTTACAGCTGGATGGCTACAACAGGTAGTTGACATACCTCTCAGTTCACAGCTGGATGGCTACAACAGGTAGGTGACATACCTCTCAGTTTACAGCTGGATGGCTACAACAGGTAGGTGACATACCTCTCAGTTTACAGCTGGATGGCTACAACAGGTAGGTGACATACCTCTCAGTTCACAGCTGGATGGCTACAACAGGTAGGTGACATACCTCTCAGTTCACAGCTGGATGGCTACAACAGGTAGGTGACATCCCTCTGGGTTTACAGCTGGATGACTACAACAGGTAGGTGACATACCTCTCAGTTTACAGCTGGATGGCTACAACAGGTAGGTGACATATCTCTCAGTTTACAGCTGGATGGCTACAACAGGTAGGTGACATACTTCTCAGTTTACAGCTGGATGACTACAAGAGGTAGGTGACATACCTCTCAGTTTACAGCTGGATGACTACAACAGGTAGGTGACATATCTCTCAGTTTACAGCTGGATGGCTACAAGAGGTAGGTGACATACCTCTCAGTTCACAGCTGGATGGCTACAAGAGGTAGGTGACATACCTCTCAGTTCACAGCTGGATGGCTACAACAGGTAGGTGACATACCTCTCAGTTTACAGCTGGATGGCTACAACAGGTAGGTGACATACCTCTCAGTTTACAGCTGGATGACTACAACAGGTAAGTGACAATCATCTGTTAGGCTACAACAGGTAAGATGATAACCATATGTTAGGCTACAAGAAGTAAGATGACAATCATCTGTTAGGCAAATAACATGACAGTCATCTGTTAGGCTACAAGAAGTAAGATGACAATTATCTGTTAGGCAAGTAACATGACAATCATCTGTTAGGCAAATAACATGACAATCATCTGTTAGGCAAATAACATGACAATCATCTGTTAGGCTACAACAGGTAAGTTGACAATTATCTGTTAGGCAAGTAACATGACAATCTTCTGTTAGGCAAATAACATGACAATCATCTGTTAGGCAAATAACATGACAATCATCTGTTAGGCAAGTAACATGGCAATCATCTGTTAGGCAAATAACATGACAATCATCTGTTAGGCTACAACAGGTAAGTTGACAATCATCTGTTAGGCTACAACAAGTAAGATGGCAATCATCTGTTAGGCTACAACAGGTAAGATGCCAATCATCTGTTAGGCTACAACAAGTAAGATGGCAATCATCTGTTAGGCTACAACAAGTAAGATGGCAATCATCTGTTAGGCTACAACAAGTAAGATGGCAATCATCTGTTAGGCTACAACAGGTAAGATGCCAATCATCTGTTAGGCTACAACAAGTAAGATGGCAATCATCTGTTAGGCTACAACAGGTAAGATGCCAATCATCTGTTAGGCTACAACAAGTAAGATGGCAATCATCTGTTAGGCTACAACAGGTAAGATGCCAATCATCTGTTAGGCTACAACAGGTAAGATGGCAATCATTCATGTTTATTTTAAAGACAATTGACTGATAATTTGATATTTAACGATTTTTTACCATTACCTTCATAAGAGCAACAATGTATATTCTCAAGGTACTTTTGTCATATATATGATATAAGTTAATATGAAAATTACCTTTTTTGTGAACATTATGAAAAATACTGACTTGTTAAATCCCCTGCCCAACTATACAACCACCCCACATTTCAGGTGTGCCCGAGTTCGTAGACAAACTACACAAGGCCTCCAAGATGATGCACGAACGCACCCAGAAGGGCTACCGGCCAGAATACTACCAAAACCAAAACCAGAACTGCCACAGTAGCTTCACACTGAACCAGACACAGTATGCATGATGCCAGCTTAGCTAGACACTATTTTCAAATTGCATTGCTCTCGATCTTCTCCCTTCAGCTTTATTTTCTTGGTAAAGTCACATTGTGAAAATATAAACATTACATTATGTTTGTGCATTGTCATTTTCACATCTCTGTCATCAGAGTATTATTTACACCGAAGGTAGTCCCCTTTTGAGTTTATATCTTGGAAACTATTATCTAATTTCTGCATTATTCTATATTCTATGTCAAATCTGATGTAAGTCCTTTCTATGCAATGCATTGATTCCTAGTGTGTGTAAAGGGCAATGCTCGCGTAAAATGCGATGCTTGCAAGTTTTTGTGGAAGCGAGTATACCTATCAGCATTTATTTCCATGATACGTTACGTTTTGGATGTTTCGTGTGAAAGTGTATATATGAATTAATTCTTTGAAATGATTGAACATTGTTTTCATTTGCTTTGCCTACTCCGAGATCGGTGAGCGTATGACAAGGTCTGGTTTCACCTTGTTCGGACAACTTAATGAAGATTGATGTCCAAATTGTACAACGCGATCTCGGATAATTAATGAATTAATGACTTTATTAGGATTTGTCCTGAAATGATTATGTATAAATTATGTATTTCCTCAACAGATCAGTGCACACAAACCCAAAGGGTTTTACTATCACAATATTTGCTTGTTACTTTACAAAAGGAAGTTACCATGTCAGTTTCTATTTCCTTGTGTGAAACTGAACTAATCTAGATTTGATATTAACATGTTAACTAATTTAAGAATGAGCATTTCTAAAGTCAGTGATTTGAATAGTTTTATAACAAGACAAATATACATCTAGACATCCTGTGTATTTCTGTCCTATTCTGCCTGTACATGGAGTATTTATCATACCGGTAATAATCGAGGATGGCATCTGGACAGATGGACCACTAGACAATCTTTTTATACAACTCACAGCAGAGATGTTTTCAACCACATGAATAGTAAAAGAAGATTCACTATGCTCAGCAGTTACGGTCTTAGTGTGAAAATAGCAATTTTAAGATGTGATTCATCCAGACTCTGAAACGCTCCAGTGTACAGCGAGCTACTGTGAAAATATTTGATATCCTTTAATTTCATTAATTTTTTCATCAATTATGTGAAATGAAGTTTTCAATATGTAGCTAGACAGACAGGGTAATTGACTTAAATAATTACTAGTCTGTATGGGGATAAGGATTGGTGTAGTGTATTAACAGAGTCCTATTCACTGTGTACAGAAATTGTTGCTAGTTGCAATTACTGTATGACTGGAATATACTGATGTATGTATATAGATGCTGGTGTGCTTAAGGTTAGCTGTGTTAGGTGGAGAGTGGTGTTTGATTTGATATGACAATACAGTGGAAACTGCTTTGGTCACATTCATGCAATACATTGTTCATGCTACAATATTTGTAGGAGAGCATTTTGCATGGCAAGAAATGTTGATGCTTCAGCTATGTTTCTGGTAACATTTTGATGTGAGCATTTAGGTACTAAAATCTTTTTTTTTACGTAAAATTGGTAATGTTTTTTTTTGCACCTTATGATTATGGATGTTATTAAGATGTCTGGATGCAACTGAAATGATGGTTGGGTTGCTATTGGAAACCCAAGACTTTTTGTAATAGTTGTTGTCTACATTCTCTTCACAACGTTTGATGGGGAAGTTCTGATTGTCCAGGGCCCACTTGCACAAAGCGATCTTAGCGCTAAGATTACCGTAAGCCTATGTTAATGTATGGGAGTCTTGATCATCTTAGCGCTAAGATTATCGTAAGCCTATGTTAATGTATGGGAGTTTTGATCATCTTTGCGCTAAGATTATCGTAAGCCTATGTTAATGTATGGGAGTTTTGATTATCTCAGCGCTCAGATCGCTTTGTGCAAGTGGGGCCAGAGGGGGCTAAATCTGACTGGATGAAGTGTGAAGTCAGTTACATGCCCAGATCGCATCCCATTCCTTGGCCAACACCACCAAACATGCAGTCAGATTTATCCTGTCTATACACTCAGAATGTCTCTCTCAAGAGTGGAGTTTTAGGTGATCTGTGTGTAAGATGAACCAGAATTTCAGTCCACATGCATTGATGTCTGCCGATTTTGGTATGTTGTAAGTTGTTAGGAAGCATGTTTTGGCTGATGTTGTTATGGATGCAATGGTAGCTGGCCACTTCTGGTACCGCTGATGTTGTTATGGATGCAATGGTAGCTGGCCACTTCTGGTACCACTGGTGATTGTTGGCATCATGTTTTGATAAAATATATTGGTATTGATTAAATGTTGTGTTTGTGTTCCTTGGAGAAAAGAGCTGAGACGTAAAAAGTAGCTTTATGATTGACTGTAGCTATACGAATATCGTTTGTTTGTTTTTTAACGTCGCACTCAGCAATATTCCAGCTTTATGATGACGGTCTGTAAATAATCGAGTCAGGACCAGACAATCCAGTGATTCACATTATGAGCATTGATCTAAGCACTTGGGATACGATGACATGCATCAACCAAGTCAGCCAGCCTGACCACCCAATCCTGTTAGTCACCTCCTACGACAAGCATAGGTTGCTGAAGACCAATTTTAACACAGATCTTCACGGGTTCATATACAAATATCGATTATCATTAGAGCCATGATCATCTTAGGGTTAAGATCACTTTGTAGAAGAGTCACAGGTCAGAACAGGTTCACACAACCTAATGCTTGTAATAACCAACTAAATGGGGATTGTGTGGCCAAGTTGTTCCCCGATTGCGTGTTATGCTGTCCTGATGGTGTGGAACGTTGGTCTTGCTTTCAGTCACTGGTTTGCATGGCCAAGACTGGATCAGGCCATGTGTTGCTGGGAAACTTGCAGTTGCAGTGCAGGAAAGACTACTGGCCCCATGAAGACCCCGGGCAGAATGGGTGGTAAGACTTTGGGGTCAGGTGGTCAGGCTCACTGACTTGGTCAATGCACCTTATATCCTAATTGTATGGATCGATGCTCATCCTGTAAATCACTGGATTGTCTGGTCCAGACCTGATTATTTATGAGGGTCAAATAGTTGGAATATTGCCGAGTGGGGTGAAAAAAAACAAAGAAAAGACTGTGGTACCATTCAGTACTGCTAGGACAATAGCATTGTTAGCACTAAGAACCTTTTGATTTACTATATTTTACGCACATGGCGTTTCCTATGTTTCAGTCTTTCACCGGATAAACTTTTAGAATGTCTTGTTATAAAGGGGGTAACTGATTATTGATGGATAATTCGTGAACGAATACGGAAGTAAATGATAAGCAGTAGTTTTTTATTATGCCTAGTGATAGCCGAGGGTTTAAAGCGTTCGTCAGAACAAAGACCCAGTTTCGATTCCCCACATGGGTACAATGTGTGAAGCCCATTTCTGGTATTCCCTTCCCGTGATATTGCTGGAATAGTGCTTAAAGCCGCATAAAACCCAACTCACTTATGATATAAGGTGTATTAGTAGTGCAGTGCGGCATTGATTAAAACAACTGATTTTCTAAGTCATGAAACGACTAACGGGACCGGGATCGGGCGGTCAGGCTCGCTGACTTGGTTTGATGCATGTCATCATATCCCATTTGCAATTGCACATGAAGTCAGTCACAGGATTGTCTGGTCCTGATTTGATAAAATACAGACCGCCGTCATGTACTAGAATACTGTGAGGAGTGCGGCGTTAAACAACTTACAAACAAATCTAACTTCGCCTCGTGGATAAATACATCGACGACAAGTCGTTATACACCCATCGTATACCAAATCTAAACAAAGGCAAAACACATTTACTTCACAGTACTAAGTTTATTCTGAAGAAACTTTCGAAATAAGTTCTGTTTTATACGATATCAACCACACAATTATGAAATACCATCTAGAAATGTCCTGGAGATCACTCGTTTTCAAGTGAATCTCTACAAACAATTTGTATTTTACCCTTAATGCACACAGTTTATTCTATATGATTGTATATTGAATTTAGATCAATTATTTTTTAATATGCTTTCATTTGAACCTTACTATAATTGAAGCCCAAGAGTGGTTATCTTTGGCGTATATTATTTCGTTATTTGGTAAATGGTATAGCACCAAGATACACGCCAAAACAGAATGGTTACCAATTTAAAATGTCGACTTTGGACAAGTTTTCCATTGCGTAAAATTGCCCGAGCATTTGCACGTTCTGCTTCGTTCTTCAGAACCGTTGATACAGGTACCCCACGTACCCCATGTATTCCAGTTGCAGGAATCCCCACAAGCCTCGCTGTGGGCATTCAGTCCGTCACATCCTGCAAAGCAGGGCGAGCAGGTTCTGGTCTTGGTGCGGATATTGTTCAGACAGGGTGACCACTGTGTCCAGCTTGACCAGCTGCCGTCAGCCTCCCGCCAGTGCTCCAGGCTGAGTGTGGGAATACTATCGCAGTCCACCAATGTTGAACTGGAAGGAAAATTATTAAGAGGTGAATTAATGTTCAGACGCATGGTTCAGTTCAAAATGCAATATACAGGATTTGATATGAATATTTAGTTTGCACCATAATCAAGATCTATAGTGTGATAAAACGGGTCTTACATTGCAAAGTGCAACAAATCACGGGAGCACCTTGATTAAAGTCATGAAAAGATTGGGAAAATATCTGTTGACAACGAGTTGGTGATGCACATGCTTTGCAAATCCAGCATTCGACCGAAATCAGCACGACAGTTTGCGAACCGGATTTCGATTTCGTTGCGCGATTTTGATTGGACTATGCACAGACTCGTTAGTCCAGCCAAAATGTAACTCCGTAATACCAGCCTATTTGGGCAAGGGTGGAAACTGGACTTTTATAGTTAGTTAACTCTCTTGCCTCGGGAAGATGGACTAGTACAAGCAGCCACATACAAACGTGCATGCATGCGCGTCGCTATATAAGTGCAATAATCTTGTACGCGACGTTTATATCAGTTGTAGCAGGATCACTCGGGGTACATGGGGTTTTATTTATAAGAGATATATTCCCCCACTGAGAAATGTATTCCCCTACGAGGCGGGATTCACAGTATTGTATCAAGATCATATGGACCAATCAGATCTCATCATTCTGACATGGAGGTATGATGAACCCTACCTCACCTCACCTCACCTCACCTCACCTCACAAAAGGTTTGGTTCAACAAAGTTGCATGTTACCACGTGCCTCTGGCACGAACATAATGTCTGTCAAAGTTCATTAAGGAAAATACTTCACGTTCACTCAATGTTGACAAATCTCTACCTCGAAAGGATAACGGATGAGCAAGTACCTCTTTATGAAAGCCTGGGCCTGAAGTTGCTCTGTGTTGGTGCCATGGCAAATGACAAGTGACAAAGAGACCTTCCGTATCTCCCCCAGTTGGGCTGGAGAGGTTAGCCACCATGGAAGACAATAGGAAAATATATGTATGACATAAGACAACTCACCATACATCAAGTGAAGACTCATTCATCCTGCTAACTAAATGTACAATTGCACTCACATTTTATAAACACATGCTCATGACATAGTCGTAATTGTACAACAGACTCTGCTGTAATCGCCCGCCTCCGTGGTCTAGTGGTAGAGCGTCCGCCCGGAGAGCAGAAGGTCCGGGGTTCGATCACCTGCCGCGTCATACCAAAATAAGTTAATTGAGGTACTTGTTGTTACCCTGTCTAACACTCGGCATTAGGAGGCTAAAACAAGGACTGGTCGGCTCGGAGTCAGTATACTGTGTCTGAATGGGGTATTCAAGTCAAACTGCGGCATGGTATATCAGTGTGCTAGCACTATTTATCGGCATCAGTCCGGACTAGTACAAGCAGCCACACACACGTGCATGCACGTCGTTATATAAGTGCAATAATCTTGGACGCGACGTTAAACCCATGATTATTGAAAGGGTTTCGTCGCTTCTATTTGTACGTGTCTCGTTTCCATTCGGCTGATTCATCCGCTAACAACATGAAACCGGGGTTATTGAGTGAGTGAGTGAGTGAGTTGGGTTTTACGCCGCTTTTAACAGTATTCCAGTTATATCACGGCGTGTCAGCTAAATGTGGGAGGAAAGCCCGAAGTGATGCAGGTCTCAGACGTTTACCACTTCGGTGAAACCCACGAGCACAGGTATGGTGCTGGTAAACCTAGAAACATAATTGGGGCAAACCGGGATTCGAACCCACAATCATAGGTTGCTGGCCCAAGGGACGCAACTCTGCACAGCGAATCGCGGCGCCTTAGACGACTGGGCCACCCGTGCCCCCCCCCCCCCCCCCCCCCAGGGTTATTGATATTACATGTCGTAACTGCAAGCCGCATACCGCCAAATCCCTCCTCATATAGTTCCTACAACATGATGGGGCCGTTTTTGAAAACAGGTTAAGCTGAACGTAAGCAGGTATTGTTACTTCAGTATACTTTCACGTGAAACAATTGTAAACGTTTCATGTGTTGTGTAGCTCTCGTGTGTTGTTTTCTTATTAACGCCGCACACCATTTCAACTGTATGACGGCGGCCTGTAACTAATCGAATCTGGACCAGAATATCCAGTGATTGACACTATGAGCGCTGTTCCACGACGTCGGGGTACACAATCAACCAAGTCACCGAGACTGACCACCCTGCCCTTTACTTGCCTCATGCGTCGTTCGACAGTGACGTGCAAATAATTCCAACATGGATTCTTTCAAACGTTTCCCGAGATGACCTACAAGGGCTAAGATTGCGGCGTGCCGAGCAAAGGACTGAATAATCATTGCTTAGCGTTTTCCGCTTGGTACTACATAGACCTCGAACTCGTATAGAAATGCGACCCGTAAAGATCCAGGGTAGAATAGGTCTTCAGCAACCCATTCTTGCCATAAAAGGTGACCATGCTTGTCGTAAGAGGCGACTAACGGGATCGGGTGGTCAGGCTCGCTGACATGGTTGATGCATGTTATCGTATCCCAATTGCGTGGATCGAGGCTCATCATGTCTGGTCCAGATTCGATTATTTAAAGACCGACGTCATACAGCTGGAATGTTGCTGAGTGGGTCGTTAAACAACAAACAAGCAAACAAACAAGCAAACAAACAAGCAGAAATGCAGTACCTGGGGTGAACCTGACGTAGTCGTTGTCCTCCTCAAACCAAAACCTGTCTCCAGTTTTGAGAGCTTGGAACTGTCGTCCTAGTAAACATGCAAGTGTGGGGCCCACCAGCCCGCCAGAAACAGGGGTCTCCGACATGGCTGCCGTGAACAGGTCGATGTCATTGGGAGACCTGTAAAACATCACCGTCAGATATATCTTGATATGGATACATTACAAGTGATTCCATTTCATTTGATTGGCTAATCAAGAGATATTTGCGTTCATGTTCATATCGAAATGAACTAGGCCCACTAAAGGACTTCTGTTTCCTGATTGGCTGGAAATAGAATGGGGGGCTTTTTTTTATTATTGCCCTGAACAATGTCATTGATTTCGAACAGTTAATGAATAAATAGGCAGTCTGTGAATTTAATTTTGGCGTTTTTATTTATAATATTAATGATTGACTTCAAAATGTTTTTGCGATCATGGAGGTGTACACGTAAAACCGGTGTGCACATACAGTGCGCGTAATTGCACGCGGGTTTTACGTGTATGCATATTGTACCTCCATAAATATTGGTTGGTGGTTTAACGCTGCACTCAGCAACATTCCAGCTATATGGCGGCGGTCTGTAAGTAATCGAATGTGGACCAGACAATCCAGTGATTGGATCCACGCAGTTGGGATATGATGACATGCATCAACCAGGTCAGCGAGCCTGACAACCCGATCCCGATAGTCGCCTCTTACGACAAGCATATTCGCCTTTTACGGCAAGCATGGGATGCTGGAGACCTATTCTACCCCGGATCTTCACGGGTCCTTTCAGGTCCCTGACTATATTTAGGCTATATTTAGCCGTGTGTGGAGCGTACGTACATTACCAGCAGGAAATGAAAGAAAAAAACCCGTGCAGATGTAGTATTTAATGCGCTATTGACCAAGTTCCCTGCTCAACGTAACCCCTCTCAGTCACCTGACTGACGCGTCCTACCCGGATTGTAACCACGTGATGAAAACTCGGTGATGTTTATCGCTAGCAAAATGGATGTTTCTTGAAAAGCGCACCCTGCAAGTTTTGCCATTACTGTAAGCAATATTGCTTATCGGCGGAATGGCTTGTTTTCATATTATAAGTAATCATCGCGATATTTCGTGATTCTAGTTCACGCGGCGAGGACTGAATGTGACCCCCCATGAGATAAGGGACCTTATGAGTGAAAATCACATTTTTACTTCTCATTATATTTTAAAACTGCAGTATCTTAGGTCGATTCATGGCATCAAACATTTGGACTCATTGTAACTGTTTATGTAATAATAGCAGTCTTTAGATACATCTGATTAATTGAAAGTAGACATTTATGCTTAAAGGTTTTGAAGTATTTTTCATATTACACTACGAACTAACGAGCGAGAAATAAGATATTTTTTGTACAGTTCGCAAACATGGCGAGTTTTACTGAAATAAGATGACGTCAAACGTCTTTATGACGTCACAGCACAATTGTAACGTACCACCCATGAGGTTCCTGTTCTCCTGGTGGGTCACACAGGTTTTTACTCACGAGTAGATAGAGGCCAGTTTGAGGCGCACGTCGTATGGTATCTCTGTGATTGCCATGATGTTGGTTACTTGCGACAGCCCACAGAACCTCCTCCAGTACCCGTATCCCGCCAGGCCGTGGTCCCGACCTCTTTGGACGTTCAGGGACGCCAGGTCCAGTTTGTTCCCCGCGTCGTCAGGGAACAGGTTGTTGGTCAACTGGGAGGTCATGAAGCGGTCAACCAGCTGGGTGCTGTCACGTGCAAGACCCCGACAGAAGCTGCCCACGGTCCGGCCAGGCTGGTTCAGGAGGATGTCAGTGTTCCCGAAGCTGGTACTGAGGACGGTGTTTCCAGCATCCACGCCACTCGCATCGGCATTGCCAAGGAAGTCGTTGACCATTGTGTGACCGACCCTGAAGGCGGCAGTGGAGAAGGCGTTGCGAATGCTGGCGTCAACGGCAGGATTGTACACGTTGGCGTAACCCGACGTCGTGGACGTTAGACCGTACTGAGTCATTATTGTAGGGCCCAGCAGAATAGGAAGGTATTCGGTATATGTGATGACCTGAAATGTCATTACATTCAAACATATTTTTATTCAAATGAATCTGGATCGTTAAAAAAGCAAAGAAGGCTTTTGTTAATACCTCTCCAGGACAAGTTATTTTCATGAAGGCATTTTACAAAACAATAAATGAAGACAAACTGAATACTTTTAACAAAAGCAAGATCATTAGGGTTGGGTTTTACGCGGCTGTTGGTAGCAGTATATGTGGCAAGGTTATAGTTTTATGATTGTTAGAGGCAGCAGATTGAAGCGCACGTAAAATGTCAATTACCGTTGTATCCAGATATATTTTTTACTGACGGTTTACGACAACCAGCGTACTTATGAGTTCTGCACCTTTGCGTATCGACACTGGGATAGACTTTGTTCAAGAAGTTCCTAGAATACTAGCTGTATTTATATAAGAGAGAGACGAGGACGATTCGAGGCCTTCTACGATCTTATCTACTTGTCCAGTGCGGACGCGATAACTCTCTGAAAGCGCCGACATTTCTGCCTGCTTCCAAGACTGCTGCTTTCTGGATTCAAGAACGGACAACTCCCCCATACAAGACATTCAACAGCTACAAATTCTGGACATTCGTGACTGCACCTATTATGTAATAGAAGACCCGTGAAAAGCCGGGTTAGAATAGGTCTTCAGCAACCCATGCTTGCCGTAAAAGGCGACTATGCTTGTTGTAAGAGGCGACTAACCGGATCGGGTGGTCAGACTTACTGAATTGGTTGATGCATGTCATCGTATCCCAATTGCGTTGATCGATGCTTATGATGTTAATTCTGGATTGTTTGGTCCAGACTCGATTACTTATTTACAGACCGCCGTCATGTAGCCGGAATACTGCTGAGTGCGGCGTTTAACAACGAACAAAGAAATTTAAAAGGGCCTGTAACTGATAGCACGCCTCATCACTACCTGTCACACTCCAATGCAGAAAAGCACAAACCTGGATGCTAGCCCCGATAATCCTCCTCGTCTCTTGGAACAGTTTCTCATCTCCCCAGTGGCAGTTCAACCTTTTCAGATCCGTAGCCACGAGGTTGTGAAACCGCAAGAACACCGTCTGCATGCTCGTGAGGGCTGGGTTCTCGTTCACTCGTTCGTCACCTGCACACATATACACAGTAAAAAAAGTGTTGCACCCTCTATACTTTTTCATGGAGGGGTGTTTTGAAAGGGTGTAAAGATAACCGAATTAATATTATAACCAGGATTTCGTGTATACCAACAAACCAGTGTATTGTCTATACAATGAACTTAAATGGGGTATGCCATGACCTTATGGCATGTAATAATCTCATGCTGAACTTTTACGAAAAATGAACGAACAACGAAGACGCATTAAGTATGGTGACATCTCAATAATTTTTAGTGACCAAATTCATCCAATAGGGTAAGAATGTCATATGGAGATTTGACGAACACAGTAAGTCAATATCGAGAACTTCCACCAATCACTTGGATCACAGCTTGAAGTCTTCGTCTCATACTCCTCACCAGACGTTGGAATCGCTGCTGCCACTCCTCGTGTAATGCTGCTTCCAATTCACGCAAGTTCTGTGGAGGAGGGTCCCGACGATAAATCAGGCGTCCCAAAATGTCCCATACATGTTCCAGAGGACTCATATCTGGACTCATTGCTGGCCATGGAATCTGCGTCAGAGCATTGTTGTGGATAACCTGGGTCACAGCTCGTGAACGATGTGGTCTGGCATTGTCATCCATGAATATCGGTCTAGTGGCCAGTGGATGATTGTCAAAATGGGGCACCACAACTGGATTCAGCACCTCTTGGATGTAGCGCTCCCCTGTCAAGTTGCCTCGTATGGTCACTAAATCAAGCTTACAATCAAATGAGAAGCATCCCCAGACCATAACAGATCCACCTCCATATGGTACAGTTGGCATGATGTTTCTTGCAGTATAAGCTGTTCCAGGACGCCTCCATACTCTCACTCTGCCATCCACAACATGCAGAAGGAACCTGCTTTCGTCCGACCAGTGGACTCTTCTCCAGGACCTCAAGTTCCAGTTCTGTCTCAGTCTACACCAGGCTAGACGTAGTCGTTTGTGGTTGTCTGTGAGTTTAGGTCGCTTGATAACCCTTCTGGACTTCAACCCTGCAGCTTTAAGACGATTTCTCACGGTCTGGGTACTGAACTGTTGACGAGGAAGCCAAAGACGTTTCAAGGTTGTGCTTGTAGCAAATGGATGACGCCTTACCACCCTCAACAACGCTCTGTCATCTCTAACTGTGGTCTTACGTGGTCTGCCAGAGGGTCTGCGATTCCTTACATCATTAGTTTGTGCGTGTTTTCTGACCAAACGGCTTATTGTTGAGTAGTGATGTCCGGTTCTTCTGCCAATCTCCTTGAACGAAAGACCTGCTCCATGAAGGCCAATAATCTGCCACTTGACTGCTTCTGACAATCGTCTACCCGGCATTGTGGGTTACAATAAACTGGGCTGTCAGAGAACATCTTTTATAGGCGATGTTGAGCTTAAGAAGATACTGCAATCTGCAAATGTCATGCACCATGCAATTCACGTGCTGATTGCTACGTTTTGGTGATCATCTTCCCTCCGAAAACATTACACATTTAACATCAGATCCCCAAGGAATACCTACCATTAAAACCAGAGTCGGGCGTTTTAAATGTTGTGATGTATCAAACGTATTAATGTGGGGGTGCAACACTTTTTTTACTGTGTATATATCAATCAGTGCTGGTCTTTGTGTTGTGAGGTTTGTTTGTTTGTTTGTTGTTTAACGCCGCACTCAGCAATATTCCAGCTTTATGACGGCGGTCTGTAAATAATCGAGTCTGGACCAGACAATCCAGTGATTCACATCATGAGCATCGATCCACACAATCGGGATACAATGACCAAGTCAGTGAGCCTGACCACCCGATCCGTTAGTCGCCTCTTACGACAAGCATGGGTTGCTGGAGACCTATCCGGATCTTCACGGGAACATCAACACATAATAACAAAATACGTCCGTGACATATAGTTAGGAATTTGTTAGTTGTTTACGAATTTTCGCCCAAACAATTCAGTTCTGTAGGGAAAATTAAAAACAAATATATTCTGACATGACAAAGCAGGGTAACCGGATGTGGCTAGAGTTACTCCCCCTTACTGATACTTGCAGAAGCGAATTTCTATTATGGCAACGTCGTCCCTCTACTTTGCGAGATTCTTGAGATACATTGTTTCTTCCATAATTTAGTACGAAGTATTTTGGGTTGGCAGTGATAACAAAAGCGACCACAGAGGGCAGTCCCGACAGCCGGTCCTTGTGCTGCTCCGGCGGCAAACATGCAATTATGTATACTGAACACTGTTTATATACTGTATATTTAATCTATCTGAACTCCACTGTCAATAAGCATTTACATAACCTAAGTGGAACCCTAATAACTCCAGATGGCTTTTGCTTAGTTACTGGATTCGCGGGCTCAAAATTTGAAATGCAATGAAAAAAATTCAGGTGATGTTTGATTGTGTAAAATCATTGTAATTTGAAAACAGTTAAATTTGTGGAAGTGTTGGTCGCTAAAACAAATCTCATACAGTCAGCCCAGCTATATCATGGCAATCTGAAAATAAAGATAGACATTCCAGTGGTTAACCCCACGCCATCGGGACTTGGAGCCACACATTTGGCCAGCTGATCACACACTGGAGTCCCAGCCTACGTGGTCTAGTGGATAGAGCGTCTAACCTGAGAGCGGAAGGTCGGTGTTCGATCCCAGACCACATCATACCATATAAACGTTGAAAGATGGTACTTCTTGTTTCCCTGCCCGGCGCTTCGATTAGGGTGGTAAAATTGGTCGGCTCGGTGTCAGTATGCTGTGTCTGAGTAGGGTATTCATGTTAAACTGCGACATGGGCTAGCACTATGAAACCAGCATTAGTCCGGACTAGTACAAGCAGACAGACAGACAGACACAGACATACAGACAGACACGTGCGCGCGCCGTTGAGCCCCATGCCAACTCATCTCACACACTGAAATCCCCCTGTGCTTAATTCAGTCGGCTAATATACCGTATTGGGGCCCTAACGCAACAATACAAAACTGAGAACATGGATTATGGAACTGAATGTCACAATGTATTCCTCACCTGCCTGGAAACAAAACGCATTCCCAGAGTTGGTCACACAGTTAGGAGCATCTGTGGCCGATTGTTTGGGCAGGAGGGTTCTACCTGTGGTGGAGGTGTACGTTCGCAGCAGTCCTAGAGAACAGACATGACAGTTTCCAGTGAACTGAACGTATACACAACTCTGTAGGTCACAGCAACGCGAAACAACAGGGGTATCTATTTACAAGCGAAACAAACAAACAAACAAACAAACACTTATTTTTGTTATGCAAATTGTGTGAGTGGCGGGTGCTACCGGTGCTTGCCTTTTAGCGAACCCGTCATCACTAATTTGAAGTGATCAATGCATTTTTCCCAGTCTGTTGTATTTTAGCTCAGTGGACTGGCGATGACGTATTATATCTATTTGTGTGTGTGAGTGTGTGTGTGTGTGAGTGTGTGTGTGTGTGTGTGTGTGTGTGTGTGTGTGTGTGTGTGTGTGTGTGTGTGTGTGTGTGTGTGTGTGTGTGTGTGTTGTGTGACTCAGCACTCATCAATATTCCTGTTATATGACGGCGGCCTGTAAATAATCGAGTCGAGACCGGAAAATCAGTGATTGATATTATGAACAATGTTCCACGGGGACGACGCAATCAACCTAGTCACAGAGTTCAAGTCGAATTTTTCAACCAGCATAGATCGGTTGGGACCAGTTCGTACCAGGTATCTCCAAGGGGCCAGTATACCATAATGTGCACGTATACGACCGGACCCGTGAAGATCCGGGGTAGAATAGGTCTTCGGCAACCCATGCTTGCCGTAAAAGGCGACTATGTTTGTAGTAAGAGGCGACTAACGGGATCGGGTGGTCAGGCTCGCTGACTTGGTTGATGCATGTCATCGTATCCCAATTGCGTGGATGGATGCTCATGAAGTCAATCATTGGATTGTCTGGTCCAGAGTCGATTATTTATAGACCTCCGTCATATAGCTGGAGCATTTCTGAGTGCGGCATTAAACCAACAAACAAACAAACAAACATATATACGACCGGAGACACGAAAGTGTCTTGATCTGAAGCAGGCTATGTATCCGGGTGAACTTAGCGAACACCTGGTGTCATCACTGATTTCCAGTGATCCAATGAAATATTTTACACTACTCTTTTGCCTTTTACGACAGCTGGAATCTGTTTCGACGGATAATCGAGACTGAATTCTCTCTGGCGTTGACATTTGAATTTACATACGTACACAGTGAATCTCAGTTGTCTCGAACTCGAGGAAACCCGAGAAAACATTCGATCCACCTATTATGAGGTTTTATTTTCGTTCTGGAGGTTTTACTTTGAATGTAAAACCTCAAATCCCAGATTTAACCAAGTAACTTAAAAAATGACTACAAGTAGCAATTCAAAATTTTAATTCAATTAAAATTGAAAGTCATGTGTACAGTGAATGAAGACTGGGTAACAAAATGAAAGTCGTCGTCGCTCATCTTTCCACTTCAGAGTCTCTGGTGAAAGGACAGCGAGGTTTCAAAACACGTGCTTTTAAACAAGTGCTTATCAATGCTGCACAATTTGCACGTGAAGTAACTGCTAGCCGTTAGGTCACAACTACCTCTATGTAACAGTTGGATTGTTTCAAGTCGTAAATCTTGTAAAGCAAAAGACACCTTTTAAATTTGCGAATTTTCGTTTTGAAAAGTTTAAAAGAAGTGGAATATTGCAACACAAACATTTAGAGACCGAAGATTTCACTTTCATTTAAAAGTAAGTATTTTAGTTGTGTTTTGTTGTTGACACATCCAAGTGCTCTTGACCGCCTGGCAAGTCAGCGAATTTCACGTGCAAGCTATGATATCACGTCTTCAAGGAAGCGCTATAATGAAGCGCCTCATTTATAGATGCTCGTTATAACATTTAATCAATTTAAACGGTTTATAAGTATGGAAAAACACTTTCCCTCGGTTTTGGTAGACAGAGCATGCCCTGGGGATGCTCTGTCTACCAGAACCTCGTGAGCGTGTTTTCTCCAATCCTTAACACAGTGCAGCATGGTTCATGATCATGATGTCACGGTGACAGTGATGTCCCTACCTTTCTGAAACGTCCTGAGACTGTTCTGTTGCTGTTGGGTGGAGCCGTACACTTGTGAGGCGTCGAGGTACGCCGTCAGCTGGTTTAGCTGCTCAACCGGTGCTGAGACGAGAGATAGCAATGTTTGTAAACGAGAAAAACCAACCTTAATGTACATTCTCTTTGAGTGTGAAATTGTAAAACATGTCTGCAACAACCTCGCAAAATGGATCAAAGACAATACTTGAACAGAACTAGCATGTTCAAAATTGACAATATTTTAGGATATCAAGAAAAACTGTAAATAAAGTCTTTAAATAATCAACTCGGACCAGACAATCCAGTGACAGACATGATGCGCATCGATCTACGCAAATGGAATGCGATGATATACATCAACCAAGTCAGGGAGCCTGACCACCCGATCCCGTTAGTCACTACTTACAACATGGATCGTCATGCCTAGATCTTAACGGGATGCACACTTACGACAATGGATACGGTGGACAAACTGATGAATTTGTTATCAGAGGTTATGTGATGATTTGAAAGTACCGTTACGAATCTGTTGACGAAACAGCGAGAGCAACAAGATCTTAACTGTTATACAGATATCTATGACAACACACGAAGGAGTTACGTAAGTGAGAATGTCAGCGAGGATAACATATAACCAGGTGTGAACACCAGGAACCTCTTTCCCTGTACGTGACACATCGTCACTGTGACGAGCGAACGCTCAATCCCCTGTACCACCTCAGCCCTCATGTACCTGCTTGACAGTTGGCATTTTCCACCTGTACGCGACACGCTCAATCCCCTGTACCACCTCAGCCCTCATGTACCTGCTTGACAGTTGGCATTTTCCACCTGTACGTGACACGCTCAATCCCCTGTACCACCTCAGCCCTCATGTACCTGCTTGACAGTTGGCATTTTCCACCTGTACGTGACACGCTCAATCCCCTGTACCACCTCAGCCCTCATGTACCTGCTTGACAGTTGGCATTTTCCACCTGTACGTGACACGCTCAATCCCCTGTACCACCTCAGCCCTCATGTACCTGCTTGACAGTTGGCATTTTCCACCTGTACGTGACACGCTCAATCCCCTGTACCACCTCAGCCCTCATGTACCTGCTTGACAGTTGGCATTTTCCACCTGTACGTGACACGCTCAATCCCCTGTACCACCTCAGCCCTCATGTACCTGCTTGACAGTTGGCATTTTCCACCTGTACGTGACACGCTCAATCCCCTGTACCACCTCAGCCCTGATGTACCTGCTTGACAGTTGGCATTTTCCACCTGTACGTGACACGCTCAATCCCCTGTACCACCTCAGCCCTCATGTACCTGCTTGACAGTTGGCATTTTCCACCTGTACGTGACACGCTCAATCCCCTGTACCACCTCAGCCCTGATGTACCTGCTTGACAGTTGGCATTTTCCACCTGTACGTGACACGCTCAATCCCCTGTACCACCTCAGCCCTCATGTACCTGCTTGACAGTTGGCATTTTCCACCTGTACGGATCTGACGAAGTCCATGCAGCTGTTGTTGAATGACGGGTCGCCATGGGGGATCATGATCGGAAAACACTGGGGTCTGGCGGGTAGAGAGGGGGACAATATACTGTTGTAATGTTGTAACCGTCACAATGCCGTAATAATGTTGTTACCGTCATAATACCGTAATAATGTTGTTACAGTTATGATACCGTTATGATGCTGTCACCGTTATAAAGCAGTTTCCGTTATAATACCGTATTAATGCTGTTATCGTTATAAAACCGTTTTAATGCAGTTTCCGTTATAATACCCTATTAATGTTGTTGCCGTTATAATACCGTTAACATGCTGTTACCGTTATAATACAGTTATGATACAGTTACCATTATTATACCGTTATGATGCTGTTACCTTTATAATACCGTTATGATGCAGTTTCCGTTATAATACCGTATAAGTGCTTTTACCGTAACTGTTACAATAACGTTATAATGCTGTTACCGTTATAATACCGTATGCTGTTAGCTTAATAATACCGTTATAATGCTGTTACCGTTATAATACCGTATGCTGTTACCGTTATAATACCGTTATAATGCAAAGGATTACTACAGTCCATAGCCACAAGCATAATTAATTCTTGAAAACACTAGGGAAATCCTTTGGGTCATCCTTTCAGGCAAAAATGCGGGGTTTTTTTACGAACTAACTGGATATTGCGCCAATTCTGATGAGATTTTGTTGATGCTTGTCGATGTTAAATTTAGGGATGAAAACATCTTCCCCCATCTCTCACCCCCTATTCGCTTCCTTTTTGTACTGTATTACCAAATAGTTCCCAAAGAAAGCAAAGGGGTCCTTCCTAACTTTAATTATTCTGCTTTGACTTTAAAAATTTACTTCAATGAATTGAAAACCTGATCACACAATTCGTAACTAATTATAATTGACAATCCCGAACATCATCTATTATTTAATACAAACATCACAGTTGTATATTACATTTTATTACGTTTAGTAATATATGTCAACAAAAAACAAACGTCAAAGATATTTACTTTCCAAATCGGGATAAGTTTCATCTTGTTTTCTCAGTTTGTTTATTAGCGTCGTCCTCGTTCACAGTGCAGAGTTGCGATCTTAGGCATGCCAGAAACCGATTTCTGCAAGTTCGAAATTCGGTCAGGCCTGATTATTTTGTTTCCTCCTCACCATAGCCTTACCATGGGTTTCACAAAAGTGGTAAACACCCAAGGCCTGCATCACTTCGGGCTTTCCTCCCACATTAAGGTGACACGCCGCGATATAACTTGAATACTGTTCAGAGCGGCGTAAACAAAACTCAGCCCTTACCTTGCACTCAGTCTTGCTTGTTTGAACGCCACCCTGGGTGATGCACAGCAACTGACGCCTTACCTTGCACTCAGTCTTGCTTGTTTGAACGCCACCCTGGGTGATGCACAGCAACTGACGCCTTACCTTGCACTCAGTCTTGCTTGTTTGAACGCCGCCCTGGGTGATGCACAACAACTGACGCCTTACCTTGCACTCAGTCTTGCTTGTTTGAACGTCACCCTGGGTGATGCACAGCAACTGACGCCTTACCTTGCACTCAGTCTTGCTTGTTTGAACGCCACCCTGGGTGATGCACAACAACTGACGCCTTACCTTGCACTCAGTCTTGCTTGTTTGAACGCCACCCTGGGTGATGCCCAACAACTGACGCCTTACCTTGCACTCAGTCTTGCTTGTTTGAACGCCACCCTGGGTGATACACAACAACTGACGCCTTACCTTGCACTCAGTCTTGCTTGTTTGAACGCCACCCTGGGTGATGCACAGCAACTGACGCCTTACCTTGCACTCAGTCTTGCTTGTTTGAACGCCGCCCTGGGTGATGCACAACAACTGACGCCTTACCTTGCACTCAGTCTTGCTTGTTTGAACGCCGCCCTGGGTGATGCACAACAACTGACGCCTTACCTTGCACTCAGTCTTGCTTGTTTGAACGCCACCCTGGGTGATGCACAACAACTGACGCCTTACCTTGCACTCAGTCTTGCTTGTTTGAACGCCGCCCTGGGTGATGCACAGCAACTGACGCCTTACCTTGCACTCAGTCTTGCTTGTTTGAACGCCACCCTGGGTGATGCACAGCAACTGACGCCTTATCTTGCACTCAGTCTTGCTTGTTTGAACGCCACCCTGGGTGATGCACAACAACTGACGCCTTACCTTGCACTCAGTCTTGCTTGTTTAAACGTCGCCCTGGGTGATGCACAACAACTGACGCCTTACCTTGCACTCAGTCTTGCTTGTTGAACGCCGCCCTGGGTGATGCACAACAACTGACGCCTTACCTTGCACTCAGTCTTGCTTGTTTGAACGCCACCCTGGGTGATGCACAACAACTGACGCCTTACCTTGCACTCAGTCTTGCTTGTTTGAACGCCGCCCTGGGTGATGCACAACAACTGACGCCTTACCTTGCACTCAGTCTTGCTTGTTTGAACGCCACCCTGGGTGATGCACAGCAACTGACGCCTTACCTTGCACTCAGTCTTGCTTGTTTGAACGCCACCCTGGGTGATGCCCAACAACTGACGCCTTACCTTGCACTCAGTCTTGCTTGTTTGAACGCCGCCCTGGGTGATGCACAACAACTGACGCCTTACCTTGCACTCAGTCTTGCTTGTTTGAACGCCACACTGGGTGATGCACAACAACTGACGCCTTACCTTGCACTCAGTCTTGCTTGTTTGAACGCCACCCTGGGTGATGCACAACAACTGACGCCTTACCTTGCACTCAATCTTGCTTGTTTGAACGCCACCCTGGGTGATGCACAGCAACTGACGCCGCTACCGTAGGCTCCTGTAAGACAGCGGATGGTTGTTACATGGGTGGCTACAGTGTGGGGACACTACGGCTGACCGAGTGGTCGATGTTGCGATACATTTCACTTATCCATTTCCCGATGAACATACACCACAACACGGTATATATCAAGACTTGACATTCGGTCATAAATATAAGGTTTAATAATTAAAATATGAATCATATTGAGTGAGTGAGAATTGTTTTACGCCGCTTTTAGCAATATACCAGCGATATCACAGCTGGGGACACCAGAAATGGGCTTCACACATTGTACCCGGGTCATCGGCTACCCCACCGCCCCTGAATCATATTGAACCATATTTTAACATTAGATAACCTGCCGGGCAAAAGAAAATATACACCCATGCCTGCTGGAGGCTAAATATGAGACAAACAAAAAGTTTATTCGATGGTGATGTATTTGATACGGGTATCATAGTTGTGTTTTAGACTTTTTTCATCCGAGTAACGTTTTGACAACATTTGTTATTTTTTGGTGAAATCCTTTTGTCAAGTGTATACTTTCTTTTGCCTGACAGTTTAGTTCCTTGTAGGTAGATCAACTTCGAGTGGTCAGCATTAGGTAGGGGAAAGGTAAACATGTAAACATGTAAATATGTCTACCATTGGCTTGATACAGATACCAGGTCGATAATCATGATAATGATTTCAATATGTCAATAGCCCCCCTACTAGACAGATCAAGCACTTTATCCAGGAAAATCGCTTGGTTAATGATTTTGAAAGGTATCAAATATTGATGGCTTTTACTAAATCGTAAACAAAGGTCAGAGTTGATCAGCCCGCATTCACATGACGACGACGCCATCTTTCTTGCCTAGGGAGACTAGACAATAAAAGTGACAAAAATCAATTCAATAGTCATAAGAAATCTCTGCTCCATTGTATGATTAACGACTGTATGACAAGCGGGTGTTAGTACTTAGCAGTTTCCCCCGACTTACCCAGCTGCACGGGCGTGAGGGTGACGTCGTGGTCAAGGAACTGACCCCAGGTCATTAGCATGAGCGTGAAGTTGTCACTGAGTGTGGCCGGGGTCGAGGCCTCGTGTATCGTGGTACTGACCAGACGGGCACTGGGCAGTTCACTAACACCGTCCGTGGACATGGTTCGCGGGGACGCAATGCCTGGAAAAAGACAGGATGTCATACAAACTCTAACTGAGGTCAGAGAGAGTGTGTGTGTGTGATTCTCATACCATCCGTTTAAAAACCCATTGGTCTATCCGCTGCTTTCTCAAATGATAGGGGGGCACGGGTGGCCCAGTCGTCAAAGGCGCCGCGATTCGCTGTGCAGAGATGCGTCCCTTGGGCACGCCAGAAACCTTTAATTGTGGGTTCGAATCCCGGGTCGCCCCGATTATGTTTCTAGGTTTGTCAGCACCATACCGTGCTCGTGGCTTTCACGGAAGTGGTAAACGTTTGAGACCTGCATCACTTCGGGCTTTCCTCCCACATTAAGCTGACACGCCGCGATATAAGTGGAATACTGTTAAAAGCGGCGTTAAACCCAACTTACTCACGCAAATGTAAAGTAGATAAACGTTTTTTGAGAAAAACAAAGAAAGGGATTAACATACGTTTCTTGCTCTGGGCTCTAGATGTCTACCAATCCTCGTCAGGATGTTTTCAAAACGTGCAAGCAATTGATCAAATATCCATTCAGTACCCCACGAAGTTGCAAAGACCCTTGTACCATTCATTGTGGAGAACAATAAACGACGGAGCTTGGTGCATGTAAACAAGTTGCAGAGAACATTCCACTTGCATCACCAAAAGTATAAACACTCACACAGTATAAATACACACTACTAATAGAGTTCTAATATTTTTTCAGATACTTTACACAAAAGAAAGTTTTGTCACAGACTAAAAGTAGGGATGTATTTTAAGTTTGAAAAAGGGATGTATTTTAAGTTAGAGGCCATACCCGTAACAGTTGGCTCGTCAGTAAGAACAATGCGGGGTTTGGCGATACTGATTCACGAAACGGACAGAAATTCGAATGGTCTCTTTCATAAACCTATACAACAAATGCACAGCTGTCAGACCACCCGTGAAGATCCGGGTTAGAACAAGTCTTCAGCAACCCCTGCTTGTCGTGAGAGGCGACTAACAGGATCGGGTGCTCAGGCTCGCTGAGTTTGTTGATGCATGTCATCGCATCCCAATTGCGTGGATTGATGCACATGATATCTATCACTGGATTGTCTGGCCGAGACTCGAATATCTACAGACCGCTGTCATATAGCTGGAATATTGCTGTGTGAAAACAAACAAACAGCACACAGCTGTCAATCGCCTGATAATATTAAGTTTGTCCTGCTAATGATGTAATGGCCCCTTACCTTCATTTCGTAAAAGACGACTAACGGGATCGGGTGGTCAGGCTCGCTGATTTGGTTGATGCATGTTATCGATCCCAATTGCGTGGATCGATTTTCATTATGTCAATCCTGGATTGTCTGGTCCAGGCTCGATTATTTACAGACCGCCGTCATATAGCTGGAATATTGCTGAGTGCGGCGTTAAACAACAAACAAACCAACCTTCAATTCAGAAGGTGCGCTTACCATCGCCGTACCGCGGCTCCATGAATCTCCGGAAGGGGATGAAGGACTCGCCCCAGTTTGGGTTGAGGAGGTTGTTACATCGTCCATTAGCCGTTCTGAATGGGTATGTGTTCTCACAACACACTGAATTGTTCCCACAGTCCAGATGGGGTCCGAACCCGCTAAGCAACAGATCACGTACATCCTTGTCGGGAACAGAACGACTGAAGCAAATAACGTGACAGAAATGAAACGTGACAATTTTGGAATAGACCCAGACAGCGGAATAAAACAAATAAACTACATTGGGAAATAAAATAAGTTCTACCATGAATTTCGAAATGCTATCAAATCGACAGATGACAACTCTACAGTGAGTGAGTATGGTTTTACGCCGCTTTTAGCAATATTCCAGCAATATCACGGCGGGGGACACCAGAAATGGGCTTCACACATTGTACCCATGTCGGGAATCGAACCCGGGTCTTCAGCGTGACGAGCGAACGCTTTAACCACTAGGCTACACGACCGCCCCGACAACTCTATATTGAATGCACAGTTGGTATGTTTACTGAACACAACGCGTTATATTTTAAATATGTTCCAAAGGATTAAGGGTAATGTTTTTAGAATTAACATATTTTATTTAGCGAACGCGTATATAGCTTCTTGGAAAAGAAGGGCAATATCATGTGATCACAATCCGGAGAGCCATCATCCTTTACCGTATTGCATATAACGCTTCCAAGGAAATGTTTAGATTGTTTCAAACTTGGTTTGTTTGTTTGCTGCTAAACACCGCTCTCAGCAATATTCCAGCTATATGACGGCGGTCTGTAAATATTCGAATCCGGACCAGAATTTCCAGTGATTGACATCATGAGCATCGATCCTCGCAGTTTGGATACGATGACAAGCACCGATCCCGTTAGTCGTCTCTTAAGACAAGCATGGGTTGCTGAAGGAAAAGGGTGGGAGGGTAGGGGCACCCTGCGTTGTCTTTTGATCCGCCTATATTGTAAATAGAAATGGATAATAACATAACTGAAATATTGCTGTTATAAATATCTTATTGGCTTACAGTTTCACGGCTTCATCGACAGAGAGAGTGAAAATGCGATGATGCTCCGCCATCTTGATGCTGTTCCCCAGAGTAGCTGTGACCTGTCGGTGCTGTGCGGTGGTCGACCCCGCTACCAAATCATCCACACCTACAGCAAACACAGGAACATTGCTGCTTCATTGTCTGATTTAGACTATCCGAAAAAATAGATTAAAAACATGAAAGAACGATCTCGATTTAGACACGATGTGGATACTACGCATGTTTTTTTAAAAGGGGCGTTGATTTTGGGGCACTCCAGATTAGGGCGGAGTGGGCAAGCAGTCAAAAGCGCCAGGCTAGCAAGCGCCAGGTGCTGACATCTTAAAACTATCCTGTCACTAACACGAAACGAACTAAGATGTCAGAATATATTAAATTTTCGGGTCGATGAGGTAGTCTTGTGGATAAAGCGTTGGCTCGAAGTACCGGGTTTCGATTCCCCACATGGGTACAATGTGTGAAGGCCATTTCTGGTGTACCCCGTCGTGATATTGCTGTAATATTGCTAAAAGCGGCGTAAAACCATACTCACTCACTGTATTCAACTCTAACCATGTCCCTCAGTACAGGAATACATTGTTGACTCGAAGTACACTTATCGAATTACGTGTAGTTCGAAACAAGTAGGGTGCATAATGCATATATAAGTTTCATATTTAACGAGTTTTCACTGTACATTATTTTGTAATTTTAAAATTTCCTGCAAACTTCTAATAATGTTCTGCTTGTTCACTTGGGTTAAACGTTCCTCCACCGTTATCTGGACGTGATAACACTGGGCGATTTCAACTAAGGACATGTTTAGCTGTGGAACTAATTAACATTAAAAAACATATTACATTTCAAGTGAAACCATAATGATGCTACTGTTCTTGCAGTTGACGCTGATCCATGATTCACACGTCACACTGAACGTGCTTCTTAAACAAGTAAAGCTGACGCAACTATAGGTCATTATACAGAATGATAAAGAAAATATATATCAACCATGACATGTAAAATGAAAGTCTAAGAGAAATTATGTTTCAATCGTAAAATGGTTTACGTCATGATTTTTCCCATCATGTACACTGTAAAACTTGGTTGAACTGGGTTTAGAGTTGAATGTTGGTATAAAATGTAAATGTATACATGTAAATGTAAATGATTAGGCAAAATACTTACCAGATTTGTAATAATCACGCGCTTCCGATTCTTCAATGAGCATGCGTTCATACGCCCGACTCTCACATACGAGCCAGTCTTTGTCTGTCATGTAGTACTTGGCTCTTAGTTCAGCTGCATTACGTGGCTCCCCTCCCAGAACCAGGTCTACTGTCGCCAGGGTAACAACCAGAGCTAGCATGGCGTCCCGTAGGTCTACAGCAGATAGAACAGTCGGAATTAGCTGTCATGTAGCATGACATGGCTCCACACCCAGAACCAGGGCTACTGTCGCCACACTCACAACCAGAGCTAGCATTGCGTCCCGTAGGTCTACAGCAGATAGAACAGTCGGAATTAGCTGTCATGTCGCATTACGTGGCTCCCCTCCCAGAAACAGGGCTACGGCCAGGATTACAACCAGAGCTAGCATGACTTCCTGTAGGTCTACTGCAGATAGAACAGTCGGAATTAGCTGTCATGTCGCATTACATGGCTCCACACCCAGAACCAGGGCTAGTGTCGCCACACTCACAACCAGAGCTAGCATGGCGCTCGAGTACGTCTACTGCAGATAGAACGGTCGGAATTAACTGTCATGTAGCATTACGTGGCTCCCCTCCCAGAAACAGGGCTACTGTCGGCAGGATTACAACAAGAGCTAGCATGGCGTCCTGTAGGTCTCCAGCAGATAGAACAGTCGGAATTAGCTGTCATGTCGCATTACGTGGCTCCCCTCCCAGAAACAGGGCTACGGCCAGGATTACAACAAGAGCTAGCATGACGTCCTGTAGGTCTACTGCATATAGAACAGTCGGAATTAACTGTCATGTAGCATTACGTGGCTCCCCTCCCAGAAACAGGGCTACTGTCGGCAGGATTACAACAAGAGCTAGCATGGCGTCCTGTAGGTCTCCAGCAGATAGAACAGTCGGAATTAGCTGCCATGAAGCATTACGTGGCTCCACACCCAGAACCAGGGCTACTGTCGCCACACTCACAACCAGAGCTAGCATGGCGTCCCTTAGGTCTACAGCAGATAGAACAGTCGGAATTAGCTGTCATGTCGCATTACATGGCTCCACACCCAGAACCAGGTCTACTGTCGCCAGGATTACAATCAGAGCTAGCATGGCGTCCCTTAGGTCTACAGCAGATAGAACAGTCGGAATTAGCTGTCATGAAGCATTACATGGCTCCCCTCCTAGGAACAGGGTTACTGTCGCCACACTCACAATCAGAGCAAGCATGGCGCTCGAGTACGTCTACTGCAGATAGAACGGTCGGCATCAACTGTCGAAGCTCATTATGAAGTTCATTTGTAGCGGATGCTTAACTTCGAGATTTCAATACATTCGAGACTACGGAGTTCAACTAAATGAACTGTATTGCATAATAAAATGTTATAATCCCCAGTCATTCTGAAGCAAGCCAAAGACATCAGTGGAATACAGAACGTTCGTAAGAAAGGTATCTCTTTGTGATTTTCGCGTATCAGCTGAATATCTTCGAAAATGTACCCGAGAGGTTTATTCCCTTTTGGAATATAAAAATATTTACGATCAACATATAAATGTTTGCCAGATATGTCCCATAAACACACAAGGCGAAATGCTTATCAAAACGTTACTGGGCTGAAAACAGTTTATAACACAACTGTGATACCCGTATCAAATACATTATTATCGAATAACCATTTCTTGTTTGTTTAATTTTTAGCTGTCATCAAAGTTAGGTGTATATTTTCTTTTGCCCGTCAGTATATCAACATTATCAACTTGTCTCATTATGTAAAGAAATATAGGACATCATACAGGTATAGCCAGCACTTCTTAGACTTACCTGACGGTGTTTCCCAAACCAGACTGTTTAACGATTGTGTTCAAGCCTTTTTATACAATAGTTCATTTTCTGTTAAAACATGCCCAATCAGAAACGACATCATTCATATCAATTCATTTCTAGTTCATGGCTACGCCCTAACATCGCAGTCAATTTAATTTGTCTTGTACGTATACGCCCTTGTAATATTTATATAATTGGCTCAAATGTTTGTTGGTAGTTTTTTGCATCAATAGTGTCTTCTTATTAAGGGGTTGGTGGGGTAGCCTTGTGGTTAAATCGTTTGGTCGTCACGCCGAAGACCCGGGTTCGTTTACCCACATGGGTACAATGTGTGAAGTCAATTTTCTTGTGTTCCCAGTCGTGATATTGCTGGAATATTGCTAAAACGGCGTAAAACCTCACTCACTCATTTCGAGGGTTTTAGCATGTCACAACAATGACTCTCTGATTATACAAGGTGTAGACGCTAACTTAAAACTGACGCAACTATAGGTCATTATGCAAAATGATACAGAAAATATATATCAACCATGACATGGTTTAAGTCAGAGAAATCCATCAAATATATTGAGTCCGGTAGAATCAACAAATTCTCACGATTTCTTCATTACGGATCAACGAGCACAGATATGGAGCTGACAAACCAAGGAGAAGCAGGGGGAATCTGAATTTCGAACTGACGATCATCGGATTCTAGAATGCCTAAAGAACACAACTGTATAAATATGTAAGAGGAGCAACTCTGAAACCATCATATAGTAGTGTCAGTTGCTGTTGACATGTTCATTAGAACAAGGTTTGTTTGTTTGTTAGTTTACCGCCGCACTCAGCAATATTCCAGCTACATGACGGCGGTCTGTAAATAATCGAGTCTGGACCAGACAATAAAGTGATTGATGTCATGAGCATCGATCCACCCAATTGGGATACGATGACATGTTTCAACCAAGTCAGCGAACCTGACCACCCGACCACGTTAGTCGCCCTCTTACGACAAGCATAGTCGCCTTTTACGGCAAGCATGGGTTGATGGATACCTATTCTACCCCGGATCTTCATGGGCCTAGAACACGGTAAAACATCATGGGGGGATATTCGTCACCCTCCCTGGCATGGGTTTTAAGGGACATGCACACAATATACCATTGTACATTTTTAAACTGTAGATGCTTTTTCGGGTGTTTTGTGCAACATTTTCACAATGAAAGTATTTACAATTTTTCAGTTTTTATTTCCAGCACAGTACACTCCGTAGCTTCAACACAAATACTACACGGACTGGTTTTTGATGAATTCAGCAAAGAGTTCCTTGATTTCCTGTGTAAATTGACCATAAACATCCCGGATGTGTGTACGCTCATTCAAGAAAGGGTTATAAGAGTACTGGTAACGGGATTGTTGAAGCTGTGCTCCCCGCAGTGTTTAATATATACATGAACGCACCCCTCTAACGATGCAGTGACTATATCGTTTTATACATAATTTATGTTCAATAAAACCCAAGAATAATCATATTTAACATTTGCTTCGCTTGTGTCCTTTGAACAAGACCTCTTATGTACTGTGCCACGTATACGGGAATTATCACAGATATTGTGTATATGTTGCTTATTATATACGTTAAGATTTGAAAATATACACGGAAATATACTTTACTCGACTGTAATGTACAACGAACTCGTTATTATTTCTTGTTGATGCGATTTTGATTTCATTTAATAGGCTTAAATTACGTGTTTCAACTTCATTTTCTTTTGCATTAAAGCAATAAAGAAGTTGAAATCCATAAGTCAACCCTGTTTTTAGATGTAATTTAAAGATAAACCCATGTTTAAATACTTGGACTAATACACTTGACATCCTATTGACTGACAAAACCAAATGATGACATCTCAACAACAATATCCCGTTACTCTCATTCATAACTTTCAGAGCTACATATACATTCTACAAAAACGTACATCTACAATAAATAATGACATATCTAGTACCATGAGGTTTGTTTTACAAATACGTATTTTCGTCACTTTTGCGACATCAGATGCGTAATATGTCATGTTAAGAAAGTAACGGATATCGTGAACATTTGGTTTAAATTGTAAGTACTGTAGACAGATAAATGTATCAAAATAGCATGCTATATTGTGGTGGACTCTGCAAGTGCTACTTCATATCTAGTGATAACAGATCACTTGCAGACTCCATGATTAGACGAACTGTGGTCAGATTTAAATATTACACGACGACGCTATTTTCAAATAGAGACCGCCTCCGTGGTCTAGTGGTAGAGCGTCCGCTCGGACAGCGGAAGGTCCGGGGTTCGAACCCCGACCGTGTTATACCAAAAGACGTTAAAAGATGGTACTTGTTGTTACCATGTCTGGCGCTCGGCATTAAGGGGCTGAAACAAGGACTGGTCAACTCTGAGTCAGTGTACTGTGTCTGAGCGGGGTATTCATGTTAAACTGCGGCATGGTATCTCAGTGAGCTAGCACTATAAATCGGCATCAGTCCGGACTAGTACAAGCAGCCACACAAACACACAAACGTTCATGCACGTCGCTAAATAAGTGCAATAATCTTGGACGCGACGTTAAACTCACCTCACCTCACCGCACCTTGAAATAGACTACTGGTAAGCGGCCAGATACTGGGGATCTACGGACATACGTCATATCGTTCTCGCGGCCGAGTCCTGCCATGAAAACACATGCAATTGTACTTCAAAAGTTGTGAAATGTAGACAACCAAAGGCTGGAGCTGCTGGAAACTTGCTCGACATCAAGAGAATGTTGACATTTGGAAACGTGAAGTCATCCCTCTTGTCATACAGTTTTGCGGAGAGTGTTTTGTCACTCTGAATCTTTATACACAGATCTAATATGAAACAGACGAGGCGGTCTCACTAGTCTCCTTTATTTCTAGTTCAGAAGGGTAAATCAGTGGAAGGGAATTGGCTACTTGATGGACATTGAACGATATCCGATTATCGAAATACCCGAAGCTGATTAATAAGTAAACTACTTGGCCAAATTTCCTTGTTTTGAATTTGCCAATCTGAGCAGGGATTCCGATTCAAATGTACGGTCAAACACGGCTGTGTCGAACTTTGATGTGTCGATCTTACGGTTGTCTCGAAGTAAAAGCTTCTGCGTAATCCTTCTTTATCACCATTTGTGGTTATGTCGAACCTTAGATAACTCGATTTTTTACGCAGTTACCTTCAACTTCGACACATCGGTGTTTGACTATATAAAGAAACAGATCATCAACAAGGTGTGTCTACTTCTTGCCTACATACCTTATCCCCAAATGTCCCATAGATGTTACCAACGAGGAAATCCAGCAATTCACATATTTTATTTTCAGTACACTTCAGAGGACATTCGAAATCCGGATTAACAATCGCGGCAAGCGAGTCATGTCCCTTGGTACACAAGTAAACTTTCCCCGGAGTAGGTTTCGGAAGGCGGGGTTCTCGGATAAACGGGGTCCTGACAAGCGAGTGTTCACTGTAGTCAAGCGGATTTATGCAAAGTGTGCACACCATGTTTTACGTCTCTCCATGAACAAGAAACATATCAATTTATTCATAAGGCCACACAGACAGGGATTCGAGTTGAGCGCCATTATTATTCATAAACATAAAAACACAGTATGCATTCTTGGTTCAACCAATTTTTCTATATGATTTTAAGGTTGATTATTGGATGTTTCTACCTTTAGTCATATTAATCGCTCCCAAGATTATATTTCCTTAACCAAAAGTTAACTGTTAAATATGTCCTTATTATGTTATTGATAAAATCTTACTGTTGGCGAGAGTCTGGCGAAAATACAGCATTGACGAATGAACGGAAAAGCCCTTCTTGGGGGAGTAGCAGGAACAAAAACATTGTCAGTAACTGACGAGTGTTTTTGTTATTGAGCTACTGTCACGGTGTTGACGAGTTAGTTGAAAGTGCCTGTTGTGAAATAATTGCTCAAACGAGCAGGTTGTTGTCGAACACATGTCAGTTCAATACATCAAAGCCTGAGAATAATCAGTCTTGATTATCTGCCGAACCATTCCTCTTGTCATACAGCTAGGTACAGAGGTTTGCCATAATTTTAAATATCTACACATAGATCCATATACGACACTGAATATGGTTTCTCAATTGTTTCAAGGCATTGATAAATGAGGAGATCTATATCACTCAAAGGGACCATTAATTTTAGTTCGTTATAACCGTAGTTCGTTTTAAGCATATACAACATATGTACAGCAAATGGTCGGGACAAAAAAATCGTTATATCCGTCAGTTTGTTATAAGCGTGTTCGTTATAAACGTAGTTTACTGTATCTGAAACGAAGGTTGGATTTATTGTGTCCTTTCTTTGGCAAGTATGTTAACTGACGATTACAAACCAGGCATCAGTACTATCGAATTTTGACTAGACTCCAGAAAACATGCTCATTCCTCATTTGTACTGGATTCCAAAGCGCCATCACATTCCATACATACACTCTTCAAAAAAAGAAACGCACAGGTAGTATGTTGTTCTTTGAACCCGACTACACAAAAAAAAACGGTAGATAAGTCGGATATATGTTATTGGAAAAGTGTTGGTGGCCTAATATTCGACAAACGGTGCGTCATAACGCAGCCGTTGTCGATTTGCAATTATCATATCTTAAACGGCATTGTTTTCACACTTATTCAAAAATGTCATGGAGGAAAACAGTAAAGCAAAATGCACGTGAAAGTTATGTCATTCGTAACTTGTGCTAGTGGCTATAATAAGGCAAGCATAAGCCAATAATTTGTCATTCAATTGTTAACATTTTTCAAGTTCGAAAATGCCGAGACTCAGCGCTGCCGATCGGAACATCGCCATAGGACGTATCCAAAGAGGGGAATCCCAGTCTTCTGTTGCACACCACTTCAACGTCCACCACAGCAACATTTGACGCCTTTGGGATCGATACACACAGTAAATTCCACTGCAGACCGTTCGAGAACCGGCCGA